CGTCATGCTCGTTGCTTTGGCTCCATTCTCGCTGAGATTCTTACCGTCTGCGTATCCTCCATCAGTGTAGACGGCAAAAAGTTCATCCCCGGGCTCGGCGGTCAGGACTGGGACGACAACCACGACGGCAAGATGAATGATCCGACAGACCGCTACAACACGGAGCAAACCTTTCGTTCCTTCTGGACTTCCTTCACACTCACAATGCTCATCCTACTCTACCTCATCGGCATCGCTCTCCTGACGTACAAGAAGCGTAGCCAGAAATTCCTGCCACGCCAGATTGGCACAATGGCCTCGGTGCTGGCTTTCATCCACCAGTCCAAGATGCTGCTTAGTTTCATCGATACCGAGAAGTTTACGTCGAGTGAAATGACACGACATTTGGAGAAGAGCGGGAAGACGTATGCACTGGGATGGTTTAGGGGTAGAGATGGCGATGACCATCTAGGGATTGATGAGGAAGAGATTACTAGTGCGTATGTTTATGGAAAGGATTGGACGTCGGGGCGGTTGAGGCCTGGTAGGGAAAGCATGTGGGAGCACTATTAGATGTCGTGTTCTGGAGCTTTTCTGTAATTAATACGTATACAAGCTCATTCATGTTCTGACGGCCCTCACACACCGATAATGAATATCGAAAAATAATGAAACTGCATTATATCGACTCGAAAGAAGAAGACTGTAACGATGACTGGCGCTAGATTCCCGTCTTCCACGACCCCCTGTTGCGCCCCAACGCCCACTATGCTAGTGTAACCCCCATTCAGACGCGTGTACGCCGCGTAATGCTCTCTTCCCGCACTCTCCATCCCCATGCTCATTTTCCTTGTTGAACAATAACCTCCCTCTCCCCGCAAAAGGCTCAGTTCTGGCCCTCGCCAACATTACTCACGAGCCAATCCATGCCCTCCTGAACACCGCTCCCATCGACAGCGCTACAAGCAACGATACTCCAATTCCGATCCTTGAGCTCGCCCAAGCGTAACGCCTCGCTGATTTCGCCTGCGCCCTTTGCACCAGGCTGATCCTGCTTGTTTGCGAAAACGAGGAGCGCGGCGTCGCGGAGTTCTTCTTCGTTGAGCATGGCGCGGAGCTCCTCCGAGGCCGTCGTCAGACGCTCGATGTCGGTGCTGTCGATGACGAATATTACGGCGGCTGTGTTGGCATAGTAGCAGCGCCAGTAGGGGCGGATAGATGTTTGGCCTCCAAGGTCCTAGAGGGGTCGTGTTAGGAACGTGTTGGTGGATTGAGGAGACGACGGTCCGGTGAGACGCGTATTGAGAGGATAGGGAGAGAGAGGCTTACCCAGACGTTGAAATTGAGGTTCTTGTATGTTACTGACTCGACGTTGAAACCTATTGTAGGTATCGTTGTGACTACTTCGCCAATCTGTCCCAAGATGTTAGCATACCACCGTCTTCATAACGTAGCCAAGTGTTCGGGCTTCCTTCCTACTTCTTCTAGTATACCAGGGCTACAAACGTACCTTTAGTCTGTACAGCAGTGTGGTTTTGCCAGCGTTATCCTGCATTTGTAATCAGCACTCCCGACCCCATTGTCCTCAGTCGAGCGTCGCAGTCTCACAAGTCCCAGAATCAGTATCCGTATCTCCTTCTTCGCCCATATGAGCTTTGTGAATGTGGATAGGTAGCCACCCATATTTGCTCTTCTTTTGTCAGACCCGCCGCTTTCGGAGTCTATCTGGACGCGGAGGTTGCCGCTGGTGGGAGATGGCTTAGCCGCAAGGGTAGAGACGGGCTTCGAGGTATGTTTGGACGGTTTGACGGTAGAAAATGTGCCTGGTGGTGGTCTTGAAAGTAACGCAGGTATGTGGAATGTCGAGAGAGAGGTGTTCAGTGTATCGTGGCGTGTCTCAGGGTTGCTGTCTGGCCAGAAAGTTAGGCGGCGCTCATGGAACGCGGTGCAAACAGGGCAAACACCGAGGCCTCGGCGCAAAGTTTTGCCGCTCCGTCTCCACCCTGGAAGTTATATGCACCATCTGCTCCCTTGTAAAGTTCAAATGTCACCCACGCTATTTTGCCCATACATCCCCCTGTATGCAGCAGTCTTTGAGATACCAAGGGGCTGGTACTGTGCATGTGCGTAACTCCCACATGTCACGTAAGTGTTCAAGAGTTGGACACAACAGCACAATTTGACATTTACCACTCAAATAATATGGTACTTTAATTCAACACGCCTTGCTACGTATATTTCAGTCAGATATAACTATTGGGGATTGGTGTATAAGCTTGGATTGCACTATGGCCATGCTACAAAACGTCTTCCACTGTCCCTACCTTTCTTCGTGCTTTTCATGGCTACGCAATCACCATCAGCACTCTCGAGCACCGAATAATTTCGTGAGACTTTTCAACGGTTTTCTTTTCAAGACACAAGCCCCAGGCTCAATCTGATAATAACGTACCCCAAATACACAGTACCTGTTTGACACTTGGTGCATCTCTTTTTTTTTTCTCGGGCATAAACTTTGTCAAATCTCTCCCTGCAGGCAGGCTTGAGTAGGTGACAAGAACTGGAAGTCACGAACATGAACAAAACGAGTCAGCACCAACATTGCGACTGAAAAAACATCTGGTCATTTGACGTCACGAGCGGTATACTAGGCTTTGTCGATGTGTCACGTCCCATGCGACCACTCAGGCTGTGCTAAATGCCATCCATTACATCATTACACCATCCTGAGGCTGGTACAATTGTCCGCTTCGCGATTTCACGCCAATCAGAGACAGTATGCGCCACTTCAGGCTTTACATTGCATCGCTAAAATATATATTGTGGCGCATGTGTATAATGTGAGTCGCGCGCGATTAGTCAAATGATGAGATTTTTGACATCTCATCCATGGTACTTTGTGTACTGCGAACCATGGTTCATACACAAGCGAATACAGGTACATTGTCTACGGTTTGTTTGTAGTATATAAGAAGTTTCATGCCCCTCCATCTCTTTCCCATCTTACTTCTCCACCCCAAATCGAAAAGCAAGAATTTGACAAACCGTTTTCAAAGCCTACAAAAAACACAAACACTACCAATCAAACAATGATAACTAAAAGCACTATCAGAGGCCTATCATGCCCACGATTGACAGCAATGCGGCATCTCCCCCGCAAAGATATCATAAGAATGGCATTCCGCCTCCTCCCACATTCAACTCTACAAGCACTATTCGGCACCCAAATCATCGACGAATCCCACATCACGTGTGTGGCTCTCACATCAACAAAAAAGAACACAAAGAAACTGTTCCTTAGACTGACAGAGGCCTTGTACTACAACAAGGGTGCGCGCCTCTGCCGCCAGGAACGATGGAACGAGATGACAAGATTGCAGCTGGAGAATGAGGCGCTCAAAATGGGTATGGTGGACGAGCTTGAGGAGGAGAAAACCGAGCTTAGTCTAAGAGTGATGTTGGCAGGAGCGATGTTGAAGGAGAGAGAAGAAAAGAAGGCGAAGGAGACGGAGGAGAGAAATTCAGGAAACGAAAGCGAGCTTGAGCTAGGAGTCATGCTGGAAGGAGCGACATCGAGGGAGAAGAAGGAGAAGAGGGCAGAGGAGCAGGATGTGAAGAGTGAAGAGTCAAGGAGTGATAGTGTTATGGAAGATGTATTGTGAACCAGAAGAACCGTAGGATGGTGTCCTATTTGGGAGCGAATGGCAACTCATCGAATGTTTGAGCTTCTAGTGTTTCTGCGGACAGGTATTTGCTCTCTGTTGGACGTAAACAATGCAACCTATATCTGTCAAATACATTGTGTAGTGCATCTTCTGCGTGATCCGTTGTATGTTCGTCTAATTACGAAATGTGCACAGTGTCTCCCTTCTTTCACTCACATTGTTTCTTTCGTGCCTTTGAAGTAATTCCTTTCCAGTCTTATCCAAGCACCGCTTCCGCACGTCTATCACTGGTAAATTGCACGACCAAAAGCTTCCCATGGTTCAGTTGCCTTTCTGATCCACACTACGCGACTGAATCGACCCAACCATCTACGATACTTGGTACATACATTGCTACCAAACATCAACAATTTCTTCTCGCAAACAATCCCAAAAATTTGTTCACTCACCACAATGTCATTCCTCAATCTTCTCGCTGAGGCCAAAGGCAACGCCGCTCCCATCAAATTCAAGACCATCCCCAAGCCTTCGACTGCTTCCAAACCCGTTTCTACTTCTACAAAGGTCGCAAGCAGTGCTTCTACTACATCCAAGTCGCCAACAACATCTAAGCCGATCCCAAAGAAGCCTGCGAGTACCTCGACTGCGCCAAAGCCGTCAACGGCTCCTTCATCGACATCTAACCAGCCCGCAAAGACCCCCCTGTTGGCCCATAGGCGCGATACTACAAAGCCCGCGGTTGCCTCGACTGTCTCAAATCATACCGCCGAAGCCAAGCCTGACGCGACCGATCGGATTATATCTCGAGTAGCGAACCCCGTAGTCGAGCGGTCGCCGATCAGAAAACAGCGCGCCGATATACCTCCACCCCGCCCACTATATTCAAGAAGGGGCAATCGGGTTGAAAACAGGGCTACCTTGCGCCATCCTCGCAAAGACCCGACTACTCCTCAAAAGAACATGAACAAGAACATCGCCAAAGCGTTGACGCCCCAATCTAAGTTCAAAGCCCAATCTGCTGCTCAAAATCAGACTCGTACACAGCGACCAAGCCGGCGTCGAAATTACAACCAATACCCACCTCCGGCGCCTGTCATGCCCAACCCGACGCGCTATGAGTTCCTTATGCCATTTTCACGCAAGCCGGAGCGGAAGCCAAAACGCTGCTTGATCAAGGCAGAGTACCAGACCATGAGGTGTGTTGACCTCATAGACGAGGCAAAGTTCCGTGGTCTTGAGCTAGACAGCCAGGTCCGATCCTATCTCGTAGACGTGCTTCTGATCGATGATATGGCCTACGCTGAGTTGATGGATAAACTCGGTAATAAGCAGGAGGCGATAGAGTATGCTCAGGGTGAAGTCGCACACTACAACCAAGGGTTGAGGCGTAAGCGAGCTGTCGCAGAGGCTGCGAAAGAGCAAGCCATGCGCGAGTGGAATGAGAAGCAGCAGTGGTTCCGCGTCGATGCTGAGCAGGTGGCCACTAAGGAGGTGGAAGAAGAGGTGGAAGAGAAGAAGCCCACCGTTGAGGCACAGGAGCAGGAGAAGATTCAAGAGAGCCAGGATCCCGGCTATAGTTACGAGCATGAAGCTCGACCCGCTACCAGTGGTAGCACTGCTGAAGAGCAACCCAAAGGCAACAAGCGTGCTCGTCCAAGTGACGACGACGACAACGAAGAGTCTAACCCCAAGAAGAAGGCCAGACATTCTACTCCTCAGAACACCACCGAAGACAGTAAGCCTTTGGCTAAGGATGACAAGCCTGTGAAGAAGACAAACCTCTCTCGTGTTGTCAAGGCCAATGACCCACCAACTGCTCTTCCTCGAGCTATACAAGCTCACATCAGCAAGACGCCATCCTTCAAAAAGGAGGATATCGAGATGAAAAACTCGGATGAAACCACAATCGCTGAGCATGCCAAGGGTGTAGCAGTGAAGATCAAGCGAAAGAAGGCATCTGCCCCAAAGCCTTTACAGCGTACTCATTATACTCACTCGGACACTGACGATGAGGAAATGAAATATGAAGGCCATGATGGCGAAGAAGAAGAGTCGGAAGAGGATGATTTCATCGTGGATGACCTGGCTTACAAGTCTAAGCGCAAGTCGAAGGTTTCAGCCATGGCTAGATCGAATCTGTTCTCTGGGATGAGGTAGACGGGCCATTCTGTGGACTTTCTTTTTCTTTTTTGCTCTTTTTGAGCGAGCGTTTCGTTTGAGGTTGTTGCGGCTTTGCGTTTTGAGATACCCCGGATACTGTTGTAATAATACGCAGTCAATATACGATGTTTAAAGTACTATAAGCCTCCTGGAAGTTAACGTAATAGTCTTCCGGCACACTTAGACTCATACATCCCCTGAAGTCATAATAGGGCATTGGGAATCTACTATACAATCACTGTTCACAAATTCCGCTTGACAACAAAGACAAGCATGATCGCTTTCTCGCCTTTATCATGTATGCGCTATGCGTATGAAAGTAGAGATGGCAGCACTAGAAGTGCTCATAGGTGAGCTCAATGACTGGTTCAAGCCCAAGAAGCCCGATAGTGACAAGATTGGCGAACAGTGGGGAGGATATGTGAAGATCGCTTGTCGTGGAGGTTCTCAGGTGCAGACTCCGCAACAATCAATCGGATCGGCATGATTGATTCCTATCTAGGTTAAAGGCTGCCTAATGAAGTAATTCTTTAACCTATATAGGAATCAATCATGTCAATCGATTGATTGTTGCGGAGTCTGCTCAGGTGCCGTGCGTCCGGCGTTTGCTTCACAAACTTCGGCGCTAGTCCCTAATCAGATACTACCTACGTTACTCAATATCTCAAGTTGTGCTATTCGCCGTGTCACTATCAGCGTAGGTGTTAAGAAGTTATAGGCCTAGAGATATAGAATGACTGGAAGTAGCATAGAAGATTAGGCTCATTACCAAAATGACTGCTACATGTACATACATGTGTATCGAATTTGTGAAAGTCTGAATGACAGTTAACGTCATAGAGAAGGGGTATCTAGGAAGAGAAGGAGATCAAATAATTTATATCGTGAGACCGTCAAGCCAGGTAGACCTTTTCGATCTGAGCATCAGCTTGCTCGAACGCTTCGCCGTCCATCAAATCGTGAGCGAAACAATCGCCAACCAACCGAAAAGAAGTTTTCAACTTCGTCGTAGCAGAGATGTGTTCTTCGCTATCGTCACCAGATATTAGAGCTATCCAATTATCGCCTTCAACAATTACTGATCGATCTTGTATGACCATAAAAGGGGCCTTACTACCCTTCAAGACGAATACCTGATCACCCGCCATAGTCGTCTTTGGGCCCATACCCATGTACCCATTGCTTGTAAAAAAGAAACGTCGAGAGGCCGTAGCGGTCTTGAGAGTGTGGTCGATAGCAGCTATGCCTTCCTCGAGATCGCGTTGCGTAAAGATTGCAGTACGGCTGAACGAATCGCGGGAAGTCACGGGCCGTCGCCCGACGATATACGCCATGGCTTCCTCGCGTAGCGGGAGTCGTACCGGTGTGTATCAGGTCTGTAATCAGTGTTCGCCAAAAGGCACCCTCGTAGGTCCCGCCAGACGGATAGTGCTCGCTTGTTTTTCCGAAAGTCCTTGTAAGAGATCTCCACCCAAGCAGAGCTGCGTATGTGTCGTTGATTTGTGTATGTCGGCTAACATCTCCAACAGTAACGACATGGTCGATACAGATGGCTTCTACCTCTAGGAGCTGACTTGATGGCTGGAAACGCACAGATCCTTTGCGGCTGCCGCTAGCGTCGTATGCATGTAAGCTTGTAACTCGTTCAATTTCAGTTGGGAGACACGGTAGTGACCAGTCCATGACCCAAGAAGGAATATCTTGAAGGCGTTTCCGGCTCAGCACTGCTTCGAGATCTCCCGCAAGAGGTAATACCAAGCCTGCCCTTCTAATATTGCCCACGGTTTTCTGTGTAAAGATTGTAGCAGTGCTGGACGAGTAATCAGGTAGAAAAGGTGGAAGACCTTGCAGTTAGTTGTCAGTCCAAGAAGGGCGAAAACCTTGTCCCTTTTGTCCGTGGCTTCGAGTGGCCTGAATTTCCAGAGTAGCGACAGTATTGTTGCGGTATTCGAGGATATACTGTTTTGGAGTCTTGTGTCCTCAATGCGAAGAACGAGATCACTAAACTGGTCCAGAATGTCCTGTCCTTGAAGAGTCCCAGCTAAACCCAAACATAAGGTATGACGTTGTTGTTTGTAGTTTTGCGCGGCACGGGTGAACATTGACTAGGGTGCGGAAAGCATACCGTAGTGAATGGTGGCTCTCCGAGATAGGACTGTCTCTTGGACAATCCAAACACGTTGCCACCATGGTCTACTCATCAGCCTTGCAAGACCCTCCCATACTCTAGAAGACCGAGAGCCGCGTACACGAGCTTTTGCAAGTACCAAGCCTTGCCAGATACTGCCAAACCCGTATCGTCGAATAGCAGCAACCTTTTCTTTATCTAAAGTGTTGAGCGCAGCGTGCGACGCGTCTTCGGCGAAGCTGTGGATCAGACACAATGCCCCAAATGTATCAGGTCCGTTCTCAGTCCAGGATCGATCCACTGCTGGTACTCCAAATAGATGTGAACGCTCAGTATCCGCGAAGTATGCATCTCTTAATGATTTATCTCTCTCATCGCCATTCCAAATGATTCGCGATGGCTTTGCATCCGCCTTTAAGAGGTCGCGACCGTCATGCTCATTACTCGCCGGTTCGCCCAGCCATATAGCAGTCTCTTGACTATTACTGTATATCTCTCCCATGAGACCAACCTGATGCGCCCGCTCCAAGGTATCATCTTGGTTGATACACAATGCATCCACCCAAATCAGCAGCACGTGGTTGGGCCGTCGCAATCTGCGGAGAGCAACGCAGAGATTTTCGAAGATGAACACAGTCTTTCCGTTACACGCTATAGGAACTCTAGGGACCTCATTCGGTTGGCCCCATGTGTAGGATATGGTGATGTAGCGGTTTCGGCATTCAATCATAGAGCATTCGTGCAGCTCCGCGGAAATGTCGTCCTCCCAGGCTCCAGGCAGAAGGTGCAGCAGGCGAAAAGCATGTGAGCCGGTATTGAGTGGAGTGTAGAGGTCCGGTGTAGCGACCCTGAAAACCTTGGCAACTCTGGAAACGATGTTATGAGCCATGATAATGGCAAAGGCTGGAGAAGCCACAGTTGTTCGGTTGTGTCATGATGATTGGTGAGTCAGCAAGGGCCGCGAAGGCTGCTGGCTGCCTAAAGGCGTAGCGATAACTCAGTTTCAGCCTCAAGATATACCTGCTCCCATGTTTTCAATGCACAACATGTAATGATTCACGTGATTGAGGCCGGAGGTTTGATGGTTGATGAGGTGTTAGCTCGGAAAGATAGCGTTCCGCGATGACGCCATAAGCCTACGATCTGGAAGTCTGCAAACGTCGCTTGTTGTGATCGCGATCGACGCGCTCTGGGCTCGCTGCCCGTCCAAATCTGCAACACCCAGGCTTTCCGCTCCATCATGAGCCGTGACGTGTGTGCAATCTGTACCATACGTTTTCCCGCGACCGGAAGACGCGAATGGGTAGCGCTGCGGAAGACGCACATGACAACGATCAGCCGGCCCATGTCTAGCGGTGTGGAAAAAGGTACGGGTGGCACCGTAGCGTGAGTCAGCCTTCGTGAATGATCGGCATGTTTCTGTCCCTTGCTTTAAGGCCGGCGTGCCTTGTGCGTATCTTGCGCTGTGTTATTCCTCAATTCCTATTTCTGTTCGCGAGATATGATATCGACGAGCTTTCTCCGAGCTACAGTCGCCTTTTTAGCATCGACTCGCATAGTTTCAGGCTCCACCAGCAGCGAGAAGGAGCAGTTCAAGCACGTGACATGGAATGATGAAGATTGGGTCATCTCGACGCATGCTCTGGACCAAGGCCACTACCAATCCCGCTTGACCCTCGCAAACGGGTATTTTGGAATCAATGTCGCATCTGCAGGACCGTTCTTCGAAGTCGATGAACCGGTTGATGGCGATATCATAAGCGGATGGCCCCTGTTTAGCAGGCGACAGGCCTATTCGACAATCGCAGGCTTCTGGAACAGTCAACCCAGAACAAAGGGGTCGAATTACCCCTGGCTTTATCAATATGGATGGGAAAGTTTTACTGCCGGTATACCACATTCGAGTGGACTTATTGTTGAGGCGAACGGCGAGTTTTTGAACGCATCGGTCAATCCAGACCACATCTCAGACTTTGTGTCGAGTCTGGATGTGAAGGCCGGAATTGCTAGTTGGCGATACAACTGGAGGCCAGGGGGCTCTGGAGACGTACTCATTGACGTGGACTACCAGTTGTTTATCCACAAGCTTTACGTCAACAAAGCTGCAACCAGGCTACGACTTACGGCAACCCGTGATGTAAATGTTACGGTGTACGACGTCCTCGATGGAGACTGTGCAGTTCGTTCAGAATTCGTCGACAAAAAGTATGAGGAGGACACGCCAACCATCTGGTCTGCCGTTAGTCCGGGCAATATCACTAATGTTACGGCATATGTCTACTCAACTCTGTCAAGTAACGACTGGGTCGACCTCGCCGCCCGCAGCCAAGTAGGAGACGGAATATTCAGCAGCGGCAACGGCTCAACCATTGCGCAGTCTGTCCCTGTTGAACTGGTCGCATTCCGCCCTACTGAGATCACGAAATTTATCGGAATCGCATCAACTGATTCCTTCCCAGATCCCCAGAAGGTAGCACGAGATGCTTCCCTATCTGGTGCTGAGGAGGGTTACTCTAAGCTTATACGTTCCCACATTAAAGAGTGGGCCTCTATCCTAACGCCAGACTCGGTTGACGATTATCGCTTACCGAATGGCTCCCTTCCGAACGATCCCGAAGTGAAGGAACTGCATATCCTGGCCCGTACGAACCCGTTCTATCTCTTATCGAACATGGTCGGGCCAAATGCTGTAGCCGCAGCCGGTAACAACACGAAGCTGGATATCTACAGCATACCAGTCTGTGGGCTTGGCTCTGATTGTTACGGTGGCTTGATTTTCTGGGATGCCGATGTGTGGATCAGTCCCGGAATCCAAGTATCACACCCACAGCATGCTCAGAACGTCATCAAATATCGCGTAGAGCACTTTGAGCAAGCGAAGCGGAATGTTGGAACAGCTTTTACCTCAAGCAAGAATCAGACGGGTCGGTTCACTCCTGGCGGAGCTGTCTATCCTTGGACCAGTGGACGTTTCGGCAATTGCACAGGGACTGGGGCTTGCTTTGATTACGAATACCATCTTAACGGGGATATGAGCTTGGCTTTCAACAATCACCTCATCATCACAGGTGATGGACAATATTTTAACGACACCTTACTACCTATATCAAATGCGGTTGCGCACTTCTTCGGGCAGCTGCTCGACTTCAACGAGACTTCTGGTGCCTATGAGATATGGAACGCCACTGACCCCGATGAGTACGCGAATCAAGTCAACAACAATGGATTTACTACTGCACTCATTCAAAGGCATTTTCTCGAGACTAACGAGTTTAATGCCTGGTTTGGACGCAAACCTAACGCTAGCTGGGCAGAGAAGGCCTCAAAGATGAGGCTTCCAGTGAATGAGGATGCGGGGATCATCGTGGAATATAATGGTATGAACGGATCGGTCACCGTCAAGCAAGCAGACGTGGTTCTGGTTGATGACTTGTTGCATTACCCAAATCCCTACAGCTTGGCAAACCTGGACTACTATGCGGCGAAACAATCACTTGATGGTCCTGCGATGACGTACTCATCGTTTGCTGTTGTGGCAAACGAGGTGTCTCCTTCTGGATGCTCGAGTTTTACATACGACGTCTACTCCTCTTCGCCTTACGTCCGTGCACCCTGGTATCAGTATTCAGAACAACTTCTGGATAACGTCGAAGAAAACGGTGGAACACATCCCGCATTCCCATTTTTGACGGGCATGGGAGGAACCAACCGTGTTGCCATCTTCGGATACTTGGGCCTGGGATTGTATTACGATAAACTGGATATCGATCCCTCCCTACCTCCGCAAATAGAGCACCTCAACTACCGTATATTCTACTGGATGGGTCATGGTATTAATGCCACATCCAACTCTACTCACACAACATTAGCACGACTGCCTAGGGGGAAATATACCCTACCTTCAGCAAACGCTACTTATTTCGAAAAGCCAATTCCAGTTACTATTGGTACCCGCAGCAGTCGAGATAACGTGACATACGAGCTTGGCGACGAACCACTCGTAGTCCGTAACCGTCCAATGGGCGAGATACTTACAGTTGGTGGAAACATCCTTCAATGCAAGAATTTGCTACCCCCACCTCAAGGGAACAAGCCAGGGCAGTTCCCTATCGCCGCCATCGACGGAGCTGCAAGCACGAAGTGGCAACCTGAATTTGCAAATATCACAAGCTACCTTACTGTCGATCTCGGCACCTCATCCTTCTATCCTATCAACAAGATTGTCATGGACTGGGGCAACCAGCCTCCCTCGCATTTCGAAATTTATTTCTCTAACTCTACGCTTCCGCCATTTTCCGACACTCGACTTAAAGATGACGTGAAGAAGGTCACGACTGGCAAGATAGAGCTGAGTGCACCATGGGATCCGGTGACAGCATATGAGATTAAGACCTATATCGGTAATCAAACAAATGTTACGCTTCAAGAGAGTATCTGGAGCGGAAGGTATGCTCACCTTGCGGTGCTGGGCAATCAGTTTTCTGAAGATGCTATGGATGGAGGTACAGTTGCTGAATGGAGCCTTGTCAGGGAGGAGTATTGAGAAGAAGGTCGGATCAAGTAGGTATGAGTGAGTTAGCCAGTTGGATAAAGTCAACACAGTTCTTAGTCTGGTAGAATTTATTATTACTTATGATAAGACTAGGAATTATACGCGCATTTACGTCTGTTAGATCTTGGAATGAGTCTTTCGGTAGCTTAGATATACCACAGAGAATCGCCATCGTCCAAGTTAAGAATGGTGCTTCGATATTTTCGTTATTCAAGGATTCTACCAGCTATCAAGCTGGGAGTGCAGCGTACTTACACGAGGGGGTTAGCAAAACATGTCTTGGCGTGAATACATTCATCAATCGGGACTAGAACGATCGCTTACCGCTCTTATTGGCTGATTTAATTCACTCTCCGTACAGCACAGACCCTTATTTGCCGCCTTCAACACAGCGCGCTCGCTCCCCAACCGTGCACAGACATTTTAGTACAGTGGCTCAGTCATTCTTATACCCCCGCATTTCACTGGAGTTTATCAACTCTACTCCATCACATTCATTGCATACATTGCTTTCCTTGACTTTTACGGGGCCTCGTCACGTGATAGTGCCTGGCCTCTTACCAGAACAACATGTTCTCTAATCTGACCACGCCTACGTCAAGGCCAAAAAAAAGGCAACGTACTCCTCCATCGGCGCTGAGTGATATCGCAGAATCGCCGGGTCTAAATACACTCCCAAGTCAGCGCACGTCATTGCTCTCCAAGTCGAACTCAAACGATGTGGACGATACTCCTACGCCATATACGATTACGGAGACTTCCCACGGTGTCTCGCTCAGTCCAGTATACGATACACATGAACTTCATCGTCCGCTGAAATCTGCAGCTGTCTCGGACATGAGAGGCAAGAGGAGAGCAAGGTTAGGTGCACCTACAGGCTTCTTGATAAACACCTCTCAAGCCCCGGCCCTTATCCGATCACCTAGTCTAGACACATTCAGAAGGCAAGCTGCTGACATTGTCTTCAACGACGACGAAGACGACGACAACGAAGAAGAAGAAGAAGAAGAAGAAGAAGAAGAAGAAGAAGAAGAAGAAGAAGAAGATCCTTTTGTTGAACTCGCGACATTGAGGACATCGAAGGTAGATTCAATGGACTTGGCCGGAGACCAGGCTATCCTCACGCAGAACAGCATCAAGGCTCAAATCCGATTCCCTAGCTCTAACTTCACACTCTCCGTACCTAAGACTCCCGAAAACTTTCCACTGCGGCTGTCTCCCGTCCCAAATTACGATACCTTTTACATGTTCTCGCGCCGCTCAAGAGGATCACCGATTTCGTCATCCGAGGCTCGGGACAAGACGATGGAAAAAGAGGTAGCTAGTCCTAGTGGTTCTCCTGCAGATTATTCCAAAGGATCACCGCTTAGCACTATCAGGTTGAATACCAAGAGCCTTTACGATGAGTTGGGGTACTCGTCGCGCAATTTCTGGGAGCCGAGTGACGATGAATTCGAAGAGATGGAGGGAACACCAACACAGGCGAGCGACACCAACTTTCCATCCGCGAGTCGAACTAAATCTGCAGGAAACATCGGCTCCCCGATCTCGAATTTGCAGCACTTGTCGCGCACTCCCACTAAGCAGCGGAAACAGGCGCATCTCGTCGCGCATCTTCAAGCACCCGAATTATCGCCGCGTAAGACGATTGGAAAGAGTGCGACGAGGAATTACAAGAGTTCTTTGACGTCATTTGCTTGCCCTTCGCCGTTGCGATCGGTTGAGCATTCTCCGACAAAGCAGATGGGCAGCTGGCTATCCAAGCCCTTGGACCCTGCATCATCAGAGGCCGTCGAACCAAACACGAGCATGTGGGATGCAGATGACGAGGAGTTTGATCGGTGGCCAGGACCGGAAACGTAAGTGACTACTTCTCGCAAGATGTGAACAATGAGTACTAATACACAACAGCCTCGATCGCGTTGGAGAGGACTACACTACCCGTGGACGCCAGATGCGCGGTCTTCGTTCAACATCGAACAGTACACCTGCAGCATGCGACACCAATTCAACCCTCCAGCAACTTGAAGACCTAAGGCATGAGCTCCTCGATAAGCGCTCCGGGAACCCATACGGTATGGACGCGCACGACACAGTAATGTCACGATTCTTTGCCACCGACGTACCCGACCTGCCCGCATCCAATCCACCTCGTCACATGCATATCATCGCTCATGATGCATACTTAGACAGCGCAGATGCCATCGTTCGTTGCGCAATGCCTCGTCTTTGCGACGCCGTTGCCACTGTCTTGTATCTCACGAACCCAAAGTGCTTAATAGAGTTCCTAGATCCCAACGTTGAGGTCTTCGAATGGCGCCGATCAGGAAACCGCATCATGATTCGTCGAGAGGGAAACCAGGTCATTGTTGGGACTTATGCTAATTTCGGGACAAACTACGCTTGGACTTACTTTGTTCGTTCTGACATCTCGGATAAGGGCTTGTGGACGGAGACATATGCGTCGGTGTCTGTAGTTGTGACGCCTGTGTCAAGGCATGGAGTTATGTTTGATCAGATAGAGTCGGAGCTGAGTAGTCTGGGTATTGAGCCGACAGATCTGAAGTATGCGCTGTTCATGGGGCGCGACTTGGCATACTTCTTGCTGAGTCGGGAGCCGTGGAGGTATCATGTATTTCGGAAGTGGATTGTGGAGTGGGAGGCTGATGGTGTTGTGACGGAGGCAGTAGAGTATGAGAGGGAGATGCTGCGGCAAGCTGGAGGATGAAGACATGGGTTCGCTGTGAGTTGAGACGAGTTTCTGGTCATCATGATCCCGGCCATTAGACAAGATATTGAGCAGTTGACGCTTTGATTCTGAAAGGACAATAAAAACTTCTATTACCAAGTGATAGAAGATCAAGGTTTGGTCAATGCTGGGTGTTTGGTCGGTAAAGGCTGCCTTCACCTGACACGGTGGTAAATCATTTGTATCTTGCTTCTCTTTGGTAATATATAATTGCCGATCCTTCCGAATTGATCCCTCTTCCACATTCCCCACTCTAATCTCTTTTCTCGATTGTTCCAATATCCTTTGATAATCCTCAAAGCAATTACATACTTTTCTTAATAACTGGTATCCTGCAAACAACAACATGGAACGCATGAAGTACGAGAATCACCCTCTGCTGCCGTCCAATGCTCGACAGGGCCAACCACATGTTCTCAAAGATGGCCAAGACATCGAGCACATCGAGGATGGCTTTGAGGTAGTCAGATATGATCCCCGGTCTACGCTGAGGAAGCCTGCTCAGTTATGCGATTTTGTCGCTACCATCCTGCATCGGATTGGCGACCATCCCACAGCACTGAAAGACTTCTTCGGTCCGGCGATAAAATATTTCAAGTTTCTTCGCATCACGAAGAACGGCTGTTTCATGACTGTCATCATATGGCGTAAGGATAACGAAGTGATGGTAGGTCTACATAGTCAAAGCTCATACTAAATGTACAAATTGCTAACAAATCGGTAAAGGTAGGCCCCTATAATCAGTATCCATGGTTTCACGAATGGGAGCTGTTGACCAAATCCGAGCTTTCCAAAGTAGCGCCCGACGGCGTCTGGAAGGTGAAATGGGGCGTCCAAACAGCGGTGTCTGGTCCGAACGTCGACACTATATGGAGCCTGCGCAACCTTTCCAAAGTGAACGACCTCATGATCGCTAAACCTGACCCTAGGGATCCTGGAGAGGCAGAGAACATAGCTTATCGCCTTGGTACTTGTACCTATGCCAACCAGATCTGGGAAAAACTCGATGGTACTGAATGCGTTATCGAGATCGAGAAGCAAGAGGCAGAGGAGGCGAAGAACGACAAGAATGTAGCAGCAGAACAAGAGAAGTACGAGAAGAATTAAGGGGATGAACGAGGGGAGGGGAGTTGGAGTTTGCGATGCTGCTTAGCCTGACGGCTCAAAAAGGATGGTCACGGTGCATTCAGAATTTCTGCTTTTCCTATATAGAGTTTTGCGTTGCTATTTAGCCTAACAGCTCGAAAGAACGGCTTTGGTGCGTTCGGGTTTTTTGCTTTCGTCGTTTGGAGTTTTGCGCTACTTTTTATCTCGACGGCTCAAAGGGATGGTCACAGTGTATTTGTATCTCCATGCTGCTTACTTTACAACTGCAAAGGAAGTACAAAACCCAGCCCCTATTTTTTCGATTTCCCCTTGTAACTCAATTTCATTCCAAAATCCGCTGACCATATCGTTCTTGACTTCGTCCTGTAGCTTGGATAAATCACCGCAATTACCATGTTTGCCCCAACCCCACGATATAAGTTTGCCATCCCTCGTCACAGCAAGTATGTGATCAGAACCCACAGAGATCTTATCCAAAAGAGGGAGATCTGGCGGCAATAACTTCCACATATTCTCTTTGCCCCAGGCAGCCAGAGTATCGTCATCGAATAGTACGAACACGGCATGCCACATGGCGCCAATGTCTTTCCAGCCTTTGATGTTGGCAGGCATGTTGGAGATGATGTTGAACTTGTCTTTTCCGAGCAGTATGTGCTCACCTGTAGATGGTTCGCCAACGAGATAGGTAAAGTCTGCTCCGCAGACAACCTTTCTTGGCTTAAATGGTATGTTTTCAATCTTGGTCGGTCTTGTGACTTTGCCAGAAAGCTTGTCACCAAGCTGGCCTAGACGAGCTTTGCCCCAGCCGTAGACTGAGCCATCATCGAGAATGACTACGTAGTGCCATACGCCAGCATTGAAGTCGATGACTGCACCTTGAAGTGATGTGCACTCTGCTAATGGCCCGCAGTCAACTTGATCTCCACGGCCTAGTTCTCCCCATCGGCCAGACCCTTCGGTAAGTATGCATGACTGCGAGTCCTCACCACCTTTCGAGATATATGCTGAAGACTCACAGGTAGCTGCGGTGAAGAGAATGTGACTATGTGCTTTTTTGAAACTTTGAAACTGGGTCTCTCCTCCAAATGAGCCTAGCTGACCCTTGCGATTGTCACCGACACCATAGACAGCTCTATCCTTGCTTAAAAAAAGCGAGTGATTATCTCCGCCCCTGATCGCCAACAGATTGTCAAGCGAAGGAGTATTGGAAACCTTGGTAGGTATATTGACGATGTCGGCGGCTGGTATGCCGAGTTGGCCTTCCGAGTTGCTGCCAAAGACGTACAATTCGTAAGACATATCGAGCGATGGGTAACGTAACGCTCGCGAATGCAAATATCTAACTTCAAACAAAGACGTCTCGAACGAATCCAAAATCTTCTGAAGGCTTAGTAAGTGGGATGCAGTTCTGAAGACGGGCTCGCTCCTCGCCCGGGCGCCTTGCAGACGGCGCTATCCCGACAGCAACGCTAGTCGCTTCCAGGGATCGCGGTGCGCACGGACGCCCACTGAATATTCGCTGCCGACGTAGACGAACTTCAACTCCACGACGACAGCAAAACCGACGACGCCCACCCACCACTAACCGCACGCACATTCCCACAGTCGCCCAACATGGCTTCCCAGAGCGTGCAATGCTTCGGCAAGAAGAAGACCGCGACTGGTACGATATCACCCGTTGTTGAATATATAGGGAACTCTCGAGGCTAACACTCGTGATACAGCTGTCGCCCACTGCAAGGTACATACACGCAATACCCCACGATCGGAATACGCGCAGTCGAATCATATACTTACGATGTTTTGTTAAATATAGGCCGGAAAGGGTCTCGTCAAGGTCAACGGAAAGCCTCTTTCCCTCGTCCAGCCCGAGCTCCTGCGATTCAAGGTCTACGAGCCAATTCTGATCCTCGGTGTGGACAAGTTCGGTACGCACACACTACACCCAAATACGAAACCAGCATTACGATGCACTCAGATTGCAACGGAGAGGCGGAATACTAACAGAATGGGCAGCTGATGTCGACATCCGTGTCCGTGTCTCCGGTGGTGGTCACACCTCGCAAGTCTACGCCATCCGCCAAGCCATCGCCAAATCCATCATCGCCTACTACCAAAAGTACGTCGACGAGCACTCGAAGAACCAGCTCAAGCAGGCGCTTATCCAGTACGACCGCACACTGCTCGTTGCCGATAACAGGCGGTGCGAGCCCAAGAAGTTCGGCGGTCCAGGTGCGCGCGCCAGGTACCAGAAGTCTTACCGTTAAGCGGTACTTTGGCTTGCTGGTATGGGGGGAGAAGGAAAGAGAGGGTGTATGGCGAGCATGGAGCGGTGTTCATCCTGGGCTTTTTCATGGGGTCTTATACTGTCTACTATCTACCCCTCGAGGACGAGGTTACGGTTACGTGACATGGCGCGCAACGGCTGCCTGATACGATCCCGCGGCTTGTGACGATAAAAATGAATACATTGGTTGCAAGAACACGTACAAGGCATACAGCGTGAGGAGCATCGACATATGTGGGGACAGGTGAATGCGAACTCAAGCCCTCCTCCAATGTAGACGCGCACCTTTTTCGACATTGTGACTTGAATGTACGACCTAGCTCCAGTCATGTCCCCTCAAACACCAGCGCTTCCATACATAAACACAAGTAGAAATCTTCCACTAATGAGCTATCCTCTTGTATTGGTTACAACACTCAGAACACCTGCAGGCCCATGCCCGTAGTGGTTCAGAGGCGAAGGTTTCTAACCATCACTTCCGCTGCTCCTGAACGCAGCACATAGTGCTGCATACTGATGTGTAAGATCAAGGACATGTTGGGGCAGCGAGGTACCCTGGATGATGCTGCGGATCTTGACGGCGCCCTCCTCTTCGATGAGTTTGCGAATCGTATAAAGGAGGTTCGGTGAGAACTGTCACAATGTCAGTATTGCCGTTCATTGTCGAGACAAACGGGGAAGTGAGGACCTACCTCGGAGTACCACCGATACTGCCAGGTGACCAGACGAATCAAGGCTGCCGTTACATCTCGGACCTGTTTCCTCTGCTCGCCCAATTTGAGAACACCCCTCATCGCCTTCGGAGAGAACTTGATTTGCAGACAGTTCTCATACGCCTCCACGGCTTCCTCAGTATGATGTAGCCTCTCAGCAAGTTCGCCCAGAATCTCCCACTCCTCGCTGCTCTTTTTATACAGCAACTGCTGCTGACGGTATTGCGCCATTTCGGTACGCCATATCGTGTACACGCGCAGATCCTCGTACAGGACCATGAAGAGATTATCGAGCCAGCGTTCGCAGAGGCGCTTATTCTGGAAATGTGTATAGTTCGGCTGAGATGGGTTGGAATGGTTTGCAGCGTCGTGGGCGTGGGGATCTTCACTGCCAGCTTTTACGACTTCAGAGGCTACCGTATGACCAGGCTTTTCGAGATCAGCTGCTGCTTCGGCGGCATTAGAGGACTCTCCATTCTGCGCGTCGGATTCTTCAGTGGAGAGGCGCTCTTCCACTTCGCCGTGTTCGTTGCCGTTTGTCTGTTGAGCGATCGTGTTGGGAGATGGAGAGCGAAGGGCTGTAGTGCTGGCGCTGCGAGAATGCGGTTGCTGCGTCGTCTTTTCGTGGCGGTATTCTTCCTCCATGACGAAAACTTGACTCCTTATCTTGAGCAGCTGATCCCATCCAATTTTCTTTGTGATTTCAGTGAGCAAGATGTAGGCCTTCAGGAAGGTACCTTTGAAACCCGCAGCATGTAATTTCCGCAGAGTTGGATGTACGAGCTCCATGTCGTCCATATTGGAGTCTTCTATCTCGTCGCACATGGCTTCGGGCATGACCGGTAAGAAGACTCGCTGGGGCTCTGGCATCCTGGGTGCGTCCTTGTCTTGATATGTGAACATGGGACATGAGTTTAGTGTCAATAGAGCAAGATCCCATTGCTCGAGGCTTACGTATATCTCAGCCAAACGTGCCCAAGTGCCAAACTCACTGGGTGCAGAAACTACACTCCGCTTGGCAATCTCCAGAGCAAGATCACCACGCCCCTTTTTGTTGCAAAATTCTGCTTGACAGTCGAGGAGCGAGTAGTCCATAGGCAGGTCATGTATCGCTTCGTGTAGTAGTTGTACAGCTTGAACCTCCTCATCTGCTTCGATGTAGACGCGGGCCAGGAGCGATGAGATCTCGGGATCGCGTGTCCGCAGTTTCTCAAACAGATTGATACCAGAAGTATATCTTCCGGTGGTATGAATGTAGTTGAGTAGGCCTGTAGTTAGGTGATTTGAGACGAGATTGGGGACTTGAATCTCAGGATCGGATCCTAACTGCCAGCCTGAAGTGCGTCAGCGATTTGTTTTGGACACGCCGAAGACGGTTTACCGTTGAAGAACAGCCGCTCTGCCGCATCCAAGAACCTGTGCTCGCTCTCTGTGCTCGTAATAGGGTTGAACCGCCGCACACCCACAATCTTCTTGATTGTGTCGCCCGAGCCATCGTCGGCGTAGGAATATGCCCGCAACACGCTGCAGAGGTATGTCTCTAGCCACAATTCGTCGGTAGCGACTCGCTTATCTCCGCGCTCATCGATACAGTAACTCTCTACTGTTCCCGGGATGTATACTTGGACGCGCATGTCCAGCCGTGAGAAGGCATTGTAACAGCTGCTCGGTCAGCGACTGTCTCGTGCTACGTTCATGTGCCCATACCAGTATAGACCAGACACGACCTTGTTCTGTTTGTCATGCGCAGAGTATGTGAGTGTGTTGATATATGCAGCCAAGCTGGCAGAGGAGGATGCGTCTATGCCGCAGACATGGTGGTACACGCCAATCTAATCACATGTCAAACACTTTCCCTCATAGACAGGCAGTCAAAGGCACTACTGACCTGTTTGGTCGCATTCTTGATGGGCTGTTTTATGAGGTGGACGAGATCTGGCGGGCCTAATTCTCGTAGTGTTTGCAGTGATTCCGAGCGCGCTTCGATGGCAGAGTGAAGCTCATCCTCGTAGATTCTGGTCAACAGTCAGAAAGGCCGAGAAGTTGGAGTCAGGTTATGGTGGTATGAAGCAATTGAGGGAAGTAGAAGTGTGGGTGTAGACAAGCGCATATATAGAAACAAATATAGATTGGACAACTAGTAGAGGTGCAGCATACTCGGGGACAGCTGGCGATGTGACCATGGCTCAATTGGCACCGCACGATACGGGAAGGCGGTCGCGGTAGGAAGGATGTTATAGCGGGGTGTGTTCTGGAAGAGGGGCCGAGTATGCACGTCAGGCCTGGGGATATATTTGTCAGGCTTTCGGTGTCCTTGTGCAGCATGGAGGGCAGGAACGGAAGCAGTAGCTCCAAAGGCGGAGGAACGCCGCCGTTGCCAAGAAGCCGCATCCCTGCGCACCATCATTCACTGTCGCGTCGCGTCATCCCAGGCCTGTACAAGCGCGGAGTACGTCGTTGTCGCCGCTGTGGCATCCCCAAATCATTGTGCACTTATATAGCCCCGCTGTGCCCCTGTTGCCTGTTGCTAAGCCGTCTGCACTGCCAATGTTCTAAAAAGTCTGGCTGTCCGCCTGTCGGCTCTACGCAGCTTTGTACAACCACCTTTCAACGCGCAACATGGTAAGTAGCCCAGCGGCAGCATACTCAACCACCTTCTCCAACGACCGCCAAATGATGCACACCCCTTGCTAACAAAGCGCAGTCGAAAGCATCTGTATGGCATCCGTACAATGTTGAACTCCCTGAGGAAGCCGCCGAAGATGAAGTAGACGACACGCAAGAAATCCAGATCGAAGAGGCCCTGAAGCTCTACCAAACCGCTTTGAAGCTCCACTCCGAGGGACCCCCGTCGTTTGAAAAAACGGCCGCAGCATACAAGGCCCTCTTCGAATCTGACATCTTCCATTATGCTGAGTCCCTCTCTGAATACAAGCGACACGAGACCTATGGCGAGGATTTGGTGTTCGACACCATCCTTGAAGATGACTACGAGGCCGGCCCCGTCCAGTCCACAGGCGCCGCAGACAGCGCCCCGAACACGCTACAGCAAATACTACATCTGTCCTACAAGAACCATGGCCAGTTCCTACTTGAGGCCATGCAGCATTGGATCACCACCAATGGTACCACAGCTCAGATGGAAGCATGGAGCAACACTCACGGTGCTCTGAATTACTTTGCCGAGGCCTTGGATAAGGAGGATACAGATCTCGATCTGTGGCTGCGCGCTGCCTCAGTAGCGGCTATGCTGGGCAGTAAGCGCCTCACTCGCTATTGTCTGGAGGCTGTGCTGGACGGAAACGACGAGCAATGGGAGAGCTTACTACGCCTTCCTGGCTTGGAAGAGGGCTTTGCTGGGCAACAGCTCCGTGAGCTCATAGAGCGCTTAGAAGACAATGTTTCCCTGAAACAGGCGCCACTATCTACCATGAAGCGAAAGAAGCTTTCCGAGACGCTGAAGAAGCATCTGAACCCGTTTCCATTTGCACCACTTCCCGCAGACGTTGCCCTTGGCGAAAGTCTACACAACATCAAAGTAGCTCCAGAGAGTGTGACGTGGGCCCCCACCAAGTGGGAGTGGTCTGGCGTAGGTGAATTCATCCTAGGTCAATTTACCGCCGAGCGAGACGCACAAGCACCTCCAAGTGTTCCGTCTGGTTCGAACATAGTCTTCAACATACCCCCAGACAGTGAGACTCCCGGGCGCATCGATTCCGAGCCTGAACAAGAACACACACCCGAGCCTGCTGCGCCTGTGGATGCCGTACCGGCTATTTCGGAGCCCGCCGCGTTGCTCCAGATTGAGGGGCCCGCTCCGGCTAACGCGAAACAAGATGGAGAGGACACTGTCATGGAAGAGCAAGACGGTGACGCCGTAATCGGAAATGAGGAAGTGACTCGCACTGCGCCAGCCCCTTCGCGCAAGCGGTCCACAGACTCAGCCGGTCTACCTGAAACTGCAGAAGGCGGCCGGTCGCGTAGCAAAAGGATTCGTGGACGGGACACAGTGGTCGAACCTGCCGCCGGTAGTGCAGTCCAAGAAGCCAATAAGCACATCGACGCTCAACTCGAACACTACACGCACGCAGATCAATGCCTGTACGAAATTGTTAAGGACATCTATTCCAGACTTGGCATTGAGAATACCAAAGATCCGACTGATTTGCGCACGCTGGTCACCGCACTTCCAGAGTCAAACGCCAAAGACCCTATCGACAAAGCAGCTTGCGACATGTTCAGTGGTCTTCGGAGCGGACACAAAAACACTGCACAAATACTTCTCACTACCGAGTCCTTTGACCTCCTTGGAGTAACTAGAGAACATGGACTAAACGCGTTTCTGGGCTTCTCGAAATCTAGTTCAGCCCAAGCCTGTACTAAGCCGGTTCTAACTAGCCAGGGACTGAACAAATTCGCGCGCATCGTGAACAGTGGCTGGCTGTCGATCCAGGAAGTTGCTTTTACCTGGATCGAGAATCTCTGTTCTCCCGGATCATGTGCCCAGGGCCACAATACCCGACCCACCGATCAATCCAGCTATCTGCAATACAGATGGCCCGAAGATCTCAAGACGTATGTCGTGCGGATCATCATTGATATTGATGAATACATCTACGAGCGTATGCTTCATCGGGTAGATGACCTCAACCGTCGGATAGTGACAGCGAACCATGAGTCGCGACGCTACGAGTTATCCAGCTTTGATGCTTCGCAGGTCGAGATAGTTCAGACACTGTTCGAACTGCATCTCGATATATATTCACTGATCAAACATCCACACAGTGTCGTCGATGTCGATACCCGAAACTCTCAGAGCGATCGCCTGGAACGATGGGCTACACTGGCGCGAGAAGTCATACAGTTGCGGTCCAGCTGTCAAACTGATCAAGGCATAGACGACCTGGCACTACGCCATGTATGGGCCACGGTTTTTCAGATGAGCGTTACTGACGAGGTCTTGCCAGAGCATGTACTATCTGCAATGGCTGAGTTGAAGACTATGTTTGAGCCCTTGGGCGACCGGACCATACAGTTGCAAAACAACGCTGTCATGCCGGAGCTATCAGTCGCAGCTATCGATCGTGAGCTCGTTCGGATTAGTATGAAGGATTTCTTCCTCAAAGTTTTCGACCAAGAGGAACAGGATCCAGTAACCGTGATAGAGAGCCTGGAGCCTATTTTGGAGCTCGAAAACACCAAGGACACCAAGACATGCATCGAAGCTTCTGCCCCTGACGAGGACGGCCATGATCTCCGCAGTTCACCTACCATGAGTATCGAAGCGGAATCGACATCCGAGAGACAAGCTGGTGGTGATTCATCTCCCGTTCTAGAGATGCGAAAGTTCCTCGACGCTGCCAACGTGAACGTACGGCTCTCTCTTTGGAATAGATTACGCGTTGCTTACGAAGCTATCGACTATCCTTCGAAAGTTCTGTCGTGCTTCTTGCGAAGTATCGAAGCCCTTGTAGATGACTTCAGGTCCTCACAGTTCCAGGAACTACCAGCAGAGGGCCGCCAACACCTGCTTCTGACCCGGTATCGAATCATCGATGATATGGTTGTGAAAATTCTCCAGATAATCCGGGACGACGGTGCACCTTTCGCGTGTCTACCATATGAGCATGTTCAGTCATCCATGTCAGCCATTGCAGAGCTGTTACACATCCTCTCTGCTGCCGACATGCTCCGAGACTTCATCCGCATCAATCAAGTCCCTATGCCCAGAGTCGAGAACCAGCCACCCCAGTCCTTTGCCAACATGATGGTACGAATTGATGACATGCACCTTCGGCTTTGGATGTTGCAGTATCACTTACTGAAGGACGGCTTATCCCAGGACTCTGAAAACTTCCCTATGCCCTCTGAAGACCTTTTCGAGTTCATTCGCCATGTGCACCATGCTACCGGTGTGCGTGGCTTCTGTCATCTCTCTAGCCGTCAGTTTTTGAGACTGGCGAGAGACGAACTACTTCGCATAGATGACATAATCGATGGCCAAAGTCACGCTACAGAACTCTGCCAGGTTCTCTACGACCTCTACGGTCTGAAGTTGTTTGTCGAGCCTTTGGAATGTCAAAACTTTCAGACCGCGCCAGATGCTCTCGACAAGAAGACAGCCTTCAGCATCCTTACCTTCGCAATGTCTCAGGTTACAAAGGTTGATATCAAAGATCTACCGAAGACTGAACTCAAGGGGACCATAGAGAAGATCCACGCAGCCCTGGGTCGACCGAAACAAAATGACGATATCACTTTCAATCGCAAGGTCATATCGACTTATTTCAAATCGCCCGTCAACCCAGTAGAGTTATTCGGCTGTCTCAAGGGTGTTGGCTCATTAGCCACGAAACATATCCCTGCTGAGGAAGCTGTGGCAGCATCGAAAGGTTGGTACTACATGATGGGAGATATCGCACTCAGCAAATTCCGATCGCAGAAACGCATGACACAGGGACCAACGGAAGACCTCAACTACGCCCAAGCATTCTTTGTCCAGGATCTAGAGCACTCGACCGAACGATGGGAAACTTGGTATCGTCTCGCACAAGCCAACGATACACAGCTTGAGGAAGCTGTGTCGTGGAACGCAGACAAAATGAACAGTAACAGCACTGAACTAGTCAACTTCCAGCGTGCTGCCATCAACTGCTATATTATGGCCGTAGCTTGCGCCGTTCGCGATGGCGGCGCAGGTTTGAACACACAGAGTAAGATTGCACAGATGTACACAGACTTTGGCAATCGCATATACGCCTCTTCTAGAGAGCCTTTTGGCATGGAAGCGTTCCAGATTCGCGAGAGCGAGAAGCGATTCTGTAATCTACAGACAAAGGCGACACTTTACAAGGAGGTATCGTTTGTGCCATTGCAAAGCTACACAGCTTGGAAGTACGCCAGTACCCTCTTCAAGCGAGCAATCAAGGGCAATCCAAACAAGTGGTGGAATCACTATATGCTTGGAAAATGTGCGTGGAAGATGTGGGCGGCCAATGATAGTACCATGCGATACGCAATCTCCGCAGGTGCAACCCTCGCTCCTCCGCAAGGGCCAACATGGGAGTCAGTCGTGGAAGCATTGGTCAGCGCAGTCGAGACATTACCCGGAAAGAAGGGACGTAATGGCGAACCGGTCCTTGAGCCGCACTACAAGCTCGTGTCCATCACTCACAAACTTCTTCAGCGCGGCGCCATCGACTACGACAAAGGAGTGAGCATTCTATCAAACACATCCTACGCGCAGAATGTCAAAGCACCAGAAAACACTGGCGACTGGCAGCGATATATACTTGCTGTATTGAAGGCGCTACGTGCAGCAGATAAGTCAAGTTGGCATCACCGCGTCATTGCCCGTGTTGGACATACCATGTACGACGAAGGAAGAACTCTTACATCGGCGCAAGATGCCAAGCACGAAATGATGCAACAGATGTTCACCAAGACTATGAGTCTGCAGGTCTGGAAGCCCGAGAACGAACGACCTGGCAGGCATTTCGTATACACTACGCGTTATACTAAGTTTTTCATCGAGCTGTTGGACATCACTACAGACAAGACTAATTTCGAAGCGCTCGCCAAGCGCGTAAGACGAAAACAAACGGACTACTTTGAACACCAGAAGCTATGGCAAGATCTTTGTTCGCGTTATCTCAAGTTGCTAAGGAGAATTGGTAATGTACCCGAGGGTCAAGAGGATTCTGCTTTCAAATCAGTCAACCACGACGAGTTTAATGTATTGGCTCTTCGCTTGGAGGCCTGGTGTCAGAACCCGGGTACGCAGCATCCGATGCTTGACATCCTTCGCGATGCGATCGAACTCAAGCGCCTCAACAATGGTATGATGAAGCCTCTCCTCATTGACGACCTTATCGGAGATACATACGCAATGCTGTACACTTCCATCGGCCCTTCCCTGTCGCCACTCCCATCGGAGCAACCGCAGCAGCCAGCACAGCCCCGGTCTGCACCATTTGCAGTTACTGCAACATCTACAGGTGCTGTACCAATCTCCTCCTTAATGCAAGTGCAGGTTGATGGTGCCTTAGACTCGAATGCTAGTACTCCGTTCAACATGTACCATCCCAGTCAGCTCCAACAGCCTCCCTCAATGCCACAGATGCCATCGCAGCCTGAGCTGCCGGCAAAACCGCGAGCCAAGGCTGTGGGCCGCAGGGAGATTGCACGGAGAGCTGAAGCATGCGTCCAGAAGGCTGCTGGTGCCGCCTCCCAGTCTACCGCAATGCCCATCCGGTCACCTCCGCCTGTCAATGCTGCTCTTCCTTTCGCAACGGATCAAGAAGCATCACCGGATAACAAGGCAGCTCAGCCTGTTCCCGGTCCAAGCACATCGACCGAACACTTACAGCCTCCGTTCGACAACAGTGGTACAGCAACAGCTGCTGCAAGCGTAACCAATGACGAACCGGAGCGCAGTGCTCCCGGCTCTGTTCACGATGACGCGGACGATGAGAGCGAGCTCAGTGAACTGGACGAAGACGAGGTCGAGGAGATCCACCAAGAGGTGCAGAACGACACGTTGCGCCGTTCGGCTTCCATTGCCGCTTTGAGTAACAAGCCGCTATTCCCTAATCTGGCCGCGAATCGATCGGGCTCTGCAGAGAAGAACAACGAGGCTGAAGAGAGCGATGATGGGACAGATACGATACACGTTCGTATACCTGCTGGGGATAACATGGACGTTGATGAGAAGTAAGATGTTCGTGGGGTTCACTTCGATAGTACACACCAGTGCGTTGGAGTTTTATTTCTGTGTATTCAATATCTTTGTATTACCACATGGTCAAGTAGTATTTCATCGACACCGCTATCGTTGAAAAGGTGTAAGGGGTGTCTTTCATTTGTGTTTCTCTTGCGAGATTTCTAGATACCCATGACCATAGGGCTTAGATGTATAATACTGTCTCAAGCTTTTCTAGTATAATGCTGCGTTGACACTCCTGGCTTCTAATGTGTTCATCTGTGTCGTTGCCCCCATCATCATCGCGACTTCCTCGTCGGTATCCACTGGCAGCTTCCCCGTGTCGTGCTTGAGAAGAAATTTGCCAACGTGGTCAGGTACATTGTTCTCGGTCTTAGAAGTGAAGCGGACGTATATATTCGATGGTATTGGTCTCCACCCACGCTATCGCCGCACAACTATCGACGAAGCACGAGACTTTGCCCGTCTTGGCTACCTGATTCTTGATGGCGAACAATATCACGTTGTCGCTCCAGCGCAGATTAGTGCCGGTCCATTGAGTAACCCCTCGATGCCGGCAGTGGCGGCTGGTATTGAGGCCCAGCTGGAAAATGTCATTAACCAGGAGGGTATTATCGCGACGGGGTCCGGGGCGGCGACTGACGCGTACAACGCGGCACAGGAGCATCGTGAGTGGGAGTATAAAGCTTTCACCCAGTCATAACTCATACAAAATTCAGACGGCGACGTGTTTGCGGACAGCGATGATGGCGATGGCGATGGCAATGGCGATACCACTGAGGGTATGTAACCAACGACTCTGAGTTTACGCAGCTATACTGACAGAATCCCAGCTTCGTCGTCTTCTTCCTCTAGGTCGGACGGTCGTTCATTAACAACTTGAGCTGGCTCTGAGTAGAGGTATATGAGTCTGAAGATAGTTTACGGCGTTGGTCGATACCCTGAATTCCACATCATAGTAAATCAACAAGTCTATTGTGCAGCACGACTGCCATGTAGCTGCCTACTTTACTTAGCTACTTACTTGACGTAGCTTGGGTGATCTGTGTAACAGCTCAGCACCTTCTTACATAGTTGAACAATGCAAAATGTTACCCATGTAGTCGCATAAGATGCCACTATTGCTGAAAATAAGTGGTAGGAGTGGAGGAAACAAAAAAGAGAAGTGTGTATGTAAACACTGCTTGTCTAGTGTGCTAAAAAGTGCAAAAAAGAATGTCGCAATTTATTGGCGGTACTGGGAACTGTAGACATGTTAGTAATGTCTCAGGACCGCCAATGTGGAATAGAACGTACTCGAACCCAGGCTGGCGCGGATCTGGATCAGGACACTAGGTGCCCGCCAGCCACAACGCGACGTCATACCACTAGACCATACCACCGTATGATTTGTTTGATGGAGAAAACTCTGCAAAATTGGATTATATACTTGACCCCGCAGCTTTTGAAGCGGATGGACGGGCCCTTCAATCTGTTTCTCACTCTCATGTTGGTATGACTGTGAGGGGCAAGTAATTTTGAGCGGCGTTGTGGAGGTCTGTGCTCCCCGCTAAAGGTGGGGCTGCCTTTTCGTGGGAGTTGGGATGTTCTTTCTTCAACAACCATTGCCCGCGCGAAGCAAAGGACCCATGTCTATAGGTATGTACGCAACATTTTGCAGTTGATACAGCAAGATTCCGAGCAATGGGACTATATGCATTAGTGGCCTAGCAAACACTGCCAGCCTTCCTACTTGCTCGAGCATCGCATTAATAAGAGCCGTTCTACGCTAATGCCGCATAAGGCGAGATAACTTGCATATTACTGGATACCGCTAACGCTTGCATCCAGATCCCAACTCACCCCGGCAGTCGCGTGGCAAGCAACGCAGGTCTTACCGCGTAGAAGAAGAGTACTCTTTTCTGGACGAGGACGAAGATGGGACCGCACCTTCTTCAGCGCCCGGCCAGGGCCTCGGCGGAGATGACGATGAAGATGGTGACGACTTTATGCCTGATGCGCAAGAAGAGGTGGCCGAAGAAGATCTCGGAGACGATTTAGTGGAAGATGAGGAAGACGAGGATGCAGAAGAAGAAGAGATGGAATATTCTGACGACGACGACTTTGGAGGGCCACGGAGACGCAATGCTCGCGGTTCCCATCCGATTCTTGTCGCGCCCACCACGTCTATGGTTCAACGACACAAACAACTTACAGAAAATATACCATCGCCCATCACATTCGCCAAAGGTGCTGGTATCAAAGTGCGCGAGGCGGATGGAGAGAATAAGTTGCACACACGGGGTGTCCCGGATTTCGACAAAGTAGGCGGCCATGAGCCACGCTTGAAAAACTTGTTCGGACCGGATGGGCAGCACGTTAGACCTGTACTCGCGTCGCGCGACTACTGGTTCCCGCAAGAGACATTTCCTATCCGGAATTTTGCACAGATAAAAACGGATGATGCTGATTTTGGGAGTCTGAGAAGAAGCTTCTTCGAGATCAGTTGGGCTAGAGAAAAAGAAAACAAGGCACTCAGAACATGGTATACCGATACAGGAAGGGCAGCCTTTGCAGCTGCACAAGATGCCAGAAAACTGAGTTCGGATGAAGCTAAGCCATACTTGACGAATGCTGGACCAGAAATACTAAACGTACTTTCCGGACCTGTCAATTCGCCCCTAGTCCACACTTTGGCAAAAGGTTCGCACTTGAATATTGCGGATCCTTTCCCGACTAGTCAGAATAGAAGGGGCTGGCTCTTCAATCTCGGGTCAAGAGTACAGGACGCTCAATGGGCAACCAACGAAGATAGCAGTACACAGTATCTCGCTGTTGCTGTCGAGCAGAAGCCCACAGGCGAGCCGCAACCTAAACCAATGGAGCACCCGAAAGCACCTGCATTCAACGCGACTCCACAATATCCAGCATCAATCCAGATATGGGCTTTCGAAGCTACCGATGAGGGTGAACTTGACAGTTCGAAGGAACCCAGACTTATGCTCGTCATTTGCGCTGACTGGGGCGCACCGAAGCAGCTTAAATGGTGCCCTGTGGGCGCGACAGACAAAACTCAAGGATCTGGTGACGGGCAAGAGACGCATATTGGTATGCTTGCAAGCATTTGGTCGGATGGACGGGTGCGTGTTTTGGATTTGAGTGCACCAAACCAAGGACCGGATAATGATACTCCCACGCATCTTTACGTTTCCCACGCAGCATTCGAGGTATGGCTTCCTCAGACGATACCTTCGTGCCTTGATTGGTTATCAGGAACCATGATTGCAGTTGCATCTGCTGCCGGCACAGTAGGCATATGGAGCCTCACGCGTCCAGACACGCTTGCGCCGTCCAATACCGCGAACTACAGCCCCAGACCCTGGCTCTATCAGCAATTAGCCGACACGTACATTCTCACAATCTCCTCTGCATGGCCATCGAATCCACAATTTCTCTCAATCACTACCGCGGACGGATTTGCACGACTCTTTGACATCCGTAGCTTAAAAGCTGACCAGGCTGCTTCGATACGTGGCCGTACGCTGTGTCCAACACAAGCGTGGCACGAGCACACACAGTCATTCGTGATGCCGGATGAGCATTACATCTTGCGGCATACATCTCTTCGCCGCTACTACCACAATTTGTATAGCATGCGAATGGAAAACAGCATTGTGCGGGTGGCAACAAGCCCTGTCCACCCTGGTGTGCTCGTTGGTGGTACTGATGGAGATGTTCAGACGACCAATCCGCTAGGCAGGATTGTTAACTACAAGACCATACCATGGCAACAACGATGGTTTGTACATGAATGGAGAGGACCCATGAACAGGATGTTGGTCCAGCCGACCGAAGGTGCAGATGTTGAAGTGCGCGAAGGTGGGCCAGTCGAACATCCAAGCGATACCACCACAGCGACCGTGGAGAATACCATTGCAACTAACCCAGCCCCAGAACCCAAGATTGTACCTCGGGATATACTCTCGAAACCTATGGTTCGCATTACTGAAGGATACAAGGCAACCCAGCACGGCATCACACTCGGTGCCGCGTCGAAGAAGAAGGGGCAGCCTGAAATTGCAAGGTCCATCAGCATCTTCGAGGAGCGATCTGCCATTACGGCACTAGCATGGAATCCAAACTTGAAATACGGGACATGGGCTGTCGCAGGAATGGGATCAGGGCTACTACGTGTCGAGGACGTTGGTATCTCTGGAAAGAAGTAGACAGCTTTCACAGTGTTGATCGAATTGATTGGGAGACAAAGGATGATTGTGAGTGGAAGACAAAGCAGAGACATCATAGCAAAGGGCAATAATGGAGTCTTCGAGACAATGTCCTTGTTTGATTGATGGTCCATCATCAACATAACATCCATAGAGCTGCATAATTCTGCATCCTCTTGATTAAAACCAAGAAAGACAAAATCAGCAGTATCTCTCTCTATAATATAACCAAAATGGTCAAACTAACTTCCATGCCCACATTTACTTACACCAGGCCATCCCGTACTGGCACCGGCACCCGCTCGCGCACTGTAACATACACCGACAAGAACAAAACAGTCCCCGTCCGAGTCACCGCCCACAACGTTATCGACCTACGCAAATGGTGCACCAAAAAACGCCCCTCATACTGGCCCTCGCACCTGAACTGGCCCAAAGACATCGCCAAGTCCCTCATCTACACAGTCCCTCGCGACGTCAACACCACTGAAAAGACGAACGTAAAGACTAGCAATGCTGTGCAGCCCCTACGTATAAAAGGCTGCTTCACGGGTTGCCAAGGCCTAAACTGCCCCAACCCCAAGCGCAAAGGAATCAAACGCACAGATCCCCCATGCACCTGCATGATAACATCCCACGCATCCCTAAACAACCCGACCTGGTTCGAAAACAACGTTCGGCTGGAGAAAACAGCTTCTCGCGGCATCGGCACAATAGCCCTCTCCACCTTCGCCGTCGGCACCGTGGTCGGCGAGTATGTGGGCGAGATAGTTCCTGCAGAAGGGTCTATGGGGTACTTCAGCCCGTACATGTTTGAGATGCGGAATAACAGGGAGAATCTTGGGAACATGGATGCGTTGAAGGTGGGGAGTTGGACGCGGTTTATCAATCATTCTTGTGAGGCGAATATGGCGTTTGAGCTGCATAGGGTTGGGGCTGAGGTGAGGGTTTTTGTGAGAGTGAGGAGGGAGGTTGCGGCGGGGGAGGAACTGACTGTAAATTATGGGAAGGATTATTGGCACGGGATTGGGGTTGAGAAGTGTTGCTGTGGGGAGGAGAGCTGTATTGGAAAGAAGTGAGAACTGGGTTTTTGTATTGATATTTTGCTTGATATTGTACAATTATGTTTTCTTATGTTGTTTTTTACCATTGTCTACGCAATTTTCCCTACTCTGCGAATAAGCTCTCCAATATCATACCATATGCCTCAGCTGCTTGTATCAGCTCATCTTGACTCAATCCCTCATTATCCGTGTGTGCAACTTCAATCGTACCAGTGCCATAAAGATACTTTTTTTCAACTTGTGGCAGGCTGGGAATATCCGTTCCGTAGAAGACAGGCGCAACCTCCAGGCCCTCAATGTCGGTATCCAGAATCGGCGCCGGATACGTGGTATTGGCGAAAAGAACATTGAAAGTTGCATTTGCTTCCTTTGCTCGACTGGCAATAGGAGAAAGCATGCCCGCCATCATGTCTTTCACGACCTCGACTGCGTCGTCTTCGCTCCTCGCTATGCGAACGACAATACTAGCATTGGCATGCTCTGGTACAACGTTTCCTGCGACACCGCCCATTATGCGCCCCGCATTTAGTGTCGTAGCACCAAGTAGCTCGCTACTCGGAAGTGCAGGCTCAAGCATATTCAACGCCATGATTGCCTCAGCGAGGTAGTTGATCGCGCTCACACCAAGCCAGGGGTAAGCGGAGTGTGCGGCTTTGCCCGTGACATTCAAGTCAACGCGTAGACTGCCTTTGTGTCCGCTAGCAAGCTTGCCTTCCGTTGGCTCGCCGAAGATGCCGGCACGGAAGGTCATGTTGGAGGCATACTTGGCAAATGCTTTCATTCCAGTGCCGCCAATTTCTTCGCTAACAACGAATAACATACCTAGGCTAGGTGTGTCGGTGCGTGATTGGAAGAACTTGTGCGTTGCAATGATCATGGTCGCTATGGGCCCTTTGGCGTCGACTGTGCCACGACCATAGTGATAGACTGTACCGTTCTCTTCTCGGCGTTCGAAAGGATAGAATGGTGGGACCTTGCTCTGATTTAGCTACTTGGAAGACAGATTGATACAAGATTTTGCGCTTACAGTATCGATATGACTCGTAATCAGAACTTCGGGCCATGTTCCTTCATCTTTGAGCGCCTGCGGATAAGCGAAGACGTTAAAGGTGCCAGTGTCTCCTACTGGCACCTCATCAACATAGTAACCCAAACCAGTCAAGTACTCGGACAAGAAGTTGGCACATTCGACTTCGTCCTCGGAGATGGAGGGAATATTAACCAGCTCTTCATGGAGGTTGAAAAGCTTGTCTATTTCTTCTGTCGTGAGAGAGGTGTGCCGGCTTGCAATTTTTTGACTGTCTGATTTCACAACAGATCCAGCATTGGGAACCTGCGGTGCTGCGACTGCAAACTGAAGAGCGACTAGCGCCACAAAAGATCTGAGGACAGTCATTCTGACGATTACCTGGCAGATTCGAGGGATGATGAAACGTAGCTCGGGGGCTTCTAGCAGGCTGATATGTGGAGTATTAGTGCCTTCTTATACCTGAAGAGCATCTTTGTCCTCGGAAGACATCATCCACTTTTGGCAACATCCCGGGTGCCTATCATGAGATGAGCCGTATCAATTGCCAAGCCATGATATGATGAGGCCCCCTGCAAGTGGTGAAGCTTTGAAGGTTGGCATACGTCGTGCAACATGCGGCTCCACTCACTCAATGTCATCTTCTGCTGTCTTCAGTACGACAGGGATACATAACAGGTGACCAATGTTCGCTTGGATTCTTTATTGCACACGATGAAGAGGTTCAGAATGTAGACCAAGCAAGTTACGATTTATTAGCGTAGCTGGCGCGATCAACGGAAGAACGAGTATGGTTATGCAAAGCAGTCTTTATAGTTCGTTCTGTGACAGGATTTTTACCGGTGATAGTAGGTTAGATTAGTCGTATGATGTCAATGGTGACAACGGGTGCAAATGCGGGGTGCGATGCTCTTATCCCGGAAGGATATGGTAAGCGTAACCTTGGCAGCCACGGTAACATGAGGGCTTGAGTACTTTGTCCTGCCAAATTGGGTAATGCGAGGATGAAGTTCTAATCGCCGTAGAAATGCCGGACATGCCCGCTTTGGTGCCGGCGACAATACAGATACAACCGTGACTCCACAACCTTGACGACCTCGTAAGCTACTATGGCAAGTGAGATATCGCAAAGCTACTGTAAGGCAAATAAAGTAGAAATATGATATTCATGTTTGAAGATCGTTCACATGGTTGTAGTGGGGGCGCAGCTGCAGCTATCCAGCCAACACACTCAATCCGATGATGGGTTTCGCATTGGAAGTAATAGAGCAGAAAAAGGAATGATGTAGTGACGTCGTAGGTGCAGTAGCTCGTCTATGCATGCATTCGTCGAGAGAAGGTTGGCCACTTGCTCAGCGCCATAATCAACATGTTTGAACTCCAGCGATGATCCCGAGACATCGGAATTGATCCGCACACATGGCTATTACATTGCCCGTTTTACCAGCTGACTCTCAAAGCGCTCGTGGAAGACAAAGAAGCCGAGGGAGGATAGCGTGCCGCGCTTGACCGCCTTTGGCCGGATTGGCGTCCCATGCATGCATCACAGGCTGGACTCGACACATCCGCGTACGGACCGGTGCGAAGCTTGAGCTTTTACCTTTAACTGTCGCGTCGTGTTCTTTACCGCACACCTTCACCACTGGAATACACCCAAAGGATTGCAATCATGTTCGGGTTTGTCGCTGACGGCTTGACGTGAGTATACCCCGCCCCCGCCGTCAATGTGTTTGGAGCAAACTCCGGAGTTTGGTATACGGGTACCTGGGCTGCTGGCTGCACTTTTGGAGCTTGCAGGGTCGTGAATACCACCGAGGACTTGGTCAAAATCTCTTTTTGCTATCAACTCATCAACTACCTTGCTAACAATACGTAGCGTCGCAACCACCGTCTTCTTCCCCATATTCGCATCCTACAAAGCCTTGCACACGTCAGACCCGGCACTCCTCGCACCATGGCTGATCTACTTCGTCGTCCTCTCAGCCTTTACCGCGGTCGAAAACACGTTCGACTTCATACTTAGTTGGGTCCCTTTTTACTCATGGATCCGCTTCTTCGCACATCTATACCTGATTCTGCCTGGTTCGCAGGGAGCCAACTATCTCTATCAAGAATACATGGAGCCATTCCTGTACCACCACGAGAGAGAAATTGATGAGTTCATAAGCCAGAGCCATGACCGAGCTAAATCGGCGGGAATGGCATACGTGGAGATGGGAATTGAATGGGTCAGGGTCAACTTGCTGGGCTTCGCACCGAAGAAGCCTCAATCGCCCAGACCCGATGGACAAACATATGCACAGAATCTGATGAGCAGGTTCCAAATGCCATCGGCAAGGGGCAGCAACGATCTATACGGATTAGTGAACCAAGCACTCAGCGGAGCCAGTGCACTCTACGGTGCTGGCGCTGCGGGTGGTGCTGGTGCGAGTAGTGCAGGAACTCGAGACGCCCGAGCTACAGACCTGAGCCGCGGTGCAGCGAACCTTGTTCCAGACAACATCCGCAACAACGCCGACCGAATGAGCTACGTCACTTCGCAACGTGAGCGCCTCGAGACGCTCCTCCAAGCCTTTACACGCGAGCAAGAGAACATACAATCGCAGCAAACTGGCGGACATGTATATCACGATGGTGCGAGCAGCGGAAGCCGCTCGGGCACTATTTCGCGCAACAGGAGCGAGGTCGAGTTTGACAGGATTGAGCGCGACGAACTGAGCTCTGGCTCTGATCGGCCTCCTTACCCCCTCACGCCTCCCCCGCTAGACCGACGGACAAGCAGCGGATGGATGCCTTGGAACTGGCAGCGTCAGGAGCAGCAGGAAGATCCTCTGGCATATGGACGAGAGCCCAGCGACGTGAGGAACAGGGCAAGGGCGTCTGGTTTTGATCTCGGCGATCGTTAGCACAACCTTGGAAATGGGAATTTATGACATCATGGCTCGCTTTGGCGTTTAGGTAGCATGGCAGATGGCAGATGGCAGATGGCACTCTGCTAGGCCTCATGACTATAAGATAGATCTGTATACACGGTACCCCGGTTACTGGGTACGAGCGGAAATGGTTGTTTTGGTATTGTTACAACCTATACATACACCAACATATCATGTACGATGCCATACGCCCCATGTAGGCGTCCGCCATCCGGATCTTCATGCCCATCTATGCCTTCACTTCTTTGTATGGATACTTTGCCGTGTCGTCCTTCCTCAGCACAATCTTCCTCTTCTTTTTTGTGCTCACATGCTCCACCCACACTTCCTTTGTCATCTTGCTCGTAAATTCCCTAATGAAGCGAGGGTCCCAGAGCTCAGATGCAATACCCAAGTCTTTACAGCATCGCATCAGAGCATTAGATTTGCAGCCCTCGGTCGCGGTGGGAATACCGTCGGGATCGAAATATTGTTGCTCGCCACGGGCTATGGAAACGAGTCTGTGTAGCACATTTAGCATTATCATTTTCACAGGTGAATTGTACATCATACCTTCCCTGCACAACAAGACCATACTCCCTCGTAATCAACTTGCCAGTCACAATACTCTCGCCTCTCGGCGCCAGCCCCCATCCTCCGGGCCCAAACGCCTTGTTCAGTATCCGCCTGTACTTGATTTCTGGTAGGTATATGATGCCATCAGGCTTGACCTCGACATCGTCTTGTGTAATGGGCGCAAGTAGTGTGTCCGACTGCTCTGGCGTGAATGATATGCTGCCGAGTCCATGGTAGGAGCGCGTCCAATCTATCGCTGGTACACCTTCTAGTTCGGGCGGAGCATCGGAGAGCCCGTCAGTTAAGGACCTTTGCTTGCGAGCTGCCTGTGCAGCAGTGTCGGCGGCATTGGTGCGTGTGGTAGGCACCGGGGGTTCCTTGGCAGGGAATGAAGGCACGACTGTCCGTTGCGGCGTAGCAGTCGATGATGTGGTCGCTGGTCTTGGTACTGTTGATGTTGTAGTTGCTGGTTTCACCGTAGAGGTTGTTGTCGTTGTCGACGTTGTCGCAGCCTTAGGCGCTGGTGTCGCGTATGCGGCGCAGATGCGGGACGAAGAGAAACTGCGTTGTGATGTCCGGTAGGCCAATGGCGATGCTCTCGAAGTCGAGACTGAGATTAGGGCTGCTACGCCTCTGCGTGCCGGTATTGCTGTCATTTTGCCAATCTCAGGGTTGGGATTTGAGATCTTTTCTTCGACATGGGAACGTCAATAACGCGAAGTCACGATAGACGCACGGACCCGGATGGTTGAAAATCGGGTATTCGCCTCTTACCTTCCGCCCGCCTCGCTGACGGCTACCGTGGTCCACAGATGGCCATGTCAGAACTGAATCCAAACGGCGCCTCCCGCCCGCGCCTCAGCCTCGCAGCATACATGAGCGCTGCAAAGTCAAATTCGACGTCCGATTCCGATGACGAAAGTCCGACTTCCTTCATGCCCAAATCCAGGTGGTTTCATGACACAGCTCCTCACTCATACCTGTCACTGGGTTGGACGTTGGACTTGCCGGTACTGGGATAGCGTTTAAAGTGCAGATCGCACCTAGACAGCATCTCCCCTCATACTTAGGACGCGCATACCGATGCTACCTCGTACACTATAGTAAGTGTCTAACGCCAGGACATACGTAATGACTAGGGACTCTTCTGCCGCCTATCACACCTGCTCTCTATGTCATCACCCACTAGCACAAAACGGCGAGGATTATTCCCTTCCCACCGTGTGTGTAAATAGATGATTACACTGATCGCCGGTCAAATTATGTCGGACTAGAAAGGATGCCGTTCGATTTCGGCCATAAAAGGCTACAAGTGCACTTGGCTACCGCTACTGCCAATGCATGATGAAGCACTGAGGTGGACACAACGCAATTCAAAACACTGGAAGGTGTTGCATTCTCCCATTTCCTACCATCCGATGGAGTCGATCTTACCCGAGTAGTCGTGGGTAGTAACGCGACAAACAGGTTAACTCCGCCGCGCTGTTGGGAAACCCCATGAAATATAGCCGTGAAACGCATAGCCGATTAGCTAGACCCCGGCTGCCGGCTACCATGTATCCAGGTCGTGGCTGGGCTAAGGCGAGTAAATGACCCTGGGGCTGCGAAGCTATGTGGTGATTCCGCCTCTTTTCGTCCAGCACAACAGTGACCTGTGGCCTTCAACGTATATTTAAACGTCATTCAACCCGCCTATTTCAGGGCATATCGGGGTTATGAGAATGCAAATATAATGTCATCGAGAACAGCAGATAGTCCGACAGGACTCAAGATGGCTCCGATGTCCCAAATCTTTGGTACCATAGCTGCCTGTGTACGTACATCTCGGACTAAATGGAAAGCTCACAAGTTTGGTGTCACATACTTACGGATTATAGTTGATTGTCCGTTTCATTGTCAGAGCCATATACCGCGTGTACTTCCACCCACTCAGCAAGTTTCCTGGGCCAAAACTTTACGCAGCAACACGCATTCCATTCCTTTATGTTTCAGCTACTGGCCAGAGCAACAATGCCCTCTACGATTTGCACCAAAAGTATGGACGTATAGTCAGGACCCAGTACGACGAGTTGAGTTTCGCTGATCCTGATGCTTGGAAAGATGTAAGTAACTATCCTGAGTGACTGGACCGTTTGGTTTAGTGTTTTGAGTAGACGCCTCGGCTCTTGCACTTTGACTGACGTCCCACAGATCTATGGCCATGGTACGAAAGGCACCGCAGGGGCTCCTCCTCCCAAAGCATGGGACAGATATCCGGCACCACCCAACAACGTACATGGCATTATCAGCGCCCCCGACCAAGATCACGCTCGTACACGAAAGATTTTCACGCCTGCCTTTTCGGATCGCGCTCTGAAACAACAAGAGCCACTTTTCTTCAAATACATGGACAAGCTCGTGTCTCTACTGAAGAAGGAAGCCAGCGAGGACCCAGACAAGAAGTTCGACATGGTTCGTATGTATAACTTCACTACCTTCGATGTCATGGGCGATTTGACTTTCGGAGAATCGCTACACATGCTCGACAATGCCGAATACGATCCATGGGTAAGAGATATCTTCGCTTCTTTAAAGGTTTCATACATAATCCAGCTGTTGGCACTGTACCCTATTATATGGCGTTTGTGGAAAACCTTCATGCCGGAGTCGATTAATCAAAAGCGCATACGCCATCACGAATACTCGGTAACACGCGTCACGAAGCGCCTGGAAAAAGGACGGGAGAGCAAGGGCGTCGACCTGTGGGATTTCGTGCTCAATAAAAAGGGGGAACAAGGTATGAGCAGACAAGAAATGGATACGAACGCCGAATTTTTCATGGTTGCTGGAACAGAGACGACGGCCACTCTGGTGTCGGGTCTGACATTTTTGTTGCTCACCAACCCGGATTGCATGAAGAAGCTTTGCGACGAGGTACGCGGCCAATTCGCAACAGATGCCGACATGAGCATGGAAGTGATAGCTGCGCTGCCCTACCTGTCGGCATGCATCAAGGAAGCTCTCCGTCTGTACCCGCCGTTAGCCACGGGCCTTCAACGCCACACACCAGAGATTGGCAGCACAATCAACGGTACATTTATCCCTCCAGCCGCCACTGTTTTCATGGCTCAGCACGCGATGTATCGCAGTGCGCAAAACTTCAAGAGGCCTATGGAGTTCCTTCCGCAGAGATGGTTAGGTGACCCGGAGTTTGAGGAAGATAAGAGACACTGCGTTCAGCCCTTTTCGGTTGGAACAAGAGATTGCATTGGCAAAAAGTAAGCTCTTTCTTGTCCCCGTAGACTGTCGCTGCAGCATATGCGTATTAGAGAAACCAAGCTGACATTTGATCTAGTATGGCATACCATGAAATGCGTCTCATCATGGCCAAGGTCTTGTACAATTTTGATATGGAGCTCTGCCCTGAGAGCAACAACTGGTTAGACCAGGACACCTATGTCATATGGGAGAAGAAGCCGCTTATCTGCAAGGTGAAAAGCGTAAACTAGTCAATCTTTGGGGGTGGAAATTGCGTTTGGGAGTCAGTAACTTGATCATTGAAGAGGCGGCATTGGGAATTTCTTTTTCCAAATCTACCACATTCATTGCTGATACGCATCTGTATGCCTGCTACTATCCAATGTGCCTCAGCTGGGACGTATATTTGTCATGATGTGAAATTGTGAGGTGTTCACAAGCAAGGCTGACATGAGGTCGGATGTCGGCCGGGGATCGTTCCGGTTTTGGAAACCGTTGGACGCATATCCCAATCGCGAGATGGTAATCCGTATCCGCTTCCGTTCCGCTGCAGTATCAGATGTGATGATTGAGCATGTCAGCCTGTCAACATGTCGCCGACAGCTCGAAACCGCCGTCTTGTGCCCCCACTGGGGATCCGGTGCGGCGCGCATGCCACGCGAGCAATGACGTGCCACGAGCTCTCTCGCTCCCTCGGCGAGCGCGTGCGTGACCACGGTGTAGTCGCTAACGTCCATCCCGTATATACTCGCTCTGGCAGCATCTGCGAACGCCTTGAGCCCCATATTTCCACGTCCTGATCAGCAACAACTACCGAACCCCTATGACGCGCTTGGGGCTGTTACCCATTGGTCGTTACCGTCTCCGCTCGATCCGCTAAATGCTCCTCACGCCTCGCAGCTACTCACTCGCCCAGATTGCAGACCAAGGCCGCATCCACCCTGAACCCTCGTTCTTTCTGTGCACACCGTCGCGGAGAGAGTTGGAAGCCGAAAAGAAGCGCGCGCTGAGGATGCTGTTGTTGCATCAGAAGGGGAGCGTGAAAGTGGGAGAGGTAGTGAGGTAAGTGGTGAGGTTTCGTCTAGTCTGGCGACACCAGGCTTCGGGCGTGCATGCGACTTCCGATGTGGGACTGCAAGTGCACGCGCGAGGCTCGAGATGCGCGTGGAGGGGTACTAAATCATCGTCCAGGTACACCCTTACATACACACCCTCCGAAGACCGAATATTACCGCCACCCTCTTTCCTCCATGTTCGCATACGGAACTCATCCGCCATTCCTCTACGCGCCGCATACCTTCACGGACCCTACACAATCCACGTATCCGCCTATCCCTCCACCTTCCACCCAAACAAAAAGGATGACGACTCGAAAATCTACGGCGAGCCTGACTTCGAGCCAAATGTCAAGGCCGGTGGCTACTGGAACACCAAATTGACGGTGCCGGAGCATACTAGGAATGAAGAAAGAGAAGATGACGGGACGCCGAAGAGCGTAACATGGATTATTGAGATCGCCTCCCAGATTATCTTTTCCAACTCGGCATCAGTCAGCTACGAACTGCTGGTGGCACGGGACGAGCGGTCATTGGACTTGGGCTTTACTGCTGTAACCGGTAACAGTCATGGGACGCCAGGAAAGGTTCAGGATCATCAACAGGGCAGCCAGAAGCACGCCTCCCAGCATGGTGCCCAACCTAAAGGGGTCTACTCCAAGGCCGTCAAATTGGTTGTGGAGGACACTACGAGCCTGTGGAATAAGCCCGAGTTGCCAGAATGGAAAGACGAGGAGCACGACGACAAGCATAAATCTAAGAGCGAGCATGCACAAGATGAGGAACCACGCAAGAAGAAGAACATCCACCTGGTAATAGTGACACATGGGCTGCACAGTAATCTCGGTGCGGATATGCTATACCTGAAAGAAAGCATAGATGCAACCGCAAGGCAAGCGCGGGAAGATCGGCGGAGACGGCGCAGAGAAGAGAAGGGAGCAAAGAAGAACGAGACTAAAAATGATACATCGACTGCACCCCTATCAGGCGGTCAGGATGACATCTCAGATAGCGAAGAGGATGACGACGAGGAAGACGTGATCGTGCGTGGCTTCGATGGCAACGTTATACGCACCGAGCGCGGCATTCAGTATCTTGGGAAACGGCTCGCCAAGTACGTTTTGACTCTAACATATCCTGACCAACCATTCCTGCCGACCAAAAAGACCATGGGGCAAAAGCTGTCAAATCCATTCTCGCCCACAAAAGACAAGTACGACGAGGGGTTGCCTTCTCATCACGGTAGCAGTGTGCACCAGACGCCTATCGCAAAAAGAGACAAACGTGCATACAAGTTTACCAGTATCAGTTTCATAGGCCATTCACTCGGTGGCTTGGTACAGACATATGCCATTGCTTATATCTATAAGCATTCACCCCACTTCTTCGACACGATCAAGCCCATCAACTTCATCGCCATGGCGACTCCATTCTTGGGGTTGAGTAATGAGAACCCAACCTATGTCAAGTTTGCATTAGATTTTGGACTAGTTGGCAGAACGGGACAGGATTTGGGTTTGACCTGGAGGGCACCGACATTGGCAAGAAGTGGCTGGACGGCCATGGGTAATGTGTTCAGCAATCAGACTCAGAATCGAGACGCGGAAGATCCTGGTGCAAAACCCTTGTTACGCATCCTTCCTACTGGCCCAGCCCATAGGGTTCTACGCATGTTCCGCAACCGCACGATCTACTCAAATGTAGTCAACGACGGCATAGTACCACTGCGGACGAGTTGCCTTTTGTTCTTGGATTGGAGAGGGCTGGGCCGGGTCCAGAAGGCGCGTAGGGAGAATGGTCTCATTGGGACAGTGGCTGTGTGGGGCTACGGGCAACTGACGGGTCAAAACTCCTCGCCAAACCCATCCAGGGTTGGCTTCTCCGACGATGACAGTTCCGGCGTCGAATCGCCCACGTACGCTGGTGACGGTACCGCTGTACCGTTGCCAGGCGAGGATGTCACCAACCAGGAAGATGAGACGCAGACTTCCGCGATCGATCCAGCAACCCATGAAGTCATTGAAGGGCAGAAGAAGAGTCCTACACCGAAGGACCAGGATGATCAGTACTTCCAGCCTCAAAATACCCTCATGCAGCTCTGGAGCTATATCAGACCAACGGGAAAGCATACCGCGAAGGACAAGAAGATGTTCACACGTAGTCAGACCATCTACAAGGACGATGAAGACGATTTGAGTTCGCCCGAAGCGGAAAGTTCAGGATCATCACATTCCACACAACGGAGGAAGAGACCCCAAGCCACTCGTGGTGATTCGATTGTCGGTAACCCCAACAATCACAGGGCACCCCCTAAAACGACAATCTTCGAGTCCGCTGGCGATTTGATCAACCCACCTGTTCCTCCAAAGTCTTGGATCAACGACCCTTCCACCCGTGCACGCGCCATTTTCCATGACAGGATCTACCATCCTGAAGATATCCCACCTCCGCCTACTAAGAAGAAGCCCACACGCAACTTATCGGCGGATAGCGCTTCCTCGCAGACATCGACAACAAGCATCGACGAGAGTGTTATGCGCGTAGAAGAGCGAATCGCTCGTGCCTACCACAAGGATCTTTCGTGGCGCAAGGTTTTGGTGAGCCTGGAGCCTGACGCGCATAACAACATGATAGTACGCCGCATGTTTGCTAATGCTTATGGCTGGCCTGTCGTCAAGCACCTCTGTGATACGCACTTTGCGGATACATACTCAGCCGGGACACGCGATGAGGATGAACCCGCCCTCGACCGCGCGGAACCCATGGATAAACCTGTCAGTGTGAATGGCGAACGTGTCAAGGGACAGGAGAATGTACAGCCGCCTATTGAGCGCACTGAGAGCGAAATGAGGGAGGTAGCCGACGAGCTAGCTCCACTGAAGCCGCCTCATATCAAGATTCCAAAGCGAACGAATACGACAGAGTCGATCCGCAGCGCATCATCTGCCGACTGGGACAGCATCTATTTCAACGAGAGTAGCGACGACGACGACGAATTCGACGACCGAAATGCTGTCCAGCGCTTCTTCCAGCCCAATAACCCGAGGGGCCAACCAAGTCCCACACTGAGTGGACCCAAGTCACCAGAGGCACAAGGCACCAGTGATGCAGATATCTCCGACTTTCTCCGTGGACCCAACCGTGTCGAATACCGTCGGGGTCTCGGCGCAGGTCCAAGCAGCAGCAGTAGCAGTAGCAACAAGCCCACGAAGTTGACCCGCGAACCGGAGCCTATTGAGTCTACTGGCGAGATGCCAACTTTGCTTGAGGAGGGTACGCTTTCAGACAGCCCGCCTGAGGTACCAGGTGGTAGGATCAGTGGCGTGGGGTTAAGGAATTCGATTGATATTCCTGCGTCGCCCGACGGCACCAAGACAAGGAGTCTAAGTGGCGGTGTTGTTGAGCAGGTTGTTAGATTGAGTAGTAGTCCGAAGACCGACAAGTCTGGTACAGGCGGCTCTTAGTATAGAGTTTGTCATCGGATAAGACTCCTGAGCAGGCAAGGGCGGAGCGTAAAGCGACTCTGAGCAGCACTCCAAAGATCGAACAATGAAGTGCATCTCCATGGGACAGAGCTCGTGGTAGGCTAAGAGAGACGGGGGCGGAGCATGAGGTGAGGAAGAAGAAGAGCAAGTGATGATGTGGATTGGATCTTTCAGCGCAGCGACGCACCTATATTTTCTTGTAATAGCGGCCCACAGGTATTCTTTTCAGTTCCCTATCCATGTTCATTCAAGCGTTGGTTTCTAATGGGTCCGGGTGTTACGTGACGTTGGTGTTTGGATCAGTGCACAGAGACACGGCTGCCACACGGACGATGGCATGGACGTGCTGTGGCACAGCTGCGCACAGTAAAAGATATCCCGTATGAAGAAACATACCTCTCCATCATCATCATCATCATCATCATCACCTTCTTCTTAGAGTATTTTCTCCTTTCTCATTCCTTCTGTTTGGGATGATGGTGGCACTTCCTGTCTTTATCTTCGATGACCCCTGGCAACAGGCAACATGGAACGTATCTGCCGCCCGGCGGGAGAAAATGTGAGTGAAATTTTTCCTTGAGAATCTCATCGCTTAGTCGCTGTTTCCCTGTTCACTGCCGCTTGTCGCGTGGCAATTGCGCTACTTCCGTTTGTTGGTGACGGTGACTCGGCCTACCACAACAAACCGAACTCACAAGCTCAGTCCACCACACGCGCAACCCACAACCAACCCAGATTGTGGCCTAGTGGTACTGCATTGGTTGCCCTGCTCCTTCTAGTTCTGTCATCTTACTGGCATTTTCAAGTTTACTCACTCGGTGCGCTCAGACTGACTGGCTTTGGCTCGTTCAGATCTGACCACCGAGCTGAACCATTCAGAACAGCCTCGTTCGTCAGTCGCCTACCTTCCGTGGGCCTAGAATCTTCTCGCGATGGTGAGTAGCGACTCGATCAACCCCGCCTTCCATGCCCAACCGGCGGTCATGGTTGGTGGTCAGAGGCGCCGGGCCACTCGCCGGGCCAGTGTACCGCGCTCCAACACTGTACCAGCTTTCGGTCCTAGTTCCACTGTACCGTTAAACAACCTTGCGGGTGGCAATATCACAGGATCATCTGTCGATCAAGGAACATCGATGACGGCGTCGCTTCTGTCGGGACCTGTTAACTCTATGAATCCCACTTGGACACCCACCAGCAGCTACGCAGACAAGATTCGCCCTTCCTCCGCTTCGCACTCGTCCGATGGCTCCACGAGTATGCTAGCCGCTCCGTCACCCACACTTACAGCAGCAAGCACATCGACAACATCGAAGGAGAGCAAGAAGAAACATGGCATATTCAGCGGCCTCATACCAAAGGGCCTGAACCGCCCCAATAAGTCCGAGCCAGAACTTCCTCCGCAGACGCCGGTAAAGGCTGTCCGGTTTCTCGGTGAAAAGGCTGGTATTGATGGGAGCCATGACCCTCCGGTAGGGAAGACGCTTCACAGGCAGAGATCATCACCCTTACTTACAATGTTCAAGGACATTGCTGCAGGCCAGTCGAAGCCCAATGAGCAAAGCATTGAGTCTGATCCGCAAAAGTCCAAGGGCTCATGGGGCAACCGTAAAAAGGCTATGCAAATGTTAGGCCTAGGCTCGTCTCTGGGGTCCAGCTCTAAGATTGAAACGGAAGAAAATGACGTGGCAGGTTATTCAGGAAAAGATGCTAAGCAATGTCACAGCAGCGAGCCTGATATTGAAACCCTCTCTCCTTTATCACACGAAAATGCTCGCCCGGTAGTCGAAGCATCCAACCGACGCTCGCGCAAGAAGGCTCCTAAGCCGGTCGATAGAATGACGCCGATTACGGAGACCTCGCACGACGGGCTGCGTGATTCTTTTGACAGCGGCTGGGCGCTCAATTTAATAGCAGAGTATGGCCCTGATTCCCCCAAATCATCATCACCTGATAATGCGTTTACTAAAAGCCTTGACTCACACAGTGCCAAGTACAAGCTGGGTGACGGCGATCTCTCATCAACGGACGAGACTATCAAAGAAGAAGTTGATATTGACGGTCTGCTCATGCACCCCGGCGACAAGGTCGATATTGAAACCGAAGAGTGCCAGCATCCGCATGGACTGCATCTTCGAGGTCCTCTTCAGACGATTGAAGATCGCCTTCTCAGTGCGACAGAGGCACAACTCAAAGCGACAAATGCACAGCTCGATGCTTACAAGAACCTGCTAGACATGAACGATTGGCAGCGACGCATCACAGACGCTGCTGTTACGAAGATGAAAGCAGAGCACGAGGCTTTCAAGGAAGAGTTCGCCAAAACAACACGAGACTGGTCGTTGGAGCGAGAGAGGCCCGGAAAGAAGGGAAGCGGTGACGACGATGATTTACCCTCAACTCGCAGCAGCATTGATCTTGATGAGGTGCCAACAGTGCATATCGCTACCGCCATGCCCATCATGGTTGTCAAGCCAGGAATGGTCAAGCTCGTTGACATTCCGCCGAGGAGGAAAAAGCCTGACGTTCCAGTTGAAACGGTCGCTTCTAATGCCAAGGTCGCCCCTGCAGCCATGAAGGGTCCAGCCACGTCCAAGCACGTTCAGTCCCCATCCAACGAGATCCAGCTGCCCCTCCAAGCGGTCCATCACTTCCAGCCTGGAGCGATCATCAATTCTTTCGGTGAATTTGAGGGCAAAAAGGTGAGCAAGTATATTAACATTCGCGTACTAGACTAACGTTGTAAAGCCTGTTGCCATGTCTGGCCCCCCTCTTCCCGCCAAGGGCCTCAACCGTCTAGATAAGGAGAAGCAACCAGATATGCTCCGTGGGGAATCACAGATGCATCTTCAGGACTGGGTATCTGCCTACGAACCTGCTACACGTCAGCATCTACCCGCACACATCGATACGGACAAGTTAGTCGATCAGGCAATTCCCCCACCACCCTTACCCAAAGACGATGATCCTGTGTCTCCAGCTCCCCCACCTAAAGACCCCGCTACGTCCCCACACCCTCCCAGGTCGTCGTCCAAGTACCACGCTACTTCCCCACATCCTGTTAGATCGTCGTCTAAGGAGCACCATTGTATCACGAATGGCCATATCTTCTGCTCCACTAACCTCAAAAATGTCCCTGACGAGGCTTGCTTCAACAGTCTAGAAGTCCGCCCGTATCTCCATACCCCTGGTGGCATTAAGCAACACGTTCACATACCCGTGCTGTGCGATAGATGCGATGAAGACGTCCGAGGTGAGCTTTGGAAGTGCTCAATACCGACTTGTTCTATGAGCGTATGCAAGGGGTGCGCTGAAGACATGAAGCGTGAGTGGGTTGAGCGTGTTACCACACCCACAGCCTAGGGTTCAGTATGAGGATTAGAACATGATAGCTATGGCTTTGGGTGGGATGTATGCGCATGGACAGGGCTAAACTCGGTTCATACCACGGGCCTATGTCTTCATGCTGAGAAGATGAGATAATGTTTAACTACTATCAGAAGTAGACGTGACGAATGTGTCAGTCTGCATTCGAAGGAAAGTGTACCATGATTCCGCAACCAAGTCCCAAGTGTACTCCAGTGACACGTGAAATACACTTTTGTCCATCGCTAAACACCAGTTGAAATGAAATGAACGCTAGGTCCCTTGCCCACCAAAAATATAACAGAAACCCGCTTTTGCCCTCAATGATACACGCTGGCCTGTTCTACCCCTCTCTGACCCTCGTAAACCCCAAAAGTTTTCATACCTCATTCATCTTTCCTGGGTCGTGACTCCTTCACCGTCTGATCCTCTTCATCATGGTCGGCAACCTCGTTCGTAACGGCTACGCTTGCACTCCGACTCAATGTCAGTCGAACAGAAGCAGGAGCCGGAGCAGTAATCGGAGCAGTAGCGGAAGTAAGGGTGGGAGCAGAACTTAGAGCAGTAGGAGAAGTAGGAGAAGAAGGAGGAGGTCTATTCCCCAGAACAAAAAAGTGCTGAGGTACCAGCCGTACGTCCAAAAGCCTTTGCACCCCAAAATGGAAACCATGTCTCAAATCCTGGTGTGCATTAAACACGGCATCCTACACCACTGTGACGGGACATTGAGAGTTCATCCCGCGTTGGATGGCCCGTTTTGTGTGTACCTGATGCGGGACCCAATATGCGCTGATAAAGTCGAGGAAGAGTATTCTGAGTGGGGAGGGTACTAGGACATCGCAGAAGGTTGTTGGGAGAGAAGACAGGGGGTCTTGAGAGATTCCAGGGCTGGGCTCAGATGTTGATTCGGGCATGGATGAAAATGTCGATGATGTAGAGGGTCTGGTCTGTAACCAGATGTAGTTGACCAAAGAGAGCGTGAGAAAGAAGTAGGTTCCGATATGATTATATACATAATGTCAATCCAAGCGAGCCGGGACGCACGGTGTGCCGGGACGCTTTTTCTTTCGGATGCTCAGAATGCTCACACCACGCCTGTAAAGTCGCATTTCCAGCGTGCATCGATTCTATAGCTCTCGACCTTCTACCTGGTTAGACGCCGACGACGTGAATCGCAACGTTAACCTTGCCGTCGCTCATTTTGTCAGTGCTGTCCACTGACTTTCATCTGACTCCCCCTTGTCAATTCGCAACAAGTCGTCTCTATAAAGAACTCGGTGTGCTAGAAAAGAAGCCAAGATAGCAAAGTTCAAGACTGCAGCCTCGAAAGGTTAAGTTAAGGTGAGGATTGTGCATCCCGGCAGTTTCTCCGCGCGAACGGCAAGATCATCGAAACGGATCTGACCAGACGTGCGCTGCTAGCAGCTCTTAGCATGCAGTAGCTTGCAGTAGCGTGCTGAGATGTGTGCGGGCCACACTGGGCGCTGTGGCTAAGTAAGAAGTGCGGTTGACCATGTCGCCTCAGGCATCTCTTATTTCCGATTTGCAGGAGCTGTTTTTTTCAGTCCTGCACTCGACCGCCGGCCTGCGCAGAGGTACGATATAGTGTGCGCAACACGGCCCCTTTCTTTGCATTTACGCAAAATACGTCCTTGACTCGAGTGTTGAGAGATGCGACAATGGCGATCTATGATGTTCTGCTCTGCTTGCCGGCACCCTGCCCACGTGTGCACTGCTACAACGTGAGTTTTCGAAGGCGGGGCAGGGCGCTTAACGTGGCCAGCGTTCGCTCAACCTGGTCGCACGCACTTCCCTGACAGGTTGCCTTCACAACGAACCAGCACAAGCTCTTTCTGCCTGCTTCGATCCGTTGCGGCTATGTTGCACTACTCTAAACACCACAAAAGTTGTTTACACCTCGCCTTCCCTCGACCAAGTCCGAACTGCAAACGCCATGCGGCTTCTCCACCTTGACGCGCTGGGAAGGCTCGTCTCGACAGACTTCCACGGCAACACGATCCCGCCCTACGCCATTCTGTCGCATAGATGGTCTAGTTCCGAGATCCTATTTAACGACGTACAGAGCGAAGCCTATAAGGAGAAAGAAGAAGGCTATAGAAAACTTGAGTTCTGTGCTAAACAGGCAGCTCAGGACAAGCTGCAGTACTTCTGGGTCGACACTTGCTGCATCGACAAGTGGAATCTCGCTGAGCTCTCAAAGGCGATCAACTCGATGTTCCAGTGGTACAAAAACGCGACACGATGCTACGTCTTCTTGTCAGACGTCTCGGTGTCGGCCGCAACAGAGCCGGTCCAACGCAGCGACTGGGAGGCGTCGTTCCGCAAAAGTGTATGGTTTACTAGGGGGTGGACGCTCCAAGAGCTAATTGCGCCGGTGTCAGTCGAGTTCTTCTCGTATGAAGGACATCCCCTAGGCGATAAAGCGTCGCTCGACCAGCTTATCCACGAGATCACCGACATCCCGCTCGCGGCATTGCGCAACTGCCCCTTGGACCAGTTCCCTACATCCGAGCGAGAGGGATGGGCCAAAAAGCGCAGAACGACTGAAGCAGAAGACACCGTTTACTGTCTACTTGGGATTCTTGGCGTCTCTATGCCCACCGTGTATGGCGAAGGACAGGAGAGTGCACGAAGCAGACTGCAGGCAGAAGTAAAGGCAGCTGTCAACGCACCGTCGATCATTCCATTCTCACGGAACCACCGCTTCGTAGGTCGAGAGTCGCAGCTTACCAAGCTAGAAGCAAAGCTCTTCAGCAACGAACACACCACTACTATACTAGCGATCGTTGGACTAGGCGGAACAGGCAAGTCGCAGCTTGCGCTCGAGGTTGCACACAGAACAAGGCAGAGCAACAAGAACTGCTCGGTCTTCTGGATAGACGCAAGCGACAAAGACAGTCTCTACCAGTCGTATGCAAGGGTTGCGCAGAAGCTTAATGTTTTAGGCTGGAACGACGATCAGGCGGACATAAAACAGCTTGCGAAACGCTGTGTAGTAGAGATTAGTACGCGGCAATGTTTACTCATTTTCGATAACGCAGAAGACACCACTCTACGATCTGGCGGCTCGTCTACGATAGAATATGCGGTCTTAGCCGACTGTTTGCCGCAGTCCAAGCAATGTTCTGTCATCTTCACAACAACAAATAGTAACACAGCTCAGGCGCTTGCTTTAGAGAATGTTATAGTGCTGCGAGAGCTAACACTAGACGCGGCGCTGAAGATGCTGCAAGTCCGCTTAGCGAGGCCCCTCGCGAACACTGAACAGCAGGAAGCCAAGCACTTGCTAAGAGAGCTTTCGTATCTCCCTCTAGCCGTCATGCAAGCAGCGGCCTGTATGAATGCTAGCGGTCTGACAGTACAACAGTATCGATCACGACTGGACAAGCACAAAGAACTAGCTATTAAACACAGCTGTGACTCGTCTGAGGGTAGACTACAAGGTTCTGGTGTGAAAGACACTGTAGCTGCTACGCTGTTTCTCTCCATCGACCAGATTAGTCGTGACAATGCGTTTGCCGCAGACTATCTGTTTCTTGCTGCATGCGTAGACCGAAAAGACATCTCGCTCGACCTTCTAGAGGCAGCCTCGATGCAAGAAAGAGAAGATACTATTAGGGTGCTTGACAAGTATGCGCTCGTCACTAGGCGACCTGCTGAGTCTGCGCTCGATGTTCATCGACTAGTCCATCAAGCTCTGCGCGAGCGGCTGCAAATGCAGGGACAGCTCATACAACGTACTAAACGCACTATCACACAGCTACTTCGTGTGTTCCCAGATGATGATCATAGTAACAGAAGCAAGTGGAGACGACTGCTCCCACATGCCCAATATGCTCTGTCGAATAGTCCGGCGGATGATAACGACGAAGAAAGATTGCGTCTTGCAGCAAACTGTGCTATATCTCTGTCTAGTGACGGACGGTATGAGGAGGCCGAAGAGCTGGGGGTGCAAGTGATGCAGTCGAGGAAGAGAGTGCTTGGCCACGAGCATCCTGACACGCTGAGCAGCATGACTAACCTGGCGTCGACGTACTGGAACCAAGGGCGGTGGAAGGAGGCCGAAGAGCTAGGGGTGCAAGTGATGCAGTCGAGGAAGAAAGTGCTTGGCGGCGAGCATCCTGACATGCTGATTAGTATGGGCAACCTAGCGTCGACGTACAGGAATCAAGGGCGATGGAAGGAGGCCGAAGAGCTGGAGGTGCAAGTGATCCAGTCGAGCAAGAGAGTGCTTGGCCACGAGCATCCTGACACGCTGAGAAGCACGGCCAACCTGGCGTCGACGTACTGGAACCAAGGGCGGTGGAAGGAGGCTGAAGAGCTGGGGGAGCAAGTGATGCAGGCGAGGAAGAGAGTGCTTGGCGATGAGCATCCTGACACGCTGATTAGTATGGGCAACCTAGCGTCGACGTACAGGAACCAAGGGCGATGGAAGGAGGCCGAAGAGCTGGAGGTGCAAGTGATGCAGGCGAGGAAGAGAGTGCTTGGCGACAAGCATCCTCACACGCTGATTAGTATGGGCAACCTGGCGTCGACGTACAGGAACCAAGGGCGATGGAAGGAGGCCGAAGAGCTGGAGGTGCAAGTGATGCAGGCGAGGAAGAGAGTGCTTGGCCACGAGCATCCTGACACGCTGAGCAGCATGGCCAACCTGGCGTCGACGTACAGGAACCAAGGGCGATGGAAGGAGGCCGAACAGCTGGAGGTGCAAGTGATGCAGGCGAGGAAGAGAGTGCTTGGCGATGAGCATCCTGACATGTTGACTAGCATGCACAACCTAGCCTTCACGCTGCACTAACAGGCTCGTTACAGGGAGGCTATTGCACTAATAGAAAGATGCTGTTAGCTACGCGAGCAGGTTCTTAGCGAGCAACATCTTAATACACAGTCGTTGCTTAACATGCGGACTGACTAGCGAGCGGAGTGTAAACAGATTAATAAGTAAGACAACTTCATCGTATTACTAGTATCTGCAGATCGTAAAGTTAACTTAGATGCCACACTATACAACGTTAGTATAAGCATGATTTTTAATTGTGTACTATAATGCAGCAGTGGTTGTTGATACGGCTAAGGTATCGGAATCACCTTCGTTGCAACGAGTTGAAAATGATTGTGATTGTTCTTGTTCTTTTATGGAGGTGGAGGGAGGTCGGCAGTAAGGCAGCAGCTAGAGCTCGGACCACACGGCTTAGTCAGCCGTGTAATCCAAGCTCGTGCATGCAGCAACCAGCTGCCTTATCTACCGCAGGTTCGATTCCCAACAGTGGTAGCTTCTACTAATTACGACATCTTAAATGTACTCCGTACAGTGGATTCCCGCAAAAAAATAATAGATATATATAAGTAACGAGCCTATCTACAACGCGCGCGTGCATGTCTAGAAGAATAGCTATCTGCAAGACGGGAATAAGCGCTGTGTGGGGCGACGAACTTAGCTCAAGACCGCAATTCTCAGCCACTGCGCGTAGGGTAGATACGTAGATATCTCAGCACGCTACTGCGAGCTACTGCATGCTAAGAGCTACCAGCTGCGCACTTCTAGCTAGACGCATTTCAACAATCTTGCTGTTTGCGCGGAGAAACTGCCGGGATGTGCTTATATTACCCTAAGCCAACATCTCGAGGCTGCAGTCTTAATCTTTGCTATCTTAGCTTCCTTCCTATTCCACCGAGCTTTGTGCAGATGTGTACTGTCGCAAACAGACAGGGGAGTAACGGAGGAGAGTTAAAAGACAACGTTAATAGAATGAGCGACAGCACAGTTAACGGCGCGCTTTTCGGCCTCGGAGACTAATGTGCTGGGAGAACGAGAGTTGCAGAATAGATGCACATTGCACTTGTTTGTATTCGAGACTACTAGGGGCAATCCGAGGGTCCGGAAGAGAAAGCGTCCCGTTACACCGTGCGTCCCGGCACGCTTGGACTGACATTACCCCATGGTATAGTTCAAGAATTGGTAGGCTCCGAGACGTTGAGCGAGCAGCCAGGCTTGGAGAGTGGGCGGGACCCAATTACACAGCGGTAGCACATGTGTCGATGGGGATGCACTGCTCGCTGGGTTCGGATGTAGGTAGGGGCTTTGGTGCTGGAGAGAACGGCCAAGCGTATGACTTCCTGTCTTAGCTTGAGCCACTTTTCTTTTGTTCCCCGGGGCCGCGGTCTGCAGAGGTGGAGGCCGTTCTGGCATGTTGGCAGCTGAATCTGGTGTAGGTGGGATATCGACATTTCTAGGGATGTCTTCTTTGTATAGGAATTGTAGAAAAAGTCCAAAGATATCGTGGTCAACTTCTGTAAGCTGAATGGACATTCCCTCATCTGCCGGAGCGGTGCTCTCGTTCTTTTCCTTGTCGCATGATGCGTCCCCTTCGCCAGAAGACGAAAGCTTTCACTTCTTATTTGCTACCTTGTCGGTGCGAATGGCGTTGAGGCGGGCGATCTCTTTGGCGAAGAAGATGGAGTGGGAACTGAGGAGTGCAATGGGGAGGTTCCAGCTAAAGACATTTGGTGAGTTGCCGACGATCACCTCAATGCTTGGGTCTGCGATCCTGATATGGTATTAGCATCTTTTTATCGCTTTGCTTGGGCATCGATATGTACCTTTTGCCAAAACTCTCTGGATGTGCGGCTGTGCCGGGATACGGAGGATGCGAAGGATTCATCTTTTGTGATGGGATATCGAAGAATACAATAGTAGAGTGTCGTAATGCAAGTGTTTCATCCGAATACAAAGCTGGGAATATTTCTCTGTAGTTGTTAGACGATTGGTTCTTGTTCAGCTTGGTAGACTAAGAGTCACAGATGTCAATGAGCAAGCTGAGCGAGCTCAGCCAATTGGCTTGCTCAGCCAATTGAGCGGAGGCCAGCAGCTCGCTCGGCTCGCTCGGATTGGCTGAAACAGGGCTGTCAGCTCGCTCGGCTTGATGGGCTCAGTCCCGATTAGGAAAGTTATATAGAAACCTTGGTGTTGAGTTTCTCAGCTAATATCCCACTTATGTACACCGTATTTCGCGTCCATCTCCTCATCGCTGATAGCCTCCTTTACAGGCACCTCACCACTGCCAAATCCAGCTCTTATCCATCGTCGATCGCACTGTATTGCTGCTAGAAGTTGCGGAGAAATGCTGCGCCGACGGGGCTCGAGGAGGTCACCCAGCTCGCTGAATAAGCGCTCACACTCACAGCTTGAGCCTGGGATTGATAGCATGTCGATAGCAAATTTGCTAAGGCTGGGGTAGCGATCGCGGAGTCCTACCCAGTATTTTATAGGGTCGACGCCCTCGCTAGCGATCGGTTCGCTGCGTTTCCAAGCCTCATATTCATCCTCCTCGTTCTCCGTAAGCCCTGCAGGCTCAATAAAGCTGTTGATAGCGTCGTCTATATCATTGTGCCTGACTTTGGGGCGTAAGCGCGGCTTCGGTAAGCTTTTGTACTCCGCCCACAAATGTTGAAACTTGCGGTTGCTGCTCTCTAGCCAATCAGGCTTATCCGCCCACGCTGCGTCAAGGTAGCTTTTGTAGCGAGGATGAAGGATTGTAGCAGCATAGTAAGCTGGCGAGAGGTCGAGCTTGTTGTAGTACTCGCGGGCTTTAACTAGGGCAGCGCGGAGGTTGATAGCAAGGTGGTCTTCGGGTGACTCTGTATGCTCATCGTGAATGACGTCTTCATAGCTTTGCAAGCGGTCCTCATAGACTCCAAGTAAGTATTCAAATACTGGAATAACCTCAGCGATTGCTCCAAAAGCACCGCTTTTGCCGCGGCCTTCAAGCCGTTTTGTAGCTTGTTTCAGTGGCCTGAGCACATCAATATACTCAGCAATCACCTGCCAGTCATGGGCATTGATCCCATCAGACCTCATCCAATCCGGCGCTGCAGGCAGCTTGTTGTTACGACTTCGGGCGTACGCGTCTTCAGTTTCAATCTTCTGAATATGGTAGTTGGCGTACCCATTAACCGCTAATTGCAACTCAACAGCGCGCTCAAAACACGAAACGTAAGAGTTCCAGCGAGTAACAACTGGCTTGACGGGCTCCTTGATTTTGTGCTGTTCTGTTGGCGCGTTGACAGGCTGGTCCCTAATAGCGAGCTTCTGATACTTCTCAAAAAGAGCGTACTGTTGTGGTGTTTTGATGTAGTTGATAACCGCGAGAAGCACTCCTAATGGTCCATCGCCTCGCCAAGTAGCCATGTTCTCAGCTTCGTTCACGCGCTCAGTCTCCTCGTTGTCGTAGGACTCTTTCTCCTCACCCCAGAGTAGCATCTGGCCAATGAGATTAAGCGTATGAGGACCGCAGCGAAGGCGACGCTCGGTAGCGCTGAAGCCCATCTGCAAGGCGAGAGTGTTGATCGTGGTGTTGTTGTTATGTGCGTTGTCGAGGACGAAGTAACCGAGCTTGCCCACAGTGATTTCGAACTGCTTGAATATTGCCATCACGACCTCAGCCATGGCCTCGCCGGTGTGGGCACCTGTCAGTTGTGGGAGCGCAATAGGCAAGTCCCTGAGCTCGCCAGAGCTATCAACGTAGTGGGCGACGATACCTAAGTAACCGCGCTTGCCACCTTTTGTCGTCCATCCGTCAAAGCTTATATGGACTTTGCTCATTGATTCTGAAAGGCTTGCGACAACCTTTGGTAACAGGTAGTTGTACAGGCGTATAACGTATCGTGAGACGCTGTTATGAGATGCCCACAGGGCTCGTTCTGCCTCTACGCTAGCTAATTGTATCATATTGCGAAAAGACGATGATTCGAATTGTGAGAGTGGGAGGTTGTTTTCGACGAGCCAGGTGACGGCCGCAAGCCTAAACTCTTGTATATTGAAGTTGGTAAGCTCGTTGGCAACAGCCTGAGAGCAGCCCTTCTGAAGGGCGCGTTCGAGGAGAGTTTCTTTCCGAGGAGCGACGGTAGTGCGCTTACTTGGAGGCTTCAAGCCATGACCTTTCTTGTCTTCTCCGAGATGACGTGCTGGCGCTGATGGAGACTGCGAGACGTCATGTATGCCACGGCCAACAGTAGTGAACTTGTGCTTATAGCAATAGTGGCAGATCCACGTGACTTTTGCGACGTTGCTGCGCAAGGCGATGCGATAGCTATGGCTGTATACCCAGCTTGCTCGGTTCGAAAGTGATGTGGGCGGCTTGCAGTGCTTTGGGTAGCGACTCCAATTAAAGCCGTCGTATTTGTCCTCTACCCATACGAAACCCTCGTCGACAGCCTCGCTAGCTGCTCCTGAAGCTGCAACAGTGGCATGCTCGCTGCCCTCAGGTGGTGGGATGATTGTCTCTTCGGCGCGCGACTCTCGGAGGGTCGCTTCAAAATTTGGTGCTTGTGGCGCGGCGACGAGAGCTTGACGCGGCGACAGCGGTGGAGGAGGTGGAGATGGTGAGAATGGCCGAGTATCGACTAGCACAGGTTGGCTGGCAGTCCCGCGATGACGCGCTGCGACTCTAGGGCGCTTCGAAGTTGTCGCGATTTCTAGAGCATTAACGCGTGTTCTTTTTGCTGGCATTATAGCAACGGCGAGGTAGATAATAGCTGCAAATAGAGACGCGTTGATGGAGTATAGGTGAGTGTGGTGGGTGATAAGTAGTAAGTGAAGTGTCGCAGAAGGAGAATATTGTTGCCAGGCCGTTAGCCGGAAATTTAGTAGCTTATTTGCTAGAAATATAGCAAAAAAGAGTGTATTTTAGGTTATAACTAGGTTTCGAACTTACGCACTACACCTAAAAATCATCGTGAGATTGCCCCTCCACCAAGTCCTTCAGCCCCAAGTTTCCAACCGCCCCATCCAACCAAGCTAAGCAAGCTGACTGAGCGAGCGCCTATCCCTAAGCTCGCTCGGCTTGCAAGCGCGCACTGCGCGCTCAGCTCATTCGGCTTGGTCAAAACGTCCAAGCCGAGCGAGCTGAGCGAGCCGGCTCGCTCGTTGACAAGTATGCTAAGAGTAGCCTGGAGCATACCGTTACACTGTACCGAAGATGGATAAGATGTGTTGTAGTCTCGGTACGAATCTTCTTGGGAGCTCTTATCCAGACAAGAAATGAGATAGAAGCCGCAGCCTACGTAAAGCGAGCCGAGCTAAGTGCAGGCAGGCGCAACGAAGAGTGGGAGATGCATGTGTATTTCCTTAATTCGAAGTGACATGCATGACGGATACAGCTTTACCGTATAGTTGAAGGCTACTATGGGCAGCTAGGGCTTTATTCGAGATGCTTTGGCCTCTTAATGGAGGATAAGATATCTGTGAACTCACCATGTGTATCGTGTGAGCGATTGCGCGTAGATTCGAGCCGAGTGGCAAGTGCTCTCTAGGGAAGACGTTCTAATGAGGTGCGTCATGGAACGCTCCTTCTAAGCTCATGCCACTCAGCAACACGCGCCACACGATTTTCAGGCCGATAGCGCTTTGAAAGCGGTATGAAGACCGCACACCAATCAGGCACTAAATTTGAACAGATAAAATGGCTGGTTGAAGCATACATATGCGTAAGTGATCGATAAGTTAGGGCGTGATCATGGTATGTATACACAGTTGATAAGCTTGGGGCGTGAGAAAGGTCATCATGATACCTTAGTAGATTTGTTGCAGTGAATGCAATAAATTAAAGTGTAACCGCGCGAGGCAGTAATCAGAGTATATTGTGTGTGTCGTCTTGTAGTGTTTTGTCTGCTCGCCTTTTTACGAAGGCAGCAGCAGGGTCTGTTTACATGACGTATCTATGATACAGCTGAGGTAAGAGGTGCTCAATAAAGAGAGGAAGCAGCACCAGACCACCAACACGTGATCTGCTTCTCCTCATAACCGTCACAAGATTCCAACAACCCTTCCACATAACTTCTGTGATGTGCAACTGAACATTTAGTGTATTATTGAGACCTACTACTACGAATCCCATGGAATATACCGTGAGCTCACTCAGGGTATATGAAATCGACTCTGCCAAACCGTGATTTTCGCCGCAATCACCATGTGGTTATCTCCGGGTATCTCTGTCTTATCTCCGAAACATCACCATATACACCACTGTGATCTGAAAAACACCACAAAGCATTTTTAGACCTTGGGTTCGACATTGACCCTCTCGGCATGGCCATAGCCAGAGACCTTGAGGTTGCCGGCCTCGATATCGCGCTGAACCCGGTCAAGACGAGACTCGATATTGCCCGCCTTCCAAGCAGGCAGACCAGAATCAAAGACGTCGTCCATCTCTTCGAGGGTCTTGCCCTTGGTCTCGGGCGCGGTTAGAAACATATGAATGAACGCCACAGCATTGAAAGTGCCGAAGATCATATACATCTTCCAGTTGATGGACCACAGAAGAGGGGGGACCGCAAATGCGAGAATGCAGTTCCAGGCCCAATTGCTCGCAGTTGCCAGAGACACAGCCTTCGCGCGGACCTTACTGGGGAATAGCTCGCTTGGATAAGTCCAGGAAACCGGGCCCCAAGTTGTCGCAAAGGTTGCAACAAAAAGGTATGAGCAAGCCACAATTGCCTTGGAAACTGCGCTATGCTCACGAGGAACAACCCAGGAGATATCCTTATCGGTCTTATCCGGATTTGGGTTCCCGTATGATGCCTGGAGAGCACCGGTAGTGAATAGCCAGACAGCCATCAAAAAGGATCCGCAAAGTAGAGCTGGGCGTCGTCCAAATTTGTCCAGGTACATGATAGCTGGTAGGGTCATAGCTACGTTGATAATGTACTGGATCGAAGCGGTGAGGAGCTCGTCGGCGATGCCAGCCCCGCGCATGATGAACACGATATAGTACATCATTATATTCTATATAACATTAGCCCACTCTCTCACACACATGTTCACAGGGCCATATATACTGACCATTCCAGATAGTTGACTCCACGCCTGTATGGATACTCCAAGAATAACACGTTTGAGGATGCGTGGTTTGGTAAGTGCGGCGAAGCTCGTCTCAGCCACCTCACGCTCGAAGCGAAGTGCCTCCTCAATCTCCTTGTATTCGGCAAGCACCTTTGGATGATTCATATCACCATGACCATGGAGATTCGCAAGGGTTCGGAGAGCCTCATCCCAACGGTCCTTAGAGGCTAGCCAGCGTGGGGATCGAGGGAAGAAGAAGAAGCCGAGAAAGAGGAGAAGACCTGGGATAGCCTGAACGCCCCAAGGGATCCTGAAAGCGGCAGTACCTTGGTTTGGGTTCTTGACACCTCCGTCGATAAAGGAGCAACCGTACTGGATGAAGTACTGAATGAGAATACCCCATGTGATGGCCCACTAGATCGAATCGGGTTAGCATGATATTTTACATGCGATCTTGGTTGTCGTAGAACTTCAGTTTTGCACAGCTGGTGATCTCAATATCGATGATTTCATTGCTGAATTTAGACAATTTCCGACCAATGGGCAAAATGTGCTGTGGCAAAGAAAATGCAAAAACTCGTACCTGTTGAAGTGAAACTACACGTCCGCGGATTTCCTTGGGAGCAATCTCGGCCTGATACACTGGAACAATCGCTGAGCAAATACCGATGGCGTAGCCACCAATGACTCGGCCGACACAGAGAAGAGCGACACCGTTGGAAGCCGCCTGTAGGATTGCTCCCACGACCCAAACAAGAGCGGCGATCTGGATGGCGTTTCGACGCGACAGACGGTCGGCAAGGAAAGAAGAAGAAAGTGCTCCCACGAGCGAACCTGCTGGCATACTGGCAGTGATTCCACCTTGGCGAGTGCCGGCTGGGTTTTTGAAGTACTTCTTGTAAGCCGGTGTACCGATGGCGCCAGACATGGAGGAGATATCGAAACCGAACAGAATACCGCCAAGAGCAGCAAAGCCGCAAATGGCGTAGACGTTGTAGATTTGGGGGAACTGCGAGATCATTGTGAGCGCATATCTTAAGACGCGACTAGGATGTTGAGTCCTTGCCTTCATCCTATCAAATGGGAGGTCTTGGTTGAGAAGAAGTTGCACGCAAAACTGCGGGTGGAAGAAAGAAGTAGCAGGATCAGTAATATTACTTATAGTACCAGGCCCGCGGGAAGTAAAGTGGGGGAGCGCGTGATATCGCGCGGCCCAAGTCCGTGCGGGTGGGCTACACCTTTCACTCACTTGACGCCGCCTTTACCTCGTTCCCGACCAACTACACAATCCCTGATCCTAGCAATCACCCGGGTTTTAATGTGGTGGTGGTGGTGTTGACCAAGGTTGTAACGTTGTAACCCCGCAATCGGGCGTTTGGCCAGGGCATATGTAGATCCTACAGAAATCCGGTAATATTGCCCGGGGTAGCGCGTTGGCCATATTGTTTGCAGGAGAATCTTCAATGAGGTGGACTCGACACATATGATCTTCCCACTATGCTGACACATGTTCTTCCCAGTCCCATGGAGTCGCACTAGCAAGGCATCCAAGTAGTGAAGGACTGCGACGTTGTGTAACAAAGGTTGTAATTTGTGATCTAACCTCCACAACATATGTACATTACACCTATCAGAGTGGACTGCTCAGTCGAATTGAGATCAATGCATCGGAAGCAGGACCATTACATGCGGATAGCAAGCTCCATATGGAGCACAAGTTGGCCCCAAATGACTATATCGGTAAATGCACCGTGCCAGGAAATTCCGCCCTGTTCAAGAGTTCAAGAGTTCAAGGACAACAATAGGTGGCCTTCGCATATTGCCAGGATTTCCGTCTCGGCATAGGCGCGGCGTTGCATGATCATTCCGCGACCAAGGTAAAGGTGAGCCAGTTATCTCTGGTAACTAAGCGCTGTGACGGAGTATCATGTACTCTCGTATATGGGCATTGTTTATATCATATCATTTGACTGCGACCATGGTATCTGAAGCCCGCACGCTTGTTTACAATCATGGTGATCTGGGAGGCTACAAGAGTTGACGTCGTTGGCGAACGCGCCAAGCATGCAGTAATGCCGCCAGCCGTTGACACCCAAGCCCCTCGCCTCGTCTGCAGACCAATCAGCGCAGAACAACCAACATGGCTGCGGCGTTTTTTGGTGGCAGCAGGTCAGGAGAGGCGGAACGCGTTGAGTGCTACTTCAAGCAATATAGCCGAGAAGGCATCCGCACTCCCATTGTGAAGGCAGGCTTGTTCCGCTTGTCGAACTCGGGGTTACCCCACAAGAAACATAAGTAATCCACCCTAAATCGTGTGGATCTGGAAGATCAGTGGTGATTGATCTGTTTGGTCAGAGTCCAAGGTTAACTACTTTGAGTACGGAGCCACAAAACTCGGTCCGAATAGAGTCACCTGCCACGGGGTAGAGTTGAGGCCCTACTCAAGTGCGCCCTTACAAAGGGTACAACACGCCATTGGAGCACAAGCATGCTTATTTCGGCAAGTGTTCACGCAGGTGAGATCTTAGAGCGTTTGGTATGACTTCAAGCTTCGGTGTCGCCTTGCGCTGGGGTTGACAAACTGCATGTCGCGCTCACTGAAATTGTGTCGTGCACATTGAACTTGTATCGTGCAGCCTAGACCAATATTTCTTGCTGTACCCAGAACTTAACGAGGCAGAAAGGAGGTAAGTAGTCCATATGAAGAGGAGCCAGTTACATAACAAAAAGTGGTGGTGGAACATCAGGCCTCAGAACTGAATACCAGGCTGTAAATTCTGTGTTACATGTCAGCAATATTGCTGCAGTACGATGATAAGCGCACTACCTTGAAAATGTCCTGTAGTCTACATAAGTTAGCATTGGCATTCGCTAAGTGCAGTTTAAGGGATAAGTAATCGACCGGTAGGGTATTCTTTGTCCTACCTACCTAGGTAGGCACTGAGAGTGAGAGAGTACAACGGGGCGGGTAGGCACGCTTTTGAGGTAACCATATGCTATCAAGGGATTGACTTCACGCTGCAAACGAGAGAGAAATCGGTGTGGTATGATGGCTGGTGTTTGCACTTGTGCAGGTACCTACGACACCTAGGGTCGTCGCGGGAATCTTCACGCAATACAGGCTATGTTGACCGGAGATTTATCTGCAAATTTCTGGAGACATGTTCTGCGAGCGTCCTTTGCGACAGCTCCTGAACATTTTCTTGGCTATAGCCTTGTCTTCCCCAATGAAATGTGCTACAAAATTCTCACCTCTAATATATGAAGAAGCGTTTATACTGAGAACGATGAAGAAACAATCTAGTGAGCATGTTCCCGGTTTGCAATTATAACTTCTTGTTCGCAGCTTGTTTGGTCGAACTCGATTCAAGAGAAGTCGCAGCTTCTGCCAAGGGTCCACTTAACAAGACGTTCCTTCTGTCCGTCCTCCGCGGCTCCTTCTCCACTTCCCAGATTCTATCGTTGACATCCCTTAACTCTGCATTTTCATCACCTCTCTGCCGTCGAACCCTAGCATCGTGCCTCCGATTCGCTATTCGCCATTGCAAGCGAACCAGTAGAACCGCACTAGTTAACCTCCACTACCTTCCAATCGCATGTCGCATCACAGTATAACCCTTCGATAATTCGACCACGGACCAACATAGATATAGAAAGGGATTAGTTCTGTGTTATGCAGTATTACAAATGTGTCGCCGCCGTTCCTGCCAGGCCGTGGCTGTTGGGCTGAATCAAACATCGCGATGCTCCTGCATTAGATCCCGCGGACTGGCCTGCTGACATAGGCAACGTGCCTTCTATACCATGGAGAATTTTCAACCCAAAGACTCGAAAGGGCGTACTACGGGCTCAATCCAGGATTCATGTGATTATTGCATCACCCGACAATACAGTCAGCAGAAGCACTTAGGTCATCATACTGAGCTTACCTACTGTGGCAACCCGTTCAAAGCTCTCAGCACGCGCACGACGATCCACAGCTCGTGCCACCCTCGCTCATCGCCACGATTTCTTCTGGTATCACAAACCTTTGGCTCCAGTTAGTTGTTGGCAGGAGATATTCAACATCTGCATTGCCAATCTATTGGCAACCTCCAGAGGCGAACGAACAAGCATCGCGTGTTACGAAAATAGAAAGTCGACGTGTGATTTTCTAGCTGAGGCCGCGAACATCAAGATCACAAGGAGGAGCGGTCAAGTACACCGTACATTAGTCCCGGGATAAAGCGAAGAGAAGGCAAACGACTCAGTCAACGACGCATATCATCCATTATACTTACGCGGTTACCGATGAAGACGAATTCGCAAACCTCCCTCATCGTTACTTCCTCACTACGTTATATCCCATTTCGACTCCGCTCATATTGTCTCTGGATCAGATACTGTCGAACCCAACAAACAAGATTGAATTGGCACCAATTATACATTGGAAGGTCGACGCACGATAGCAACCCTAGGAGCATCATGCCGCACCACATCACCAACTGCGTCTTCGCACGTACGAGCCTGACAACCTGCGATGTCTTTGTCATGGCCCTTCCCTATTTGGATCCGAGGGCAGCGCTTTCCCCAGAAGAATTCATTGTAGCCGCAAGTCCATGGTTCCTCGACGCAGAGACGGTTTGGTGGCGCAAGTTCCTCATGGGCGCAGGGTAGTCAATACGGCTCACCACAGAGATCAACTCTAAAGGTCACGCTTGCCCACATCGCATGACAACACCGAATATAGGCCATTGGGCGAAGCAATATTCACTACACATTTTCGCCATCATAATACAGCGAGGATGACCTCACATCGTTAATAGAAGTTTGTACAGTTACACTATCATGACGACAACGAGGCTGACGAATGACGAGGCACTTGGTGAAATTTGCGCCACATCCTTCCTCTCTACCAACTCGGGGGGGGTTCCTAGTACGGCGCCTTCAACACAGCATGCACATACGTCTTTGTGCAGTCTGTCGCATTCCCCATCCAGCTCAACACCTCCGCATCCAACACGCCCTCGCAAATCGTCCAACCCTCTCTTTGACCATCTACTGTTAATAAATATCCCGCGTCCAACTCGATATTGCCCGTTGGCTGAACCGACGCGAGAAACTGCAGCTCGCTACCGGCTGTGACACGCGTGCTGTTATACCGATACATTTGATTTCCGAACGGTGCCGCCGAAATCGTCGAAAGCGTGCCATCTGTGAGAGTGAAATTGGGAAGGGAACCATATCCCGGGCCTGTGAGGCGCAAGAGGAGAGCGGGTTGATGGAAGGGATCCTAGATAGGTTGTTAGCATGGTGAGATTGGTTAGAGGGAGTTGGATAAAACCTACGAAGAGGGATGTGGCGGATACAGCCTTAAGCTCTGAACTATTCTCCCCAATTTTCTCCTGCGAAGTAGTGACGAGAAGGAAGTTTGTGAGATCCATTGGTAGCGCCGCGGCGATGGTTGCGCCTGCGATGGCGACCGATATGATGGATGAGAAGCGCATGGTGTGGTTGGATAGTTATAAGTCTGTGATTATTCTGAATATATCTCTTATTTCTCTAATCCGCAGATATGTTCGTCGTAACGGTCGTAAAAGGCGTTTGTCGTAATTTCCAAAACAATCAAATACGTTTGCCACCACGCAGAACCCGCGAACCACCCTCCCTCATATATACCTTCCGCTGCACCGCCGCACTGTCCAAAAACACGCTCGGGGACGAACGAACCCAGCATGCAGGTGTTAGTGCCACCTCTGGTGGTTCCACAAGCAAAACACCGGGCGGACATCATAGGCCCATGGCAAAACGCGTTACCCTGTGTGGTGGTGATGGTGGTTGGTCCCCCCACCTCCCCTGTGTCAGAAACTCCCGCCCGCACCCGCCCAATTGCTGGCACGCTGGCATGTGCTTGCCCTGTAGATCATATCTAGTGCCCCTGCGTTTATATGTGCTGGGCGATGGCTGATGATCTGCAGAGAGAGGTTGGGATAATTGGCTTAGTGATGCTTATTTCCGTGTAAGAAACGGTACGGTAGAGGGATGTTGATATTTGCTTGAGTAGTATTGAGTAGTATTGAGTCCTATTTCCTATTTGACTAAAGAAAAATATTCCCTCCTTGATCTCACGTTGTATTCAATCCATCTTTTTTTAGGTACAGTACTACAAGCGGACATATCCGAGACCATGGAAAGTTCCTTAGTCTGAAAGATGACGACGGAGCACAGAAGGTGCGGCATATGTGGGGGACGGTTAAGGTCGCGCGTTTCTGCTCCACTGTACGTGCATCATCGTCATTTTGGCATGCGTCGACGCCGTTTGGAGCCTAGTTTTGCCGGGTTAGGGGCGGGTTGGCGGGCTGAGGCTGGGGGGTGGCACATCCGGGGGCCTTTGCTGGCTGCAGAGAAGGGCGCAGGGACGTTGGGTTACGTGGTGCTGGATTGGGGTGTAGAAGAAGGAAAGAGTAAGGATTATACATCATCAGCGCTGTCAGGGCAAGTTTGTCTGTAATGATATTGGAAAGTTGCTTTGTAGGAAATACACGAGCAACATATCATAGAATTCAGGAAAGTAGAACGGTCTATTGGATTGTTTAGTACAAAACCCCAAAGATGGCTGAGTGTCGCATCGCTCAGTCCTGTCTCCTCCATAACTCGCCTGGGTATGCCGACCGCTAACGCCCAAATGAATGCCCATTTGTATGTCTTTATTGCTGAGTTTGTTCCATTACACGAGTCTGGTGCCGATATGCACGTGAAAGTCTCAAGTACTAGGAGTGTATAATCAGGCAGAAGATGATATGGCGCCGTCACCCAGCACCCTAGCAACCAGGATATATAGGAGAAAGATGCCGATGATAATCTTAAACCTGTTGCGAGCCAACCATCCCTGACCCGCATCTCGTGCTATTTGCGCTGCGTCGTGAACGACGGTCGCGCTCGTTCCGGGTCGTCGCCTCAGACCGGAAACGTCTGGCGAGCAAGCGGGTTGTGAAGGAGTGGGTTTGGGTCGCGGCAGGCCGGTCGCAGGATCGATATTCTTCTCCTTCATCCACTTTAGGTTCTCCTCGTCAACCTCGGGCCACTCGTGCCTGAACTTTGAACCGCCATCACCCGCCCTGATATTGCCTGCTTGTGATCCTCCGGTGTTTGCTGAACCAGAAGATTTTGTTCCGCCGCCAGTGCTGTTCCACCACCTCGTGCGCTGCGCGAATAGTTTCCGCTCGGCTTCCGACGCTCTCACACTGCCGGTTGTCATCTCCTCGCTAGTCATGAAACTCAGCAGACCATTCAAGATGGTGCTGACCTCCCATGCGGGGTTGAAACTCTTGGGGTGGAAATCGGAAATGCTTAGGCAGAGCCGGCTGCTTGGCTGGAAGCGGCCGGAAGGAGTGTGCATGCGGATAGCGGGCGGCGCAAAAGGGTAGTCAGGCGGGAAGAGAAGGGTGCCCCAGTACTGGCCGCCATCGTAAGGGGTGTCGGGCGGGCCCGTCAGGATGTAGTGCCATTCCAGGATGTTCTTGTCAGATGGATGTGCGGATATGTAGGGCGGAGGTGATTTCGTGATGGCGGCGTATTCTTTGGTGAGGCGCTTAGTTGCTGCGGGTGTCGCCATGATGAGCGGAAGTGGTATGTGTGAGGGTGAGTAGTGGTAAGAGACGTGTTAAGAACGGAAGTAGTTGGTCTTTGGCTATCCGGTACGTTGTATTGGTGGCGGGAAAAGAAGAAGCGCAAGTCACTGCGGATTTCCCTTGTACAAGTCGTTTTCTGGTTAAATGGTTTGAAAGACAGGAAAGACAGAAAGTCAAATAGTGCAAAGTGATAAAGCGGGTAGGTGAGTGATTGCAGGTTTCAAACATGTATGGTTGAGAGTAAGCGGCACGTGCCTCGGACGCAGCGGCGGGCGGGCGATCCAGACATGTTCAAGGTTTCTGACGAGCGCCAAGGAAACAGCACAAAGACATCAACAGCCCAATGGCTTCGCCGAATGAAGACGATGTAAGCGGTCCAGGGCTTCTTAGTCATCTGCTGTTGCTAATTGACCACCAGGTCTTCGAAAGGCTCAAGAATAGAACGGACCTGGACGAGCAGAAGCGACAACAGGATGAGATTAATGCGCGGCTTCACGCTCAACACCAGAGGGCGCAGGAGAGGCTAGGGGAGCTGGTATGCATCACGAAAGAGAAGTAGGAGCGATATCTGAGACGTGTATAGGTTGAAGACAACACCTCCCTCCCGGTGACGATATCGTCAGTCCGCGTCCTCCACGCCAACCGCACAAGAAGAAGTTTCCTCGAGCGAGTCGTCAACCCTCTCCTAAGCGCGAACCGCACCGAGCCCTATACTCTGGAAGATGCATTGAAAGAGGTCGGCGAAGCAGCAGACAAGCTCAATCGCTTTGGTAGGACGGCACCCAATTGAAGTTTGTACATGTCTAATAGCAACTAGGCATCTTCAAGTCGCCAATATCAGTCTACCTCGACCGACCAAATCAAACCATTGCCTCGTCCTCTCCCACCGATGTCGACGTCTACATTTCGGCTGTTGAACGCGGCAACTACACTATCAAGACCGGGACGGAGGCTGGCGCTTCGGAAGCAGATGCCTACGTTCACGCCGAGTTGCGAAATCTCCTTGGTGGGGCAGAGACACTCAACGCACATGGCTCGCTTGGTACACGAACACGATCAGCCTACTCCCTCGCCTTTGACAGCCCAATTCTCAGCAACCCTGATCTCAAGTTTCAAGTCAACGGATTCGCAAGTTCGACACTGAAGAGCTGGGCAAGTCACGAAGAGGTACTGAAAGGAGGAAACTCCAAGATTTCATGGAGAATGAAGAATGGCGCTACGCATGAATTCGGTTACTCGGGCATCTGGCGCCAAGTCACGGGTCTGGCCGAAAATGCGTCGCCCGCTGTCCGCGCAGACGCAGGCGACTCCTTCAAGTCGAGCATTACGCATACTTGGATCAAGGACAAGCGCGACTACCCTCTCCTTCCCAACAGCGGCTACTTCATGAAGAGCGTGTCGGAAATTGCGGGTTGGGGTCCTCTGAAAGGTGACGTAGCGTTCTGGAAGTCAGAGGCGGAGTCGCAAGTTGCTCTCCCCTTTGGCAACACGGGCATCACGCTCACCGCTGGGCTGCGAGGTGGTCTACTCTACCCTTTGGCATTGGGCGGAGAGAATCAGGCCCAAGCATCTCGCATCAATGACCGCTTCCAGCTCGGTGGCCCGACCAACGTACGGGGTTTCCGCATCGCTGGTCTCGGCCCTCGTGATGGTCCAGATGCCCTAGGCGGTGATATCTACGCAGCTGGTGGTGCGTCGATCCTCCTTCCAATTCCCCGTGTCGGAAAAGAGACGCCGCTCCGTCTACAAGCCTTCATCAACGGCGGTCGACTCCTTGCATTGAAGAATCCAAACTCCAAGAAGGAAGATGGTTCGTTTGGCAGCTCAAGCGACGTGTCGAGTGCCATTCAAAAGTCCTTTTCCGCCATGACAGCAGAGTTGCCCAGCGCAGCAGCTGGTGTAGGTCTCGTGTATGCGCATCCAGCTGCGAGGTTTGAAGTCAACTTCTCGCTGCCTCTTGTCATGCGCGCAAAGGAGGAGGGCAGGAAGGGACTGAGCTTCGGTGTGGGAATTGAGTTCTTGTAGACCAGGACATGGTGTAAATGTGTATTTGTAGGCAGCATTAACTTAGAACCTTTTCACGAAGCAAAAACACTCTAGCATGACACAGTGAGACAACAAGATGTTGCACATGCAAATTTCGGTGAACTTTCTCAGTTTTCCCATGTTTGATATTTGCCGAGTACATGGGGTAATCATGGCGGCTTGGATAAAGCTTGTCAATACTGAGGTGGATAGCTTCGGCATTATAGGTCAGCATTGAGGGGGCAGCAATGAAGATCTATCGGATAATACAAAGTGCCTCAATCAAGATATACTGTAATGAATTATGAGTTTCTTCATTCATTGTGGCGTGTATGTGCTGTGTATCATAATAAAACTGTTCTTGGTGATAATGTGTTCGTTGCCAATCTACCATAAACAACAAAATGACGTCCCCACACACTTCTCGCAATCTAATATCCAGCCACCATCGCCACCGGCATCTGTCTTGCCACTCAACTTCCAACCAACTGCGGACCCTCGAATACATTGTTTGGATCAAGTGACTTCTTAATCTTGACGAGCCTGTCATAATTTTCGCCCCAGTACCTAGAGTGCGCCTCTGTGCGGCTCAAACCGGTGTCTGCATAATTGACGTACATGCCATATTTGCTTCCGTTACTCGCATCCTCAATGGCATTGACCCACCCATTCAGGAAGCTCATGTACTCAGGCTTATACGTAGCGTTATCCGGGAAAATCCGGTCATAAAATTGCATCTTGAAAATGGACTTGCGGTGTGAGTAGCTGGTCTCGTCCGGGCCGACCTGGGAAATGGACGCGCTCTTGCCGCCATGGAGGTCGATCAGGAGGTACCAACCTCTGGTAATTTTGCTGGCAGTCGTGAAGTAGTAGTCTGACATTGCCTTGATGGCGGCAGGGGAGAGGGCCTCGGGCATCAAAGACTTGGCGTAAAAGTTCTCGTGGGTGTCGTAGACTTCGGCTTGTTTGAGGGGCCCAAAGGCAAAGTGGGTGAGGGTGTCAATCCATCCCTTTACTGATACTTTGCCACTGCCAGCGGGAATGTCGAGTTTGGCGAGGAGGGGTGCCATGACCTTGTCGAATTCTGAGCGGTTTCCATGGTAGACTCCTGTCAGCTGCTTTGGCAGGAACATGCGCATGTCGAGCTCGGCAGGCTGATCGTTGATGGAAAAGTCTTGTAGCGCAGTTACATATTTTGCTAGCTGACTGGTGTTCTTCGGGGACAAGGAATAGTCGAAGATGACGTTGCTTTCAAGAGGAGTAAAGGTCTTGAATGTGAAGTCGACGACGATGCCAAAGGCTGCACCGGCACCGCGGAGAGCCCAGAAGAGGTCTTGGTTTGAATCGGCTGAGGCAGTCACAACAGTACTGTTGGCAAGCACGACCGTAGCAGAGACAACATTGTCCAAAGCAAGACCATGTTTGCGAGAGGAGAGTCCGTAACCGCCATGGAGTGTCAATCCGCTTACTCCTACACTGTGTTGTTGTTGTTAGATTGGGTTCTTTTCTTGTAAAAGCCATGACTTACCCTGGGCATGTTCCGTGGCTGATGGCCTGTTTCCCTTGGTCGTACAGTGCCAGAGCAATGTTTCCTAGTCTTCCACCGGCCTGTACCACGGCTCTTTGGGCCTGTTGGTCAACTGTGACGCTGTTGAAACGTTGCATATCAACGATCAAGTGGGCATTTTCTCCTCCTAGGCCATGGGCGGCATAGCTATGGCCTCCGCATTTTGCGGTGACGGGGATCTTGTTTGCGACCCCACAGGCTACGGCATCTTGAATATGCTTGATAGTCTGTGGCACAGCATAGGAAGCCGGGGTGAACGAAAGGCGGAGATTGAAAGGCTTGATGGCCTGGGTGTAGTTTGCCGTGCCTGCTGCGTATACCGGAACTTGATGGGACTTGAGGCAATCATCCACGGCTGCTCTCCTGTCTAAAGTGGCCGAAGAGAGGGCAAAGAAAGCGGTGGCTGTATAGAGCCATTCAGAATAGATTTTCACCATATTGGAAGTTGGGTAGAAGCTTGGCTGCCCAGAAACACTTCCACCGGATGCATGCTTGAACTATATATGAAAGGCTTGTCATCGGGAGGCAGGGACACGGTTTGTTCGGAAACGGTCTCGGTCGAACAATCCAATGAACCATGATTAAACGGTATGAAAGGAGAAAGCAAATACCCCCGTGAGTCAACTTTGGTTAAAGCTTCGTAAAGATGAGATGTTTGGGTCTCGGATCCACCGGATCTGACACTGACATGGTAAGTGAAGCGTATACGAATCGATAAAAGCCATATTGGGACTGGTCAAGCTTCGGTGGCCTTGGCAAACACCGTGGCCGCCACTTTCCGCCAAATCGCTGGTTCGTCTCTTGGCGTACACCAAGTCGCGGGGAGATTAAGTAGTGGAGTTCGGCATGCATCCTCATATCAAACCTTGTTCATAACCCACAAGTATGCCTTACAGCTCTCCTCTTGGGCCTGTATGAGTTCTTCCTGTGTCCGCCTTGGGGCCGTACGGTGTTGGAATTGTGCGCGCCGGTAATCACGGTCATCGGTAGGCGAGTGCGCAAACCGTGGTACTCGTGCAGAGGCGTACCAATCGGACACGAAGCAAGCCAAGAACAATCCAACCCAACCAAAAAATGCCCGCTCTTAATGTATATGTCCATCTTGGTAGTTGCAGCTTCATTTACAGGCCCACATGCAGGACCAGAAGATCGGCAGTGACTAGGACAGGCGATGTGTTGACTTTTGTTTTGTCTATATGCTTTTTGATGGGAAACAGACTGTGCACGCGCTGATATTTTCGTAGTTGCGTTAGCAAGAGTGCGACGTCACAAACTAGGACGCGATATTACCAACCTTACCGAAGACTAAGAAACACCATGTTTGGACACGTGATGCGGACTTTCAGGGCCCAGAATAGAGAATTTCCCGTAAGCACGGATGCACCCGGCTTTTGCGTATTACCGTACCGGTACTTACTGCCGTACTGCCGTACAGATGCCGGCGTCTTTCGGGGTAAAGATTAACCGTTACCTACCGGTAGGTAACTATGGCGCAGCGGGTTTGGATGCCTTTGTGACGCAGGCAAAAGGTAGAAGGGACATATAGTCGGGATGCACACCCGAAATATAAGGCAATTGCAATTTCTCCATGTTGATGAACCTGGGGTAAACAACCGGTTGAAACAATGCACCCCTGCTCCACATGTGGGTGCATATTGCATCTATATTGCCCGATGTATAGCTTTTAACCGGCTTGGGAGGAGCCGCATCTCCCGAGGGAGTAATAGTACATTGCGTTTAGAGACGATCCGTGACCAAGGCCGTTCCCTAGTCCACAAACGAGTAGTTAGCGGTTTCACAGTAGATGGCCAACACGTACGCGTGACAACAAGGACCATGAGAGCGGAAATTCAAAGGACGGCAGAAGTGGACATACAAAGTCGAGCTTCTGCCGTACGTTGGCAAGGACACGACTGCATTCATCAACATTCATCATGCTGCCTTCGCATCCTCTTCTTCTGCCGCTATTCGGCAGCGTCGCCAGTGCGGCCAATCTGTGGGCGAGCCACTACTCGGGTACAATCAACTACCTCACGTTCAACGGCAATAACCTGGCTTTGAGCAGCTCGAGTTCCACGGGTAACAAGCTGCCCAGTTGGCTCACATATGATAATGCTGGAAAGGGGCTGTACATTGCCGATGAGAACTTTATCGGAAACTCCGGAGGAACTCTGACTTCCTTCTCCATCGGGAACAATGGCAGCTTGAGATCAGCCGGAACCGCGCCTACACCTCAGGGTGTAGTTGCAAATACTCTATATGGTGGTCCAGAAGGAAGAAGCTTCATTGCGAATGCTCACTAGTATGTCAACCTTTTGCAGTGGAAGTTATTGTTACTGACTTGTGCATAGCCAAACATCGCAATTGACGACTTTCAAGCTTCCGTTGAATGGTGGTCAGCCCATGCAAACAATCAAATACACTGGAAAAGGTCCCAATACGGGCCGACAGGAAGCTGCACACCCACATCACGCCTTTGTCGATCCTACCGGAGATTTCATAGTCGTACCTGACCTAGGTGCTGATGCAATCCGCATCCACAAGATCAACCATCAAACAGGCGCGCTTACAGACTGCGCTCCTGGCAAGCCAACTCCCGGCACAGGCCCAAGACACGGCGTTTTCTGGTCGCCAGCCGGCTCCTCACGCGTGCGCCGCGCAGAGGGCACAATTCTTTTCATTGCGAACGAGTTGACCAACAGCGTCTCCAGTTGGGCGGTGACGTACGCTCAGGGAGGTTGCATGAGCCTGACCTTGAAGCAGACCTTGACGCCCTACCAGGGCAACACCACCGCCGTCTCTGGGACGAAGGTTGGTGAGATCAGGGCCAAGGGAAACTTCCTCTACAACTCGAACCGAAACGACAAGAAGTTCTCGGGCAACGACTCAATCACTCAGTACACCATCTCTTCAACTGGAACCCTTACGTGGACTGATATTACGTCTTCGTATGGCACGTACCCACGCACCTTCGACATCAGCAAGGACGGTGCTTTTGTTGCCGTGGGCGATCAGACAACCTCGAATGTGGCCATTGTGGCACGAGATACGACTTCCGGCAAGCTAGGAAAACTGGTGGCTAACTTGAGGATTGGTGCTGCTGGTAGGCCGGAGAACGAGGACGGTCTTAGCGCAGTGGTGTGGGAAAACTAGGCGACACGCCGACGAATGGGGTGCTGTTCTTTCAACCATGCACTGGCCTTAGTGCAGCTATCACAATTGAACTATGTACATACTGCTCACGTGTATGAATCTTGAAGTGATGTCGTCGAGTGATATCAGGGTTCAGGGTTTGGTCTGCGTCGCCAAGACGCCAACACTGTCGCCCAGATCCTCGTGCTCCTGCTTACCGGTACTTTCGTAGCTTACCCTGCATGACTGCATCTACCGCCACACATACGTACAGGGTTGCAACCCTTGTAAAGCTGATAGTTGACAAGAACGGTGGCTGATAGGTGGAAGATGCCATGTCGTATGGCGGGTGATTTGCTCAAAACAGGGGAGACGTGTGGGGGGTGAATACCGTTGATGGGGCATCTACTCCCGAATCTTAAGATATCGAACGTGTATCCTAGTCAGATTAGGGAGCCGTAATTGCGTAAGCAGTAGATGGTCGCAAAAATGGAGGGACTCTACCAAGCACGAGTGGCTCATCACTGTTATCATGGACGTCCTGTTTACGACTGCATGTTTACTTGTCAAACGACATGATTGGGCTGTATATTTGTACTAAGATTGCTATGCTATGGCATATAGACTGTTCTTGTAAAACTATCACCGTTGCACCTGCCTTGGGTCACCAACTCCGCTTTCAGCGCTAGTACCGCCTATCATGTTCTCACAAGGTACACACGACTTGCGTGCCTGGCTCCTCTTCACCTTCATACTACACGCTCACCACCTCATTTCCCATATTTCATCACTCACCACGCTCTAGCGCGCCCGACTGTTGTGCTCATTAATCTTATCATGGAAGGATCTCCAGTACTACAACAAGCAAAACTTCAGCTTTCTATTTGACTCTCGTCCCCAAGCAGCACTGCAAAGACTCCCACCTCAACGTCGACGTACCACCACAATGGCAATTCAGAAAGATACTGTCCCGATGGACATTGACTATGTTGACTCGCCTCCCTCGCCGACCAAGAGTGAATCGACCCAGAGCAGCACCCTCTCCTACACAGACGATTTTGAGACCTTGCCCTCGAACGGCCCGAACAGCCACGCACACATCATCAATCTTGGCGATTATGTCTACAGCAAGGAAGAAGGCGCGGTTAAACTTCAAGACGCTGTAGTTACGACGCTCTTCAACACATCGCCGGATACGCTGAAGTCCTTCCTCAACCCCAATGTCAACATTTTTAAAGCGGTATTCGGCAAGAAAGACGTCCAGTTGGTCATCTGGCGCAAGGGCTTGGAGGTCTTCGTAAGTGACGGCGTCCATCAAGCGTTTTATAGTCACTGATTAGACCCCAGGTCGGCACTTTCGAGCATCACACCTCGATGAAGGCATATCGTTTTGAGCGCGTCGCCGGCTTTCTCATCCGTAACGATGGCTCCTGGCATCTCAAGGCCACTGCCAGTAATTCCTATTCCGCTGCCAAGTGGCTAGACGTTTGGGCCGGCAAGTTCGAGTGCCACGGCGGCGTTGCCAAGATGACTGTCGAGTTTGGCGAGGTGGAGATGGCCAAGAGCGCGTCAGCTTTGGCAGTTGCTATGATCGGCGGCAATTACTGGGAGTTGAAGACCGACGTCAAGACGACTTGACTGGTGCACAGCAAGCCAGGTCACGGCAAGCAATGAGGGTGAACTGGGGATTTCGTTGGAGGGATATACTTATATTTGGGATGCATGTAGCAACTCGCAATGTCTTTGACGGGTTATAACCCAGAGGCGCAACTGGGTGGAGTGGTATTGTCACGAAGGAACCCCATATAGCCAGCAATCTGCATGGCCATGTAGTCACGCTGAAGACCAAAAAGAAATGCCTCTCGATCTTCAGTATGCCACATGATAAAAATGAGACATACCACAAACCAATATGCTGAATTTGTTGTTCTCATACCCTAGCCTCATGTAGTCTTCATCATCCTTTCGCATTCACTTCCACATTGACACTCACAACTGTCACTCAACCCCGCAAGAACCCCAAGTATACATCCGCAACAAACGCACTTACTTCTATCAAATCATACAAACCAAGGGCCCATGGTTCAATGGTAGAACACTCGCATTCTGTTCCCCCCCTGCCCCCCAAAGCAGAATTGCGAGAGACCCGCGCTCGATCCGCGGTGGGTCCATTATTTCTGTGGTTTTTTTGTCTGTTTTTGTTACTAGGGACATGCGAGGAATAGAGAGAAAGAAGACGTGAGTGAGACTAGGTGAGTGGGTAGGTAGGCAGGCGAGAAAATCGAAGTTTGAACTTGGATAACTTTTTGCAGTAAATAGCGACGATAAAGTGATAAGGCGGTACGCAAGCGGAATGAATGAACATGTAAGGATAATTCAATGATATCATTCAAGAAAGTCTAATGATGTTGATAAGAGTAAGCCGCGCATGTAAAGATGTCTGTCAACAAACAACTTGGTCGGTCTATCCAGACCAAAGTCTTCATCTATCCCACCTACTCCAAGAAACGCCGACATACAACACGTCTACTACATCCAATAACTCTAACAAAGTCCGTCGCGAGTAATCACCATTTTCTAGGCCCGAAGGTCTCGCCTTTGGGCAGTTCTTTGTAAGGGCAGGCTTGCCAATCGCAGCCCTAGGATGTAACGTTAGCAAAGACTCAAGATAGCGTGTAAGAAATGTGACTTACCTGCTTGTACACCTCAGTACCCCACCACTTGAACCCGCTCATCCAGCCGGGATACACAATGCCGAAGAATATGACAACCACTCCGAAAGCCAGCCCGGAGTCTAATGCTGCGCTGAGCATCATGTTGTACTTCTTCCACCAAGCGTTTCTGCGGTTCTTGATCTCGTAGTTGAATATATAGCATACTATGGCCCAGACGGAGAAATTGAGACCGGTCGCTGGCGGGATCCAACTCAAGCTGCCGAACACGACTGCGAGGTTCACTTTGCTGAGTATTGACTTGCGATTTCCGCGTGCGAGAAGGTAGATGATGACTGGTGCGATGGCTCCGACGGGGAAGGCCCAGATAAGGTGTTGGTAGAGTGCGCCTGGGCCGAAGAACTTTCCGGGCCCGACGACACCCCAGAGGATACTGCCGTTGAAGTGGACGCGGGCGATGGGGCAGTTGAAACCGTTGATAGCATCTGGTGTACAGATACCGGGGATGTTATTTAGCATCCAATTGAGCACACCAATCTGCGTTAGACTGGATATGATGGTTACGGATAACTGGAGTTTGAAGAGGATTCTTGGCGGTATCTTCATGTAGTGACCTAGCTTGAGGTCCGAGGCAAACTTTAGACCTTGGGTAGCCGAGATGTAGCCAAAGGTCGTAAAGACCATGTTTGCGACGGGTCGGCCGGGGAATAAGACGCCGCAAAGCAGTTGACAGATGAGATAGATGCTACTCTGTTGGTTCGTAATAGCCATTACGATGCCAATGGGGATGAACAGGACTGCACCTATGCCAAGTGCGAGTAAAAGTCCGTACCACGGTAGATGAACAGGGTAGTACTCGACAACGAACATGCCAACGGCTGTCATACTGATACCAGTCAAAATGTACCAGGTAATCGGTACGTCATTGTATCGCCGCATGAGCCGGTTGTGTACATCTTCTGCGGATAGCAGATTCTCAACGTCCCGGTCGGAGGTTGTGCTAGGCCTGTGCCGAAGCATGGCTGGGGATGTGGTGCGACCATTGGTCTCCGAGTTGTTCATTAATGGCTGATAGTCTGTTGCCGCTTCCTTCCGGATCTCAGCCCATGAGCTGCGCCACTGTCTCCAAATGTCCTTGCCGTACCACAATCCAGTATGCGAGAGCAGGGCAGTAAGACCGGCGAACTGGAGTGCGTAACTTAAGACGTATGTGATCGGAAGGTAGACTCGACTGTAGCGCTTGTACGCTTCTTCGTCAAATAAGAAGTTATCAGTCAGGATCTTGCTGACATCGTACGGCTTTCCGCGGTTATCCCAAACGGCAGATGAGAGAATGGGCATATACGAAGAGTAGAGTACGTTCTTGTAGTCTGCACCTCGTTAGTATTTGTAGCGTTGCATTACTGTAAGACACTTACACATAATCGGCGCCGCGATCCACATGACGCCTACAAGACCGCCGAGAATATTCATTGCGGCCCAAAAAGGCGTAATCAAGGGGGATCCTATGTAAGCAATCTGCGCCCAATCGAAAGTCACCGGAAACAATCCAAGGCCGGATGAAATTCCAAACTGCAAAGTGTTAACGGAGATGTTTTCAGTTTCTCTCAGCATAGACATACAAGATTGGCAACGACAACACTCTTGGGTGCAAACCAAGTGAGGACATTGAAATAGCTCAATGCAGGGAATAGTAGACCTGGTAGGAAGTAAAACGCAACCGAGCCGAGGAAGATGCGCGAAAAGAACTTGCGCGGGGCGATTGTCCACCCATCAGCCGGCTTGTTTTCTTCTTTGTGTAACGCAGTAAACATTGCGGTCGATACCAGGGTACTTGGCCATATCATTCCGCTGGGTCGTACCAGATAGCTTCTCGTAACGCCAGCAAGAGAATAGCCGAGGATTTGTGTGGAGAGGATAAGTAATATTTGGTACATTATGCCAAGATCCTGGCGATAGAATTTGACCTGTTCAACGATGACCTACGTAATATTAGCGTTGAGCATCCGGAAGCCTGCAGGACGCATACATCTGTGGCAAATGCAAAGCCGAAGGATACATTGCTGCTGACATAGACACAACAATGTTCCTTCATGTTCCAACGGCCTTGTGCGAGCCAGAGTCGTACCCGTCGATTCCAGGTGACTTTTGTTTGTGAGGGGGTTCTTTGGACAGATCCATCGATGAAAGTTTCTTCGGGATCATCGTGTCGTTTTAAAAGTTGGTCCCAAAGCAGACCGAGAGGGTGGACGAGTAAGAGTGCAATGATAGGAGTAAGGCTGACGCTAGGGTATCGTAGGGAAAAGAACAGGTTGGTTGAAGAACCAGCAATAGAGAATAGGATGGACAGGAACCACATGCGTGGGGTATCAATAGAAAGGGAAAAGTCGTCGGTAGCAGCTACCGATGCTCTGACTTGGGCATAGGGCGAGTTATCGGCGGGGTTAGTCTTCATATCTTGTAGGCCTTCGTCTTCAGAGGCTTCATTATCGTCTAGCGTGCTGCTCGAAGAGGTTGAACTGTCAAACAGTGGCGCACCAGCGGTAGAAGGGTCAAGGCCACTTGCGGCGAATCTTGCCTCGAAGCGGCATTCTTCCTGTCCACCAGAGGCTACACCGAGCGTCGTGCTGCTACGGTCGGCGTCACCTGTTCTACGACGAGTCTTGTTGGTACTGGGAAGATTGGCTACACTAGGCAACGATTCGTCGTGGTCGGGGGCCGAGAGCAGCGAGGGCTCACTATTGGTGAATCAGCTTTTCCCTCTTTTTTTGCGCGAAACGTTTTCCAAGTTATTGGTATCCGAGTCCTCTGGGCTCGAAGAAAGAATAGGTAGGACGCCATAAGACCCTGAGGCAGAGGTTAGCACGTGCTGTGGGTCAAATTTGGTGCGCCATGTGCACCGTCGCTCTTGTGCACATGCGCAATGTCTCAGGGGGCTTGTGACGAGAGTGGCGCAGAGACTAGCTCACCTGTGCCCTGGGCCGGGCTCGACCTCACCAAGAGAGGTACTCTTGACATTGTCTTCTTGATGGATTGTGGAGAGGTCTCGGAGCGAGCAGCGGATGAATCAGGGTCGTCATCAGAATTCGTTTCGGGTGTGGCTAAGTTCCTGGCCTTTTCAGACAGGACATGTAACTCGTAGCTGCCTGCAGGGATGGCGCGACGATCGTGCTGCGTGTCTCTGGAACGATGGACAAACGAGGAAGCAAGCAACGAAGACGACTCGTCCCCGGTCCTAGCAGCCATTTGTATGGGCTGGCGTACACGGACTCGCGTGTACAGGCGTTCCCGTTTGACGCGCCAAACCAGCTTCGTACAACTCGCGCAACGATGGGTATCAGATGATCAGATAAATTTCAAGAGTTATGTCATAGGATACGGTGTGTTAGTCGGTATCCCTTGCGGGCATCTGATTAGATGGCGCTGCGGAACAAACACCAAAATTAGGTCAGTTGGGTCAGGAAGGAGGAAAAAATACTTGGGTTGCCCAATGGAGGGATGGATGCCTTAAGGGAAGCGGTTAGATCCGGTAACCATGTGGGGTCCGCCGCAGAATACACACGGCCGCGCGAGCCGCCTGCATATCATCCCACCTGCATGTCCCAAACCCTGGAATTATCGCAAAGCAGTGACAGCTGCAATCGAGCCCATGCACTGCAAACGCGCATATGGTTGAATTTCAATACGTATTCTGGACAGGATCCCTAGCCGGCACATTCAACCTGACGTCACCTCGTTTACATCCACGTGCCCCGGTATACCCACATGGCTCTCTGCTTTGTGACCAGCGGTGAGACCCTCTACCATATTGATGGCGCCCTCTGGATCGTCCTTGTTGTAGAGAAACAGTCCCTGCAGTGCTGCAGTGCTCACCGATTCAATCAGCCCAAGCTGCCTGACTTTTATCATGAACCTCTGTTTTGCCTCTCCGCGCGCATCAAACTCGGCATAGAATCGGTCCCAGAGCTGCTCGATCTGATACTCGGTCGCTTCGCCGAGGCGGACCGTCATGTCCACACGCCCAGGTCGGATGAGGGCTTCGTCGAGCCTCTCGACGTGATTTGTTGTCAGAAAAATGATGCGCTCCTCAGCACTGGCAACGCCGTCAAGCGCATTCAGCAGTCCTGAAAAGGTGACGGAAGCGCTGGCAAAGCCATCTGGGCCAGGCGTCTTCCTGTTCATAAAGGCAACGTCGACGTCTTCAAGCAGCACTACTGTCCGACGTGGGACTTTAGTTAGCAGGTGGTTCAATCTATCGTCTGTGAGGCCTCGCTCGCTGACGTTCAATATGGCAATGTTGAAGTCAAGATGACCTGCAACAGCCTGGATGAAAGAGCTCTTTCCTGTGCCAGGAGGCCCATACAGCAGATAACCTCTCCTGTACGGTATTCCGCGGTCGAGATACCACTTGCGCGACGCAATGAAAGCCTCCATGTCTTCTACGATTCTCTCCTTGACACCACGCTCAAGGACGACAGAGTCCAAGGGCCGTTTCCGCTTCGCATCTCCAAAGGGCTGCCACATGGTGCCCATGGAGTTGTATATGACCGTCTTACCCTCCTGTGACTGCTGATATATTTGGTGCGCCTCGGCGAAGATGTCTTCGAAGACATCGCGATGAGAGTATAGCGTGGTAAGGTTGATCGTCTCGAACGGCACACCATCCTTGACGTTTAGACTGTTCCGCTCTCGCTGTCTATCGACGAGGATAAAGGCGTTCTTGTAGCGCAAAAAGTGCTTGCCCGGTCCTGGTACAAAAGAGAAGTGGGCGGTGTGCGAAGGCCCATCTTGCGGCGTAAATGTCTGGACTTGAAGGTGGTGCATGCGCGGGTCGATGCGATTCAGGACTTTCGAAAGTACGCCGTTCTGTACGAGCGGACGGGTCCCAGCTTGTTGTGCCCTATGGTAGTTCGTCATCCATTGGAGGACCCACGGGTAAGCGTCGTCATGGCGAGTTATTTCGAGATCAACAAGCATGCGGCGGCGCACGAATGCGGCGCCATGTTGGAGTCCCTTTTGGCCAGTACGCGCCGCAACCCCAAGCGCTGCGAGACCGAAGCCCTATGGCATCAGTGAGCACACCTCCAGCAACAGGCGTGGGCCCCAAGGTGAATCATACGGCGGTAAAGAAGGGATTATCGGTAATGTGCGAAAATAGCGACCCAGGACTCCCGCTACTGCTGCCGGCAGCAATGTGCTTGGCCAGCTCGTGTTGAGGCGTGTTAGATGCCATGAGCTGCGAAGAGGCTCGCAGGCCCAGAAATTTGATAGGCGGCGGGCGCTAATGCGCCGTGGAGGCCGCTTCACCACGCCCATGTTGCACTGCATCCAGCAACCAACAGGCAGCACTCACAAGGTGGCACAGTGCTCCGCTATACATGGCACATTTTTTTCGGCATGGGTATGTGAATTCACATGGAGCATTATTTTAGGATATAGGTCAAAACGGCGCCAGATGTCGTCGCTGCTGCTGCATAGTAGATGACATGCACCTGCATAAAGAATCCGGGGTCGCGTCGCTCAAGGGGAATATCATCGCGCCTTCCCAGTCCTGTGGAGCGCTAGACCGACGCTTGGGCCAGACCCCGTCACTGATAGACTATCAATCATCCCCAATTCACAAAACTCTAATCCTAAAGCACTTCTCTCAAACCCCTTCGGTCCCGGGCTTCTGCTCTTCTTCCTATACGCCATGGCGACTGTAACCATAGGCAAATCCTATTTCGAAGCTCTCCTACGAAGGTAAGTACCGAAACAACTTGAACTGGGCAATGCGCCATACTGTTTGCTGATTGGACTCACAGAGCCGAATTTGTCAGTAGAATCCAGGATACCAGCTGTGCACCTGGTCTGCATGGCGAAGCTGACTTCCATCGCCAGCATACTTCTAATCAGCATGTCAATTATGGCACTGATCTTTCCAACAACGTCACCATCAGTAAAGCAGAGCATGAGTTCATGGTACGTGGTGGCCTTGAGAAGATGCGTTTTTGTCTGCTTTTACCTTCCCCCCGAACCCCTCATAGTTTCCATTTGATTGTAGCTGACCGGTCCTCATTCATAGATTCAAGCAGTGCGAGAATACCGTACGTACATTGTGTAAACCCAACACGCTCCCTCTATCCCATCAAGGGTCCATTCATGACCGAACTGACCCCTCATTGTGGACAGACTTGCTGAAGAGCGCCTTGTTTCGCGGTGGCCTGAGCGCCGAGACCTTGGAGACGCTGCTTCAAGGCGAGAATGGAGCTACGAGCGAAGCGCCGTCAATCTACGATTACGACTCGGAGCACATAACTGCCAGATCAGGAGCCGGTACTGGAGTAGGCAATGCATCCACTCGTTATATGCAAGGCTCGGACAACACTGCTGTCAGCTACGGTCTACAGTCCAAGGCATGCCCACAATCAGTTCCGCGAGTCGCCAGTTATGGCGAGCACGAGTCTTTCATGGCTGGCCCGGATAGTCCAGCAGATGACGATGACGATGACGATGACGATGACGAAAAATACCAAGAACACGCTCAGCGTATCCCACTTCACGACCAGCGAACTGTATTAATCACTAATCTGTCCGAGCGCACTACCCACAAGGACTTGGCAAGTATCGTTCGCGGTGGAAGACTCCTAGACATATTCCTCCGCAACGATCGCTCAGCTACCATTTCGTTTGGGGAAGGAGCTGCAGAGTTTCTCGCTTATGCCAAACGCAACGACATCTATCTCCACATGAAACGGGTGAGTCACGCATTCCCATATGTAGTGTGCACAGCTAACCATGTCAGCTCGAGTTTCGCTGGAACGATAGACAATTCCACGTTCCACCGCATGTGTCCAACAAGATCGCTAACGGAGCTACACGAAACTTGGTTGTGCGATGTATTGCAGGAAAGGTCACTGCAGATCAGATCCGAGATCATCTTGACCACATCCACAACCTGGTTGTTGTGGACATCTATTTCCAGAAAGGCGATGCATATATATCGACCAATTCCGTCCACAACGCTCTATTTGCGAGGACTTGCATGATGTCGCGTACTACCTACAAGGGCACCCGTATTGAGTACTATCCGGATGAATGCGCAGAAGCGCTGCCCAGGCCCACGAAGACTCAGAATCCGGTGTCACGTGCGCCGGTGAAGCCTATGCCTGTGGTCAACCAGTATGCTCTTTTGGACACCGGATCGGATGATGATTCTCAGTCGGACGAGGAATCGTACATGACCAACGGTGTAAAAGTCGATGGTTACCACTGGGCTGACAGCGTGGTAGCATAAGCGACTCGCATGAGGACGCCTGACCCGATGCGGCTCGCTGTACTCGATAAGGTCGCCAACGTAGTGCAGTATGCTCAGTTGAGGTTTCTCCCATGGAACATTCCTGATTTTACCACCACTGCTGGTCGAGTGCTATCCTTAAAGGCATGAGATAGGCACTCATGGCCGCCCGAATAATGATAATGGTGGAGAGACGGATTCCTCCAAGACCCAGAACACAGCCTTTTATTCTCCTAGCACTGATATGGGATTTGGGGAACCTGTGTTATACAGGTCCGAAGAGTTGATACAAGCTTCATGTTACAAGACGTTACCTTGAGTACGCTTATTTCCTACATAGATACCCCTCGGCTTCCGTAGCATACTCTGAAACATGAACATTTTACTATTATGCAGGCGATTCACTCATGTCTACAAGGGTTCCGCGCAAAGTAGTTGCAGATACCTGCCATCAGCATGTGCAAGAAGCTCTGTTGATCAAAAGCTTGTCTAATTTAGCGAGGATGAGCCCTGCATGAGATGCAGTGGTGCAGGCTACCCAACCATGCTTCTAACGATTATCACTCCATCATTCAACATCACCCAAAGTCTCCTAGTCAAAATACTCAACACGCATAAAAGATGGCCAGAACAGTCAAGGCAGCAGTCGTTCAGCTGTATCCAGAGGTACCCTTACCCTTCCTATAACGTCACCCAGCGGGGGCTTCTACTTTCCTGCATACTTACCCTGTCAGCCTCTGCAACCAGAGCGCAACTTCAACAAAGCCACGGCCTTTATCCGTTCTGCAGCAACCCAAGGGGCAGAACTCGCTGTCCTACCAGAATATCATCTCACGAGCTGGAGGCCGAATGATGCAGCCTTCCTCGATGCCGTGGAGAAGAGCGCGGGGTATCTTGAAAGATACCAAGCTTTAGCCAAAGAGTGCCGGATCTGCATTGTCCCCGGCACAATTGTCGAGCTACACCGAGAGAACGAAAAGGCCGAGGACAAACTCCTCAACGTCTGTTACTTTATCGATCACGAGGGCAACATCGCCGGCAAGTACGTCAAAAAGAATCTTTGGGGCCCTGAGCGTGAGCACTTGACTGGTTCGGGCCGCGATATCCACGACGTCTTCGACACGCCGATTGGCAAGGTGGGCTTGTTAATATGCTGGGATTTGGCTTTTCCGGAAGCGTTCCGCGAACTCATTGCGCAGGGTGCAAAGATCATCATTATACCCACGTTCTGGACACTCAGAGACTGCAATGAGGCGGGTTTGAAGCAGAACCCCGCGGCTGAGGCGCTGTTCTTGGATTCAATGTTGACGGCCAGGGCGTTTGAGAACACGTGTGCTGTTGTTTTTGCAAATGCGGGGGGGCCGGCTGGGGAGGGCTATGCGGGCTTGAGTCAGGTCACAGTACCGTTTGTGGGTGCGTTGGCAAAGTTGGGGGGAGCCGCCGAGGGCATGAGTGTTGTCGACATTGACATGCAGGTGCTGGAGGATGCTGAAGCAAACTATCAGGTCAGAGCGGATTTGGCGAGGGATGATTGGCACTACGATTATCGGCATGCGAGGGGAGAGGCGGAGAAGAGTAAGAATTGAATGTAAGTGGTATTTCAATGTGTAGAAAGGAACTCTATGGTTCTAGTACCGAGCAAGTCTACCGTAAGTTCTCCAAGCGTCGAATCGAAATAAAGCCCAAGTTAAGAATTTCATGAAGATAAAGTCGATTTGTGTCGGGCCAAACAAGGTTCCTCAAAGCGCCCAGCGCCACACCCGTTCGAACTACGCCATCTAGCAATGACGAGAAGCGCAAAGGTAGAATCGAAAATACAACGTCGGTGGCCTCCTTGATCAGCTGTGGCCGCTACCACTTGCTTCACTATCCGATCTTTCGCCCTTTTGCACGTAACCAATCTCGCTGGTGGAGACGCCGTGCTCATCCGTGCTCCAGGTCTCGCCGACGACAATAATCTTTGTCATATCCGCCTCCAGAAACTTTTCCTCGTCCCGGGCCAGAAGAGCGGCGTTCTCTTTGGCGTAAGCGCTCTTGTAGAAGTGTTGAAAGTGGGCCTCGCTGTTGAAAGACATTTCGGCAATGCAGTCGCAGTCTAGTTCGTTCATAGTGCCTCTGAGCATCAGAGGCGGCCGATCAGGGTTTGCCGGGCCGCCGAATCCTTTCCGGGATATCCGCGCAAGGTAGCGGCGTGTGAATGAGATGGGCCAGCACTGGGTGAGGAGAGAATATGCCAATGGGATGTGTCTGTGTTCGTAGTAGTCCCTGAACTCTTCTGACGAGAGGGCGTGGTTGCGCGTGATGAACAGGACAATGGTGTAAGTCATTTTGTGGGTCCGAGATAGACAGTGGATTGTGTATACGAGGAAGAGAGATTTGATAGGACAAATTGACTTGCTGTAAGGACAGTAGAGTTTTGACAGCGGCTTTGGTGGCTTCCAGAAGCCACTTGGAAGAGCAAGGCAGGCAGCTTTTGTAGTCAGGCAGCCTCACGGCAAATGCGTGGTACCACCGATTGCGCCCCAAGCGTTCCCAAGGGAAACACCATGTCAGCTTGCGCACTAGGGCGAGACTACGGACCTCTCGCCATGGAGCGCTATGGGCTCGCCTATGTGATCTCATGCCACGGCAATGCAAAAGCTCGGTTGATGTCAGTGAATCAGAATGTTTCAAAGGAGGAACCAAGGCCGCTATGGATTAGTGGAGCAGAGGTAGCGCCCCTCCCGATCCCGGTCGGTCGCTCCTGCGCTGGCTGCTATCGATAGCGACTTGGACTAGGCAAGCGCACAGAACGCCAAATTTCGCGTGACAAAGCGGGGAGCAGGTCCAACACCACGACACGCCCGACATCGACCCCTTTCGCACCGTACAAGCACCCGTGCCGTCGGCCCATCCATAATTCAACATGAGTCTGCGCGAGCGAGTTCCGCCGCAGTACCAGAACGGTGACGCCGCCCGGCGCGCCCCCGGGGATGATTCGGACGTTGAGGAGGAGGCAATGGCGAACGACTACCGGGAGCAGGTGCAATATGACGGCATGGAGGATCTTGACCGGATGCCGTCAATCAACAGCAACCAGGATATTCACGCCCAGCTGCAGGCCGCCGCGACCCCCCTCGAATTCCAAGCGACGCTAGAGACCAAGTTTGCGAGTTACGACAGCTACTGCAATCTCTTCCACTACATCCTCAACTCCGAGGGCCCTGTCGATTTGGAAGTGCCAAACGTAAGCACTGTGGCGTACTAGACAGCGGCCAGGGCTAACACTACGGACAGTACTACTGGGCCTGGGATGTCATCGACGAGTTCATCTACCAGTTCAACAGCTTCTGTAGCTACCGCCAGCGAGTGGCCCAGAAGAGCGATAATGAGGAGGAGATTGCGCTTCTGCGCGACAACCCAAACACATGGGGCTGCTACAGTGTGCTCAACGTTTTGTATTCGCTCATTCAGCGGTCACAGATCAGCGAGCAGCTGGCGGCCATGAAGCGGGGCGAGGACGCGAGCCTGTATGCAGGAGAGTACGGCAACCGGCCGCTGTACAAGATGCTGGGATACTTCTCCATCATCGGTCTGCTCCGGGTCCACTGTCTGCTCGGAGACTTTAGTCTGGCGCTCAAGACGCTCGACGACATCGAGCTCAACAAGAAGGCCATGTTCGCGCGTGTCATGGCGGCTCACTTCACCACCTACTACTACGTCGGATTCTCCTACATGATGATGCGACGGTACTCGGATGCCATCCGCATGTTCAGCCACATCCTCGTCTACGTCTCGCGGACAAAGAACTTCCAGAAGAACGCCCAGTACGACTCCATCACCAAGAAGAATGACCAGATGTACGCACTTGTCGCCATCTGCGTGGCTTTCCAGCCCACCAGGCTCGACGACACCATCCACACCGCTCTAAGGGAGAAGTACGGCGAGCAGTTTAACAGACTGCAGCGCGGTGGTCCCGACTCCCTTCCCCTGTTCGAGGAGCTCTTCCGTACCGCTTGCCCCAAGTTCATCAGCCCAACCCCTCCCGACTTTGACAACCCAGAGGTCAACATCGACCCTGTTGAGCACCACCTCCGCATCTTCATGGACGAGGTCAAGAACAACATGATGTCGCCTACCGTCAAGAGTTACCTCAAGCTCTACACCACCATGGACCTCAAGAAGCTCGCTGGTTTCCTCGAAGTTGAGCCCGAGAAGCTGAGGTGCTGGTTGCTCGTCAACAAGCAGAGGAGTAGGCAAATAAGGTGGACCGAGGGTGGTCTGTTGGATGGTGATATCATCCAGGCTAGCGATCTCGACTACGCCATGGAGGGTGTAAGTGTTCACCCATGTAAATATGAAATGATAGTTTGCTAACGAAGCTCAGGACCTCATCCATGTTTCAGAGGCAAAGGTAGGCCGGAGACTTGTGGACTGGTACCTCCGCAACTTGGCCAGGACGTATTAGGGCACCACGGGGGTTTATTTGACCAACATTTTGCATTCGGGACCTATACAATATAGCATTGCGGCTTGGAGTTAGGAGGACCTATGGCGTGCATTCGAAAAGCAATTTCTGCGACATCAGGGGCGCGTACGGGCAGTGGAAAGGCGGATACAGTCAAGGATCGTAGGGTATCCGTTGACGGATCTGCCCACCGTGTGCGGGTATCGGGCCGAAGGAAGGGAAGGACTACCTAGCTAGCAGGCGAGCATTGGGCACGAGAATACCAAAGAAAGTGTAATGATTTCAAAAAAACATGTTTTGTGAAACTCGAGCACTGTGGTGTTAACGAGGCATGGCGACGACGTTGCATGTTTGACGATACATGGCGACGATGTTGCATGTTTGACTGACTTCAAGGCTGTTGACGAATTGATAGCAGCTAGCGCTCTGAGTGGACTGCATCGCACCTGGAACACGCATTCTAGTCGACCAACACCACCTGGGTACCCAAACAAACTTCCAAGCAAGTGCCAGCACCTAGGTGTCATGAAATACTTGACGTACTAGTAGTGTCTGTAGTCGCCAAACACGCCTATTAGCATCGTGGGTAAGCCCTAATAGGCGTGTTTGGCGACTACAGACACTACTAGTATGTCAAGTATTTTATGACACCCAGGGTGCTCCCAAGGCAGTGCCGGGTAAAGAAAAGTGCATCAGCGGCGCGCACGAGCGACCGAGAGGGGCAGGCAAGCATATACGTGCTTGCCCCGGACGCGTCTTTGCATCTTCCACGTCGTTCGATCACAACGCCCAGCCATCCATCAAGATCGCCAGCCTGTTCACCGACACAATAACAGTTATACAACTATTTGTGCGTCTTGTCCTTGCACATTGCTGACTGATCGTCCTGTTACTGGTACAGCGGGGTAGAAGCACCTCTCCGGAGCAATTCACGCCCTTGATCAGGCCATACATCACGCGCCACACTCAAAGCGGTCTCACTACCACAATGGCACCCGATCTGAACTCAGTGCCTGCATCGCCCCGGCCTACCCCTACGAGCAACCCATCGAACACGCAGCCGGCCTCGGGGTCGCTCTCCCGCCAGACGTCGACATCTGTCTCTAGACGAACCTCGCAGATATATCCCATGAGTCCTCCCCCTCTACCTCTAGCCTCACCGGGGGGTAGTGGACACGCGTTCCCGCCTCTCAGTCCAGGTGCGAGCGGCGGATATGTGCAGACGAGCGCCGACTCGACAGGCGTGCCCATGAGACACCCACGTCCCATGACGGCTGCAGAAATGCACCTGGAGCTCGAGAAGGAGCAAGAAGCAGTAGTCAACCGCCTAACGCGTGAGCTCTCTGCTCTACGCGCGCACTCTGCCTCTGTAGCCTCCACAACGTCCATGTCGAGTGCCGCCGACTCGTCCATAGCCCACGCCGAAGCCGCCACCGGACCTATGCATCCCACGTCCTCGCGCCGCCACCGTAGCTCCTCGAGCGTCTCCCGAAGCGGCATGCCTGTCCCACATCGCTACTCCATCTCCTCGCAGCCAGCAATGGGCGATGCTGCCAATCACCGCAGCTCGAGCGTGCTGAGCACTCCGCGATACGAGGAAGTTGCACAGCACAAGGCCGAGCTGGAGGAGGTCAAGAAGGAGAACGAGGCACTGAAGCAGCGCATCAGACAATTGGAGCGCATGATCCGGGGTAACAACGAAAGCGAGGGCCAGCGGGGACGCCGGGGAGCGCCACAATCTCAGAGCAGCGTGGTTGGCAATGCTTCTACTAACGTAGACGTACCTGCTGACGCGTCTGCAGTCTCCCAAGAAGGCAGTGGATAGGGTGAAGGGCATGTAGATGTGTTCTACAGCGACAAGGAGCTTCGGCATTACATTCGATCAACTTCAGAAGAAGAACAAGGAAAAGGTCGAGATTGTTTCTTTCCATTTCTACTCTGTCCAAGTTTCTAGCAAGGTAGTAGATAGAAAGGCGGTATTGTGGTTTCGCCGATGGCGTCATAAGCGGCGGTGGTGGTGCTTAGGTTGCGGAGGCCGTCGGAACCGGATCTCTCTATCCGATGTAAGACGTCGGATGAGGGCCCTTTCCGTCTCACTCTTCCATCATCATCATCATCATCATCGTCAAGATCAAAGCTAAACAAGTTTCTATAATCAAAGTTCACAGACACACACACACACACACACAAAAACAAAGTTTAAACTTGCACTTCGGCCAACTTCCCATGATCCCCTACACTTCGTTCGGACCCTGCTCCCTTCCGCGTGGGATTTCTCGTTTCCCATTTCTTTTTGGACCACCCAGGTGTCATGAAATACTGGAAATACCAGTGTAAAAAAGCCACTGTAATCGCCAGAAATGTCTAGTTGTTAGGTGCTTACCTACACTGTCCAGTATCTTATGTCACCCAGGTGCGTGGGATTTTCCGTTTCTCATTTCTTTTTGGACCAGTGGGACCAAAAACAAGACTTGTTATGTACTGTAGATCAGGGCTGTAGATCATTCTGGAGCTAAGCCTGTAGGTGGGTAGGTACGTATCTCTGCGGCTATGCCTGTCTGCTTGCTTGCTTGTTGATCTTCACATGCAAAAGCTGGGGTCTCCCTTGAACGGATGGAAAGATCAGAGTTTAGTTGGCGATCTTTTGCGTTGGATCGGGGTAGGTTTGTTTGCTGGGTGTTTGAGAGTATGTAGAGCGGATGGATAGATGCATGGTTGGGCTTGATGTTTCCAGCGCCTTCTTCTTTGGACTAGATTAGACTGGACTAGACTGATGTAGGCTGGAAGTATAGTTCCGCAAGTTGGAGTAAAATACCTCATGTTTTTAGGTATCGTGATGTAGGAAGACAGAGACGCGATGTGATTGTGGCGACGCGTAGGTGGTACGTCATAAGGTGAGGTGGGTTGATGATGACGGTGGTGTGGCTGTGCTGTGCCGTGCCGTCTTGTTTGCTTATTGCTGGACCCGAAGGTTGGGAAATCGATGGAATGCAGCGGATGGAACGGATGGCCAGGTTCTTGAAAGGTCGTCGTCATTTCTTGGTTTCGTGAAAGATGGGGTTGGGGAGGGGGAGGGGTATATATTTGAGTTGCTGGGTTTGGGAGGTTGACGTTCTGTGCTTACTACCTGAATCGCTATTCTTACCAACGCGAGTGGAGATACTACTGTTTATATTCAAATATCGTGTTTGGCTCGACACGTTTATCTGATCGGATCAGACCAAACAAAGAGTACTACCATCTCGTCCGCTTGAGGCAAACCAACAAGACAAAAAGACAGACAGCCACACCGAATAAAAAATGTGGTTTACCAAGCTCCGCTCCCGCAGTCGTCGCCGCAGCAGCACCAGCAGCACCGCCAAAGACAGAAAACGAAAAGATAGTGATACCCAACCATTCTACACACAGGGTACGTTCCCCACATTCCTCCATCTCACAACCCCTTACAACTACCTAAACTAACACCCTCCACCAGATCCATCTACTCCACCGCACCCACTAAACACCACAACCCCTGCTCTCCCCCAAACACCATATCCAACATCCGCATCATCAACAGCACTCTTGCCAACCCCATCATCACCAGAACATCAACAAAGACCACACCTCCTCCACATACCCACCGACATAATCCTCGCTACAGAAAGAGGAATGATATCCGGGTCCATGTGTGCTATGCCTTCTCCCTCGCGTTCATCGTCTGTTTATTCAACGGCTTCGACTGCTTTGACGCTGCCGCCATCGAGTGCGGGGGGTTTGGAGGAAAGGGGGAGAGAAGGAGGGATGTGTGAGGAAGGAAAAGAGGGAAAACAGGTGCTGACACGAGGAGAAGAGGCATGTAGGAAGAGTGGGAGAAAGAGCGTAGAAGAGATACAATGGGAGAGGGGGAGGAGAGTGTTGTTTAAAGGTCTTGATGTGTAGCCAGCCGTACTTGTGCTGGCATGTATTGGGGTTCCATTCTATTTTGTCTTGGGGAAGCGGGGACGGCGTTGCAAAAAGCGATTTCCATTTACAGCGTTTGAACTTGTTGTTGATACTGCTAGCGCCATTCGTAAACCTTTTTATCTAATCCTTTATTCACTTCACAATGCGACGATGATGTTATAATGTAGCCTTTTCACCTTTTTCAGCCGTAACAATCACTTCGATATCAGACCGTTAACTGACGTATACACATACCTAGTTTGTCCACCCAATTCATGAGAAACCCCGCCATGTTTTCATATCACAAATCGTTGTCTGTACAGCACTAGCCATCAGTCCCTTTCTACTGAACAACCCTCCTCCCACCACCAGTCATCTTCCTATTCTCAGTATGCCGTTTAGCTTTAAGCGCATCACGTCTCCTCTTCTTCCACGCGCGATTCAAATCACCCCTATTCTCCCAGAACCATTTCTTGAACTCGCTTTCTGGCTTTTCTTCTTCAGCACCAGCAGTAGCACCCGTAGCCTCTTCTTCGTCTTCTTCCACGACACCGGGGAGCTTCTTGCTAGCGGCATTTGCGCGCGTGTTCAGAGTGAGCCTTTGCTCTGCGTCTGGGTCTAGGTCGCCTATGTCTTCGTCGTCGATTTCTTGGCTGTTTGTTCGCCAGTCAAAGGAGAAGCGGCGGCCGATGGCGGCGGTGTCGGGGGTAGGCGCGGCACTGCGGAGGCCACGCCATTCAATGTCTCGTTGGGTGAAGGGTGTGATGGGAGCATCTTCGATGGGTTCGCCGTTGGGTTCTAGGGGTTCTTCGTTGTCGAAAAAGCTAAAGGATGTGTTGATTGGGGTGAGCTTCTTTGGAGTCGACGTTTCACCCTCAGCGGGCTTTGCGCGCTTGAATAGAGCTTCCAGAGGGTGAACTTCCTTCTCAGCCGGCTTTGTGGGTTTGGGAGTGTTTGGCGTCTTTTTTGCTTTGGTCGATGAGACGGGAGATGGTGAAGCAGATCTGGACTCAGCTTCTGACTCGTCGGATTCAGAGTCGGAAGAGTCTTCATCTTCGGAAGAGGATGAGACCACCGACGATTCGTCATCCTCAGATTCAGATGACGAGGGCGGTGGTGTGGCCTTCTTCTTCTTCTTTTTCTCGTCTTTTGTAGCTTTCGGCGTCGAAGTTGAAGTAGAAGCCGCAGGACGTCCAGTCCCGTCGATCCAGGCCTTTTGAGCTTCGGTCAGCTCATCTACCATCTCCAAAGCTCTCCTCGCCTTTGCCTTTCCTGTCTCGGGCTCTACGACGACACCGTCCTCATCCACCCATCCCTGGCCATCGACATAGTCGACTGCCGGCTTCTTGGACACTGCAACCTGGGGTTCCTTGAGAAAGCTGGGGGTCTTGGTGTTCTTCTCGAATTCGTGAACAACCACCTCTCGCGCTGCCGACTTGTTCTTTTCCTTCTTCTCTTTCTTGTCCTTCTTCTTGTCCTTGTGTGCAACCTCGGTAGCAGCAACGGGCGTCAATTTGGCCTTGAAAAGCAGCTCGGGCTCCCTGGTGTACTTTGAGTGTTTGCGCTCCTTCTTGGCATCTTTGTCGCTCTTTTCCTTCTTGTCTTTCTTTTCTTTCCTCTCCTTCTTGTGCTTGGCCGCAGGCTCGGTCCAGCCACGCTTGACCTTCCTGTCATCTGGCAGCTCGACACCTTCCAGTACGCCTTGTTCCTTGCGCTTCTTTTCCTTTTTCTCCTTCTTGTCCTTCTTGGCACGTTTCGACGGTCTCTCGGCCTCTTCCTGTTCCTTTGCAGCGTCGGCCTCAGCGCGCGCTTTGCGCTTCTCTGGTTTCGCCATCTCTATGCGCACCTTTGTGCCCCTCAGTGTCGTGCCGTTGAGCTTCTTCTTAATCTTCTGCGCTTCCGCCTCTGGCAGCTCTACGTAGCCGAAACCTCTTTCGGGGAATGTGGCGACGGTATGGTAGGAGATGTTCTGCGCCGAGGGCAGAACAGAAGGCGCGATGTAGACGTTGAGAAGGTCCGGGCGAAAAGGTGTTATGTGCAGGCGGACAGACTTGGTGTCGGGTTGCGCTTCTTCAGAGTTAGGCGCTTGTGCAGCTGGCATTGGGTCGCAAACTCGCGCGCGTGCGACACGAACGATGAAGTTTGCGTTATGCGCGAATAGTTTCAGGGGTCGAACAGAGCCGCACTAGTTTGAAGCTTCACCGCTGCTTTCCAAGCGTGGAGCCCAGATGTGCATGTGTCTCGGGAGGAGGGGAAAGGAAAATGCTAGCGTGACAAGCTGGACCGTGAACCCAGCTGCCGTCGTCTAACTTAGCCTGGATGCGGGCGGAGGTAAGAGGTCCACTCGACCCGACTTTCATCACGCCTACGATTGGATCGCGCATTTCATCAGGACAAATACCATAGTCCACTCTGGGACAACTGTGTGTAATAGGCAATTTGCCCAAGACGATCCCTTCTTGGCCATCGACTTCACCATGCGCAGACGGCCAACCCTCCTCTTCTTGCTCCTGACCTTCCTCTCCTCTCTCTCCGTCTCTCTCGCTGCCTGTAAGCACGCGTCCCAATTGCCCAACTTCCACACGACTGACGTGCCATGTAGCAAGAACTTCCTTTTGCAAATGCACCTGTTTCGGCAACAGTACCATTGTAGCGCTGGATGCGCCCACTCCCCCTAAGAAGCCGGCCGCCGCCGAACTCAAGCCCCGCGCCTCAAGGAAGACGTGCAACGACTGCAATCGCCAATTCTGCCTCGGATATAGTTTCTGTACCGGAGAGAAGGAGGAGAACGTCTTGACAACGTGCTTCCAGAGAGATTCGGCCAAGGATCAGGCCGTTGTCTTTGTCTTCATCGGCGCGACTGTGGGACTGTTGACCTGGGCGGGCGTGCGGCCTTGGGTCGAGGGCTGGAGAGAGGTACGTCTGAAAGCTTGACTGCTAGATACAATACTCACTGCAAGTAGCGTGGTCGGGAACGACGGACCTATATACCCGTAGCTGGCCAGGGCAACTGAAGACGAATTGGCCATTGACTGAATACAAAGACATTGGAAATATGGTTATGCAATATAGACACAAGAATAGTTATCCTGTAGATCAAGACTCTTACATACGTGTAATAGTTCCAAGATGCATACGCATAGTGTGACAGCAATGTACAAGCTCAAAGCGTATAGTACATGGAGATCATCTCAATCTCCCTCTTGTATGGTCTGCCGTCTTCTACTCCTTCTTAGACGCTCCCGACATCCATCCAAACCACCCCTTGCTCTTCTCCTCGACTTTGTGCACCGCCTTTTCCGCAGTATTGTCTAGTGGCCCTCCTACTGCCCGTGTTGATGATGTCGCTGCTGATGTGAACGAGGCGTCGTTACCCCTCGCCTCCTGCACGGCGGCAGTAATGCCGAGTTTGGAGTTTCCTAGAGCCTCTTGCCGCTTGATTTCTTCTACAGCCAGCCTTCTTTGCTCTGCAATGGCTTGGTCCTCCTTCCAATCGCCGTGCATCCACCACAACAACTTGGACGGCGCCTTTCGCTCCGCCTTCTTCTTCTCCAGCGCTTCCTGCTCCTCTGCGATACCTGTAACAAGAGCGGCCTGCGCCGGCGATGCGGTTCCGGATGCGACGGCGTTGCGGGCAGCTTCGAGGATCTTGGCTTGTGTCCGCTCCTCTTCGGCAAAGTATATGGCTCGTTTCCGCCGGTTGTAGACAATCATGTCACCTATTGAAAAGACGGCGAGAACACCAACGCAGCCTGTTTGAGCAGTCAATAATTGCAGCCATTGACCCCTCATGTCTCCACATACCTGTTGCAAAGATCAATCCATAGACGGTGAATCTGTGCGCCGCATCCGCTGCCATTCTGCCGTACAAGTACATGTAATCCCACCTTGTGACCTGCGCCATCTTCGCCCTATTCGCCGCCTCTCGTAACCGCTTGACCTTTTGCTGTGGCGTTTCATTTGGCGGTGCGGGATCTGCGAATTGTAGCGTCGTTGCCCGCCCGCCGGGTCTTGTGTGCGCCCATACTCCAGTGGCCGTAAACCGCGTAGAATCCTTTGGTGACTTGGACATTGAGAAAGATGAGCGTCCCGGAAGAGGGGAACGTGTCGTGGATAACGTCAAGCTGCGGAGCGGGAAATTGAATGATTCGATGATTCTCAAAAGTTGGTGGACTAGGGTTGGACGCGGAGATTTCCGCCCTGTCTCCGCTAACACTACAGTACGTATGGTAGTACAACGTGCAGCCCTACCACTTTCTGCACCGCCAAGCCCGAACATCCAATCCGTTTGTTCTTGCTCAAATTGCGAGGTGCCTAGTTTGGACTTATTGTGGAGAAATCTGATTCAGCACATGCTCGTTTACTTTGATTGCCTGTTGTTCTAGGAGCAAACACCACGCGCCATTTGCCACTGATCGCCCACTGTACCTGACCTACTTCACGACACTCGAACCTTGCTGCTCTGCTTGACTGTAGCCCATCGTAAACTCCGCTAATTTAGACAAGATGACTGAAAACCTTCCCCAGAATCTAGACCTCGCACAGATATTGGCTACACTTGCGAGCCTGCCCAAACCGGCACCTCAGCCTGGTCAAGATCAACAACACGCAAACGGCAACTCATACAACAGCCAAGGATACGAAAACATTCAACAACAGCACCCTACTGGACAAGTCAACATCCACCAACAATCGGCTGATCCTCGCTTGATTGGTCGCTCAGTTCCTCAGCATCGGCAGCCAGCCCTCAAACCGCAAGAACCCAGCGTTTCGTCTCCACCTATTGACCCTTCAACAATCACCGAATGGAAGCAAGGTCTCCGTTGCGTGAGCAAAATAGCTGCTAGAAACCCAGAGTTTGCTCCAGCGATCCGCAAGGTAGTTTATAGTCGCACTTGAGCATAGTGTCAGTACTGATGACCCACCAGTTGATGAAAGATCAAGAGTCTGCCGTCAAGTCATGGGAAACTGGCCGTAAGAATCTCATCGAGGAACAGAGGTTCAAGCGCGAGAATGAGCGAACCCATCGAGCTGCACTGTATGTTGATCACTGCTTCTTGGAGTGCTGTTGAACTGACTTCCTCAGGTCTCTACCGGGTCTTCTGAAAGATGTTGCACTTCTTCGGGTATGCTTTACTTCTTCCCTTGTTAGTGGCACACCCTGACAATGCGTAGACACCAGAGTGTGAAAAGGAAGAACTTGAACAATATGACGCAAAGGTCTACCGAGTCTGCAAAGCAATGGTCGACTTGCAGACCTCATCTCTCAAGGTCTTGGGTGTTCCCTTCTTTGGCGTAAAGCCTTATCTAGTATCTGGCTCCAGCTACGATCCTACTGAGGTCACAGATGCACAAGCAGCTCCAACAGGCGGCAAGATCACTAAAGAGCAACTTCTCGAACTGCAGCGGAAGATGTTGAACCATCTCATGGAGTTGTATGGAGATTGAGTAGCTGAATTGGTCCAGACGCACGGTTGTTCCGAGTATTAATGGTGTGTTGGACATGTTGGTGATAGGTCAGTCGCTTCTCTACCGACAAAGGGGACCAACAAAGGCTATTAGACTATACTGCCAGACGGTATGGGAGCAAGGGCGCGATGCATAAATCTTGTGTAGATCTACACCCTCTCTGTTCATTGCGAGCATAATAGATGTAGGGAAGAAATTCTTCGCCATCAATGGCTTCCAACTCAAGACCTCTCTCTCAATCTCATGTATTACTCCTTTTCCTTCATTCTAAGCATACTTGATGGTCAACGACACAAGGCGATGACATCAGTCATCAGTACGTCTTAACTACGAGAACCTGACGAGTCACTGCATACAGGACCGACCACGTGCGACCCGCCAGAAAGCAAACACGCCTGGACTCTCACTCACCAATTCAAACAAGGGTCCTCGACACCATTGGGTGCCTGCCTGGTGGCACCTGAAGCTACTAGCGTCCCTTGGCAGGCACCGATATAATGACCTTGAGCCCCTCCACATTCTACTCGACACACCACACTCGTTCAAATCGTTGGCTAAACTACAGTCTTTACTACCAACAGTCGGTTCTTGTTTTACAGTATCTTTTTGCAAACATACTCAACATGCGCATCTTTCTTTTGTCCTCGCGGTTGGCGGTAAGTGCATCTTAATCAAAAAACCAAAGGCGGTGACAGTTACAGCGTTTTCCCTCAGCCCCTAACATTCGAATAGCAAACGCTGTCGCCGAGGTCGCACACTTGAGTCAACCCTTGGAGCCTGTCGCTACTGGAGAAGTGGCGGCTCAGATCTGCGACAAGCTCCCGACGCTCTGCACCCATGCGGTAATGCTAAAAGGTCTTGAGACAACTCTGACCTACCTGTGTCCCGAGACCGAGAGCCCGTCTGTTGTCACCATCACCAAGACTGCTACCACGACTGCAACTGCTACGGTGACTGCTGGCCCGGATGGAGCTGCACCTCCGATTTCCATGCCTACTACTTCGGATGAGCCGACTACGACAGTGACGCTTCAGTCAACCCGTCAAGTCACTATGACTTGGACCATTACAGAGATTCCTGCCGGTATCTCTGTGTCGCTTATCCCGGGGAGCATGCCTCCAGTCCTCACGCCACCTGCTACTTCGGATGAGCCTACTACGACGGTGACACTTCAGCCAACCTCGCAGATCACTAGGACCGAGACCGTCACTAGGGTCACTCCCAGCTCTTCTAAGTCTTCATCTTCGTCGCTCACCCCGGCTTCGATCACTTGGTCTTTCACAGCGGTCCCCCCATATGATATCTTTCCGACACCAGTCTCAAGCACTGCAGACTTGGTCTCTGCCAACTCGACTGGCAACTCTTCGACTTCATACGTTTTCCCCTACCACGTTAAGTATACTTCCCCTATCCCTCACAGTGACTACATCAAGCCCTCTGCATTATATATTGCGCATGCTGAGGCTAACGAGACCGTTACCGCAACTGCAACCCCTGTTCCTACGGAGAGCAGCAATGGTATGGCTGGAGATGGCCGCGTGTCATTTGTTGCCCTGTTCCTCGGCTTGATGGCTGCAGCTTTCATAGTCTAAGCGCCACATGACTACTCTCGCTGACCAGCTCCATATGGTTACTTTCATTACGGAAGAAATCTTGACCGAATATGTGGTGGAGTTAGGATGAATGGGTTCTGTGCATCTTGTACGAGATTCACCATTTGTATATGTGGATGGCATGGACATGGCCTAAGGAATTCAAGGATAAGATATGACTAGTTTTCCAATGAAATGAAATGGAATGAATGCACAGTTGAAGCTCCTTGAACGATGTGAAATGGTACCTGTGATGACTTGTGAAAAGTGGGTGACATGAAATACTGCATACTAAATTGAGGGCAGGAATTATGAAATAAACCGAAATACAACACAAACTTGATGGCGGTTCTTGGAGACGACTGCTCCGACAATGGGATGAGGTCTGGCCATAGCTTTGCAGCAAGGATAGCGGGACCGAAAGTTGCGGACTCGCGATCCAATCACTGGCCAAGCGCGCCGCAACCGCGACGAACAACTCGAGGCGTGTTCACCTCACCACCCAGGCAAACCTCACCACCTACAACGATCCCCATTACGCCCGCCGAGTCACAGCCATTGTTGGTCGCAAATACCGCCATCGAAGCAAGCATCCGCGCATCCAACAAAGCCAGTCTGCAGAACATCACCCGCGCTCCATCAGACTTCATACCGTATACCGCCTTTTCGCGCACTTGGCTTGCTGCCAGGACACTAGTGGATCGTGGTCCACTGTCATTGCGCATACGTCTGTTTTGTCGCAAGTAACTGCAACTTCTGGACAACCGGATATTGGCAAACATTCGGCAACATGGTTGGAAAGAAGTCAGGCAGGGCCCAACTCAGGGAAGAGGGTACGGCGTCTCGACATAATCAATACCATGGCAAATGGTGGCAGCTAACAAGATCACAGGTTTGGAGCGGACAGATAACAACATGGACCTCACGACATGGCCCCAGGTCGGCATGATCAACCAAAAGAACTACTACACCGAGTTCCTGAAGCGCGACGAACAATTCCTCGCTGTAAGATACCCCAAGGATGAAGAACGTGCGCGCATTGTACAAGAGGCCAGAGACAAGGATCGCGCACGCGCCCTTGGAGTGCCGACTACGGAAGGCGCGACCCCACAGACTGTGGATGAGACCATGGACGATCCCGAAGTTTCTTTCGCATCGAGGACCGATATCTCCAAGCTCATCGTGATACACCCGGGCAGCCAGAACCTAAGGATAGGCCTGGGGTCGGATGCATTGCCCAAGACCGTGCCCATGGTCATTGCACGCAAGTGGAAAGAGAGCGAGGATGAGGAAGATGACGGAGAACCCTATCCCAAGCGGATGAAGGTCGATGGGGATGTCCCTGCAGATGCCGTGGCTGAAAAGAAGTTTGGACTTGATTTTTCTGACCAGTACCATGCCATGTCATCTGAGCTGAGGACACGCATGCGCATCAATAAACGACGAGTGCTCCCAAACTCAAAAGACCTTGTCAGCAACTACAACAAGAAGTCTCCCCCAGACATCATCTCCGAGCACAACGACATCAATCGCATTGAGTGGACGGAGCTACCAGCAGACCCAAAGAAGGCACCAGACTTCTTTACGGGGCATGAGGCTTTGCGGATACCGGAAAGATCAAACCCACGATACAAACTTTTTTGGCCTATACGGAATGGCACCTTCAACGAGAAAGACTACCGAGACCGTAACCAAATCTACCACGACATATCTAAAATCCTTGAGGAGGCATTCAGGACCCAGCTCGGTATCACGAAGCTGAAGGACCTTGTTAACTACAAGTGCGTTTTCATCATTCCAGATCTCTATGAGCGGCAATACGTGACCATGATTCTGGACATCCTGATGCGAGACCTCAGTCTTGGAAAGGTTTGTCTGCAGCAAGAGTCTCTCTCAGCGACATTTGGTGCAGGTTATGGTGTTGCCTGCGTCGTGGATATTGGCGCTCAAAAGACGTCCATCTGCTGCGTCGACGAAGGACTGTGTGCCGAGGAGTCGCGCGTCAATCTGAAAATGGGCGGAGCCGATGTCACTGAAACATTTATCAAAATGATGATGTGCGGCAACTTTCCATACGCGGATATGAACCTCAAGCGGAGGTACGACTTTTTGCTTGCTGAAGAGCTGAAACAAAAGTTCTGCTCAATGGACGAAGGCTCCGTCACAGTCCAGACGTGGGATTTCCATCTTCGGGCTTCGGGGCAGGATACACGGAAGTATACGTTCAAGACGTACGATGAAACGATGCTGTCTGTGATGGTAGGTGACTGATTCTTGTCATGTGATGCTTGTTACTAACGAACATAGGGGTTTTTCAAGCCTTCGATATTTGAGAATGCACATAAGCTCGAAAACAGGAGAAAAGTGATACCGCGTTCTGTTGATCTGTATGATGGCTCGCCCAATGATCCCATCTCGCAAGCCCAAATCGCCATCATCGAGGCTGCAGCCGGTAAACCGGTTATCCCTACCATAAACGGCTCACAAGATCCTGTCAACAGCACTGCGCCCATGTCTACGCCTCAACGTCCGCAACCCAGTCCTTTCAGCCTCCTAGGCCGATTGAACGAGAATGAGAACACGCCGCGATCATCGGTGGCGGGATCGCCGGGCCCGGAAGGCATGGCTACGCCAAACGCGGACCGCGACACACCCATGGGTGACGGAGATGGTGCTCCGCTCCTTTTTCGTGATCCTATCCACGAAAAGACCAAGCTAGCCGAAGCTCGCGATGCCATCCTACCCATTCACTCTCTCGATCAGGCCATCCTGGAGTCGCTGACCCAAGGTGCCCGAGGCGACGATCGCAAGCTCCGCGACTTCTTCGGTGGTATCATGTTAGTGGGCGGCGCTTCAAAGACCCCTGGCTTGAGGGAATTTCTCGAGATGCGGCTGAGAGAACTACGACCGGGCTATGGAAAAGAGATCCTCGTCGGTCCGCCCCCCAGGGATTTTGATCCGCAGGTTGTGGCGTGGAAGGGTGGAAGTGTGTTTGGGCGGTTGAGTGGGCATGGCAACGACGGGTGGATCTCGAGGTATGAGTATGATATGCTTGGAGCTAGGTTATTGAACAACAAGTGCATGTTCGCTTGGTAAAATTGGGTCTGCAAGTCGGAGACATGTGACACTTTGGAGTCGCGTGGGGGAGGGCAAGGGGTAGGGTAGTGTGATATGGATGAATACATGCTTCTACACATTACAATGGATAACTATGGGATAGCAATTTTTGTACGCCTATTATTAGGAAGTCACGGACCATTCATCAATACACTTTCCCGGTCAACGGATCGATTCTCGCAAAGTAACTACACACCGACCAAATCATCTTGGGCTTGAATGCAGTCTGCATGGAATTCTTTTTCCGCTTACTTGTGTACAGTACCGCCCACTCCGAATGGGTCAGCAACAGGCCGCATAAACTCTATAGTTCCATGGACCGACCGGAACATGCACCACTGCAGCCAAGCCTTATGACCATCGGAGACATACGTATACAAAGACGCAAGGCTAGCCCGGGGCGGAAGCATAACCACCACGCCGCGTAGCGACTAGTGACTTTTGTAGATAATGGAGCGAAGTTTACGTCTTGAAGCTTGACTTTGCATCACTGTATTATTTCGAAGCACACTGGCTGTCTCTGTCTCTGTCTCTCTCGCCCATGCCTATCCCCACAGACACGAAACCATCCTGCCTACAAGAAAAATCTCTGGGCAAATTTCCCCCTCTCCATCTACTCGGTGAGGCTAAAGACTTGGCGCCTCTGTCATATCCAAATCTTAAAAACTTTGTGCTATTGCTATGATATCATGAATATTATTATCTTATACTCTCTTTTCTTCACCCTCTACTTTAAATATCATCCAAGGTTTTTTACTATTCAAACTACCTTGTTGTTGCGGTCGCAGAGCAAAAACAAAAGCGCAGTGTCAATCCCGGGAGACATTCACATCTACCCAACGAAAACCCCCCCCCTCCCCCCCACCACCACGAACCCAAATGTCAGAAACCCTAAAACCGCCGCGCATCGGACGCACAAACAACCACCAACACACCCTGCCAGTCGGGCAACTCACCCAGCGGCACCAGCCGGGATACTCGGGGATCGCGTGAGATTACGAATCGATCGAAGGAGGAAGGATTGTCCTGCTGCTATCTCGGATGGAGCCGGTCTGTGTCGTTGCGCGCGCGCGGTTCCTGGGGTAAGTTACGGAAAGAAAAAAAGTGTTGGAGAGCTAAGTATGTAAGCCAAGGAGAATTGGGTCACGTGGTGCGCAGGAACCGGACCGCAAACGCGCGGGCATTTAGTGATGCTAGGCAGGAGGTGGATAAGGGGGTTGTTCTGTGTTGTTCTTTTTCTTTTCTCGTTCTTTCTTGCCTTGATTGACGTGTTTTTTGATGCGTATTGTAGGTTTCACAGTTACCATGTCTATGTTGACGTATTGATGCGCCGGGTGGTTTGTAGGTAGAAGATCGGGATTCGGAGGTCCGCGGTGTTATTATCCGCACTCTAGTGGCGCGCGGCTGGCGTGCTGAGACTGGAGCTAGGAGCGGTATTTTTTGCTCTTGGTCTTGTAAGCTACGATGTCGACGACGATGATAATACCGCCGATGTGTATCGGTAGGTGGGCACGTTTCATCTACTTTGTCGTTTTGGTAAGTGGATACGATGATGACTAATGACCCACTAATTTACGAATCCAAGTAATGAATTTGTCACTCTATTTCTTTCATCTAGTGTTAGATTACGACACACTAGACCTAGCCGCTCGCTGACATGCCGTCAATCATTCAAATGTGATTGCGATCATGCTTGCGTCTTGGTTTGAGGGGTCTTATGGCAAATTACGGTACACCCACCCTTGTAAGGTGAGAAAGTTACCGGGTTTTTGGGACGACTATATATAGGGGTTTTATAATCGATTTTTGTCCGAGTGCCGCATGGTAATATATTATTTCTCAAGCCACATCTATCTATTGTTACTATGTACTATTCTTTCAGTCCAATTTCGGCAGCTTTCTGGTCACAGAACTCTGCCATTTCAACGTCTTTGATGCTGAGACCTTCGGGCTTGTGAGTGGTCCATTCGATGCTGACGCGGTTATACAGGTTGGACCATGAAGGATGATGTTTCTTGGCCTTGCACTCATCTGCGATGAGTGACATGAATTGCCAGGCCTTTGTAAAACTCGAAAAGGTAAATTCGCGCGTGACGCCCTTTCTTGACTCGCTGAGCTGCCAGGCGGGAAAGAGGCTCGAAACTCGATCGGGCAGATGGCTTGGTTGGTCGGCAGCAAAGATTATGTCATCCGCTACTGCATCCCGGCTTGGCTGTGCGGCCATCTTTGACATGGAATGAGTGGTTGATATTGACCGGACACTTGTTGACAGTGCATTCACCGTAGAGGATACGGCGGTCTCTGGCCTCGTCGGGGGGTGCGCTTGGCGGAGAAGGAGGAACGTTTTGGTGCGACAGGATTTGTGGCACAAAGCTCGGTAAGAAGGGCTGTTATTCGCAGATTAGCTACGTTTAGGTTCTGAGATGATCATGGCCAAGAGCAGGGTCTCCACCGAAGAGCGAGGAAATGGCTTGCAGATCCGGAGCAACGGGGTACATAGACTTACGGAATTGCCCGAGCTAGATGCTGAGGATGTATCATTGATGCTGGCGTGAAAAGTAATCGACGCTAACGGCAGCAGATGCGCTCAAGGTTGTGGTATACGACAGCCCCAATGATGCGGCAGCGGTGGGATTATGTGCGCACGACGTGGGGTGAGGTTGATGCAAATACGTTGGACCCGGAGTAACTTGAATTGATAGCAGGCGGCTTGCAGATGCGCATGGGCCAACGGTCGCGCCGTTCAGTAGTTCAAGAGGATATAGATTGATCAACGGCAGCTAGAAAAAATACCAACAAAACCGGCTTGGTAGTTGTACCTATCCCTTATGTTGGCCGTAGCACTTTCCGCGCTGGGAAAGAGATGAGGATTAGTGGTAGTGTTGTATTGCTGATGCTGCACACAGGCACTCTATCTACCTCTCTCTCAGATGGGATCGGATGAGAAAACGGCAAGTGTCTGGGGTTGCAATCAGGAGAAGGCTAACATCAGTCGATGCGGGAGCGTCGGATCTGGGACTTCATATCGCCCGTATGCGTATACAGTCATCAGCCACCAGCTGCAACGAGGCTAGCGTGGCTGGGATGTACACGGCTACCAGATGGTCGGGGAATTGGTCAGCAGTCGTAGAAAGTAGAGTAGCTGGTCGATCCGGAATCTTGCACACGCACAGGTGGGCGGGTTATAGCCGAGCGCATTTGCAGTAGAGCGGGTTGGGCACGTAGTGCGCCCGGGCGAGGCGTTGAAAGGGCTATTAGCTACGGGGCGGGTGCGAGGGCTTGTGCCAGTGTCGTCGACGGTCGACGGTCGACCATGGACGTTCCCGAGTCGGCCGACATCCGGCTTGATGCTACTTAAACGCGAGCGAGCGCCCACCACCTTAGTCAAAGCTGCGTAATCCACATTTCGACCAACTGCATCATCACGCACAGGTGAGTTACCCCATCCTCCAGCAGACTCCAACATGGGGCGCGCAACTACAATAATACCGTCGCAAAATTGCGCGCCTTGCTTGGCGCCGAAAGCCCGCGAAGCTGACCGTACGAGTCCAGGCGCAACTCTCTCTCACGCATTAACATTTGCTTTCTGCTTTCTGCAATCCCCACAACCTCATCGTCGCGACGTCACCACCACATCCCGACCAGCAACCCCCCAGTCAACACGACGCCAACCTGATATCGCCAGCCCGCCTGCCTTTTGCGCATCGTCGCGTCCGCCTGGCTGAGCAAAGCGACATAGTGAGGCCCGCCCCAAGTGCTCACGTCGCCGTGCATTACTCAGCACCGCAACGCCTGCCTGTTGTGCACCCGTCCGTCGTACGCGCCGTGAATGAGCCCAACGCTGTTTCCCTCAATTCGCACTGACACAGGCTTGAACATGCAGACACCGACTGCTCAGGTAAGCCGTGCTGACTGACGTGCGCCATCTGCTTGTGCTGACGCTCAAATTAGGATCCGAACAAGCCGACCATAGAGATGAGTTAGTGTCCCCCTCCCCGCATCTACTGTACTTGCTCCCTGCCCGTGAACGTGACTAATGCACATCGCAATCAAGGCTTAAGAGAACACTTGCTCGCTGCAGGCGCTGGTCAGCCAACCGTTCAGCCTCTCCCCCAGCACTCGGCACATACCCAACACGTCCAGCACCCGCACACTACTGGCCCGCCACACGCCATTGACCCGGCTATCGGCGGCTCGTACGATATGAGCGCCGGCGGTCCCGATGATGGGAACTCAAGTGAGGGCCGTTCTAAGGGTCGGAGAGAGCTATCCACATCGAAGCGCGCTGCCCAGAATCGTGCTGCCCAGGTACCCACTCCCCACCACCCACCGAGTCGCTACGAGCTAACTTTTGCCAGCGCGCATTCCGTCAACGCAAGGAGGAATACATCAAGCAGCTAAAAGACCAGGTCAAGGAGTTCGAGCAACTATGCGAGCTCTACAAGACCCTCCAGACGGAAAACTACCAATTGCGCGACTACATCATCAACCTGCAGTCGCGCCTGCTCGAGACACAGGGCGAGATACCACCTGCGCCTGCCGGCGTAGACCTTAACCGACCGCTCGGCGACCAAGCAACCATGCACCAACAACCAGAAGCACCGCAGCCGCCGCCGCAGCAACAGCCTGAACCACAGCACCCGAACCAGAGCCCGAACAACAGCACCGGCGGCCTCTCGGAACGCCAGATTGGCGAATTGCAGATGGCGGCCCAAGCTGCAGCTGCAGCTCAACATGGCACGGCTGGCAGCAAACACGCCAACTCGGATTCCTCATACGACTACACAGAGAAGCGCCAGAAGGTCGACGAATCACACCAAGGTCAGCAGCCCTCGCCACCCTTCTACTCCAACGCAAATGCTTATTGAGAGCACAGTCGGTCAGAGCCATGGCTTACTAGCGTAGTAGTAGGCCCAGGTGTTTCCGCTGAATACGACGCTTTTGTCAACGAGCTCCAGCAGGATAGCAAGCCGGCTACATGACAGGGCTACTTTGTGTACTCGCATAGTCTACTTCCGTCCTCCTACTTGGTGCTACAATATTCTTTTCCTTCTTACGATGTAATGTATAGGCCCTTGAAGCCTGTCTACGCTCGGGCCGGTGGTGTTCTGAAGCGGGCGTTTGGAGTCTGCCATATACTCCCATTGTTTGTGTGTATGTGTGCGTGGACCATGATTTTGTAGCGTCGTATGTATTTCTAAGAGACAAGAGAATATCAGACCTATAGTGTGGCTTTTTCTGCCACTCTACCTCGCTCAATCATTGTCCCAAATCGTGACCTCTTACAGATTACTCAACATTGTAATTCCTAGCATGACGCGACATCACGAGATGTGGAAAATTGCGGAAAACAAAACGCCTCCAAAACCGCCATGGTTTCTTGTTTCTTGCTTGTCTTTCACAAGACAAGCTGACTGCGCTACGTCGGACGAAGATCATGTCGAATAAATCCGTATCTCGATGCAGCCCTAGCTAGCCACTATCAACGCATGCACCTTCCGTTTACTACCCCAGCCTTTCCTTTCTGAAACACACCACCATCCATACGTAACCACCCCACATGTTTGGTTTCGCGCCAACTAGGAATGGCGGTATAGACAAGATGGTTGACTCGGACATAGTCCATGACATTGACCACCTCACCCAACTAAAACTAGCCGAGGTACGGAGGTGCCTTTCAAAAGTTTTGTCTGCCAAGAATAATTCAGCCGAAGTACGGCCGCCTTAGCCGAGGCTTGTCTCTCCCCTCTATGTACTCATTGCCACCTTGTAGCTCAATTATCTATTGAATATGTACAAAAATTCGCTCAATCCAAGCTTGGATCTTAAGTTGCGAGAGATCTCTCCAGCAGTTCTGCCAGATTCTGACTGCCTCAGCCCTTGACTGCGGAGCTCCTTTCTTTGTAGTCTCTCTTCATATAGAACCAGCATGGCTCAATACAGTTACAGTCTGGCGAGTTACCACACCAGAGTAGTCTCTCAACATCGTGCAGGCGATAGACCACACTCTGATAGTGGTGGGCGTGGCTAGGTGCCTTATCCTCCATTACGACAGTCTGAGGTCTATCTTAGAGGCACTCTTTAGCGAAAGGAATTAGCTTTGGGATTAGAACGCAGGTCTGATATCTCCACTAGTCTATACCACCTCTAGACGTACGCACCAGCTTGCCTGTCTTCTCTGTCCATCTCTATTAAGGTTTCCTGCCACGCTTATTGCGCAGCCCTGTCCTCCTCATAGACTCTAACAGCTCCCATTCCTCTCTCTGTAGAGGCTTAAGCTTAGCGTTCAGCTGCTCAATCCGACAAGCAGCATCCTCTCTCTCTGCCTTCGTCTCTGGCTGGTAGACATAGCATAGACCTTTCTTATCGTACGAGAAGCAGCCCCAGAACATAAACTTAGAGTATCCCTTCCACCTCTCACGGATACAGCTCTTAACTACTCTCTCGTCTGCTCTCCTCCAGATCCTATAGCCTCCACGTCGGTGGTTGATCACTACAGACGTCTCGTCTGTCCAGATAACATTCTTCTAGTGCTCCAACGTCCAGTCTCTATGGTCGATCGCCCACTTAAGACGAGCACTCCTCATCTCCTGTGTCAACCTAGGCTTCCTCGTTGGCTTGGTCTTCTTGTATCCTGCTTCTCTCAATACCCTCCAGACGGTAGAGGCAGAGATTTCGACTCCTTTAAGACTGAGCCCACTGGCAACATCAGCGCAGGTCTTCTCTCGTCCATGTCTATCGCGTCGTACTTGTTGGAATATCTACTCCTTCACCTCTTCTATCTGCTTAGCAGGTCTACCAGAGCGAGAGGCATCCTGAACGTGGTGTAGGAGGATCTTGAGAGGGAGGACGTTTGGCTCAAAGCCAGCAGCGATAGCTCTACTATAGATACGATCGACTGTACGTGGATTGACACTAGTCAGCTCTAAGATCTGTAACGTTAACTTGCCAACAGGAGGTGACTTCAATGTTACAATCAAGGTGCGGGTATAAGAATCAGTATTAGGAGCCATAGTAGATAGATGACTACGACTAATTAACAGCTCAGCTCAAAGGTGGGGAGTTACGCCAAGAAGAGTTGCGCTAAAGCACCGAGATTAGCGTCAGACAAAACTTTTGAAAGGCACCTCCGTACATACCGTACCGTACCGCACGTACCTAACGTATTGTCGTAAGTAAGTATACCGGAACTTCCGGCGGGCAAAACATAAAGTGAGGTAAGCACACTATTGGAAATCTAAATGGCCGGTATTATATTCCGAGATTATGCTTTACGTACATGGTTACATACCTACCTGTTGGGAGGGTTTCTTCTTGGTTAAGATCATCGTTCTCGTTTGGGTAGTTTTTGCGATTGCGTAATTTGGGGGTTTGAGAGGACGGATGGCGGCGGCGGATGCGGATGGGGGGGAGGGTGCGCGGGCCGTTGGTTGGAAGAAAGACGGTGAAGTTCTTGTCGTGGTGTTGTTGGGTGGTCGTGGTCGTAATGTGTTTGTGTACGTGTAGGAGGCGTCGAGGATCGCGGACTATGTGGCTGACAACAATGTTGGCCGTGTATAAAATGTCGGCTTTGTTTATTGGACTTCTCTTCTTCTTCACTGTGTTATTTTATTTTCTAAAAAATGTTACTTATTAAAAAAGGGGAGGATAACAGTGGATATTTGTGCGCACTAAAAATTGTACTGAAGCATCTTATGGAGTCTTTTCTCCTCTGTGACCTTTGGATAAAAACATCATATATCGGCCACATGTTGACCGGTTCAACTTTGAGCTTCTCTGTTCTCTCAAAATTCTTCTTATCCTTCTCCTCCATTCTGATAAATGAGTATTTTACTAAAATCATCATGGCATGGTTAGATGTCCGGGGACAAAAATTGTTGTGACAAGCTTACCACGTACTCTCCTGCTCCGTTCCATAAATAAAACAGGAAAGTAGATCGATATCATGGAAACTTTGCTCTGGACATTCCTCATTTCTCGTATTCCTCTAAAATTGCATGGCATCACTAGGAATATAAAACAAAAACAGTACACCCCGATGTCTTTTGCGACGGTGGACGTGACTAATTATCCGCGTACAAAAAAAGCCAACGCAGTCTTTCATGGTTCCGATCCATTTTCATTCCTCTCAAACCCTAAAAAAAGTATCATTGTATTCTTCTAATGCACTGGACTGGACTGCCCCTATGTCTATATAGACTCCTCAACTCTTTCTCCCTCCCTTCCTTCTACACACACTCGAATAAACCATACGCGCTCAAAACCAGAACGCGCCGACAAGATGTGTCAAGCATCCCTCTCTAAAATAGTTACTACGACAGCTTAATGTTCGGATTTTCCTCTTTTTCTCCCACTACATTTCATTTTTCTAAAATTGGACGTTGAATATGATATATGAGACCGAAAATGTGTGGAGTTGTGCTTTTCAAAACACACTGCTGTAAGAACGATGTCCTGTTTTCTCCCTCTTTCCCGCTCTTTCCATCAGATAGAGCGGATTATCTTTACCCGAATATCACAATTCTGGAGTTCAAAAAAGAACCACATCCAATGTATGACGGAATCCTCCAGACCAAGCCTATTTCAACCTATTACAAAAACGGACCAAACATTCATAGACGCTGGAATTATCAGTAAACAATTTCTGTGTATACATATATGAGAAATCGCGACAACAAAATTTACGCCTGGAGCGATATTTCTCATCCTCCTTTCCGCCCGTCTTCACACTAAAGCTTGTCCTGAAAACCAGGCTTGCATGTACTATGGATTCCCGCTCTCCTCCATCTTACACAGAACAAGAGATGGGATTACATGTCTGCGGCTCTAAAACGCTCTTACTGCCTTTTCACATGGTTCTGTGTCCTTGTTTCCCCAAAGCACTAGTCATGGCTGGTTATGCTTGTGTCCCCCGATAAGCTGATATTCCAAGTAATCATTCCGGTGTGTGAAGAATATATACCGACTATCTTGACTTGACCGACTGTTTTTGATTGCACACTGAGGTACACAAGACCTCCATGCTTTTTCTTCCCCTTTGTGGCGGAAGCGGTCTGGCGAACACATGTATGAATGGTCAAGCTGTCTTGAAAACAAAAGCGTCGTGTATAAAGCCGTGGTAGAATATGAGACTTTAACATGACCTTCGTGTATGCCATGTCTCTTCCTTCCCGGTCAGCTCTCCAAATGTGCATATTGAACAGTATCGTCACTGCTCAGTACGGATTACACAACCACGATCCAAACACATAGGTTATTAATGTATCATGCTATTGAGTATTAGGTAGCCACCCTAGTACGACCCAACTAATACATGCTAAACAAGCCCCATATCACTCCAGACTACCGTCTATGCATCAAATCTCTTGAGACTCACTCTTCCTTGACTTCCTTGCTGGGTGGCGGTCCACCTTCGGGTCGAGCAGCCTCAAGAAATTATTCTTGTAGACAGTCGCTGTTGATCTGAGCTCGCTTATCATCTTTGGTTCTCCGGTGGGATCAACGTTTGGCTCTATGAGGTCCCATCATATCAGCAGGCGGCACACAAGAGAGTCAAACTTGATCCAATACTCGCCAACCCAACTGGTAATATGCGGGTATTTGTGATATAGCGTATTACCTATAAGAACTCCGACTTACGACTTCGTCGACGAGACTGGGGCTCTAGATCATCATCCGTGTCTGGGGAGTAACGTGTCGGTTCTGAGTGCGAGGTGTTCTTGTGGCTGACTTCATACTCTTTAGCGGCTCGATTACGTAGAGGATGCTGTTCTGAACTGGCATCAGGATCAAGCATATTCAGAACGCTGTTCTTATGGGCAGGCTTTGGTTGATGGTAGATTGGGTCTGGTTGGGCGTAGCCCGGACCGCGGGTTTTGACTTCATCTGGAACACGTGCTAGTACTTTCTCGGGAGGATCAAGCTTCTGGGCAGCTGCGAGACCAGAAGCACCACTTATCGAACCGCGGAGGCGGTGGATGTCGGGGTGATCTGTGTACTTCATCGATTCCTCATCAGGACCTGCATGGAAAATTGGATCGAGCTTGTTGGCTGGCTTTAGGCTCGGAGTATCGGTAATCGAGCCACGATGCTCATGAGGTGGGTTTGGCCCATGCTGGTATTCGTGTGCTTTGTACGGGCCCTCAGATGAAGGGTCCCAGATGGGATCTTCCTCGTCTAGACGGTATTAGCCATCTACATACACCATAGGATCTTCAGCCTTTGAAGCTAAAGGGTTATGCGATTTTTGAGAATGCCCGCACTCACCAACGCCATCGGTCTGCGTAGTGATATAGGAAGAACGAAGATGAGCTAATACGTCAGTAAAAGAAAGGGAAAGCGAACAGGATATACGACGGAAAGGGTATATTGATGTTGAGGTGCTAGAGCTGTGCAATCTATCTAAGTGTCTGGTAGCCCGTACCGCCGACAGTGGATGTAGGGTGAGAACGGTGGTCAGCATCCGAGTCGACACGAGGATCGAGCTTGTTGCTAACGTTTGTCGAGTGTGGTCCGTGATTGGCGGAGCCAGTTGCAGTTCCTCTGTGATCCATGTCGGAGTCGTATCTTGGGTCGATCTTGTTGCCAATGTTTGAGTTGTGCGAGCCGTAGTTGGTTGACGTGGTATTGGTCGTGTTCATGCGTTCGCGGTCGGTGTCGGCGGGAGTAACGCCAGCGCTCGTGGCGTGGCCACGGTAGCCTTGATCCCATTCGTTGACGCCCTTGTCGGCAATGGCTTGGTTCTTTGCTGCACTCGACTTGTCGCCGGTCGCTTCATCGACCATGGACATTGCATTACCACGGATGGCTTCGCCAGTGCCCTGAGAGTGTCAGTCGGGGGTCCAATCCGAGATAAACCTGACTCACATGGATCATGCCGACGCCTTTACGAATAGAGTCGC